AGGTCGTCGGTCGCCTTCCATAGGGCAGCTGCTGCTGAATCTTGAAAACGAGCACACTTTGAAGACATCGACAGGAGAAACAGAACTGGTATCGGACGTCACCATTCCCTCGGAAAAGCCAGAGAAGCTCAGGATTCGAAAGCACCGACAGGACATCTACGAAGACGAGGACTGTGAGATGTGCTCTCTCAATCCGTGCGTACCCGTCGCCCTCACGGTCACCGTCGTGCTCATGCTTCTTCTCGGCGCGGCCTTCAACTTCCTCCACGTCGTCTCTGACGACTTTCCAGAGGAAGAATCTGCAAGACAATGGCGCAGCTGGACGGTGGACGACTTTGTAGTTCGAGACGCGACATTCGACAGCCTCGTGACGTCACCAATAAGCGGCGACTGCGCAACTGACGCTTGCCTCTGGCAGGGGGATTACTTGTTCAAGAAGTTAGATCGGTCAGTGGACCCGTGTCACGATTTCTACTCTCACGTCTGCTCTGCCGAGTGGTTCAGAGAAAGGAAAGTCCACTACAAGCAGCCTTACGCGTACAGGGCGCGTGCCTCGGTGATGCTCGACTTGTGGCAGTTCCTCCGGGCTCAACCTCTCAACGTTACCGGTTCTTTCGCGAGCCAGGCCGCCCTGCTCGCGCGCAGTTGCGTTGGTGGCGTTCGTCGAGACGGCCCTATGGCCGCTTTTCGCAAGATCTTCATGGACCTTGGGATGCCAGAGTGGCCCTACGAGGAGACACTTCCGAGCGCCGAGGTTCACGACGTCGCCAAAGTTGCCGACAAACTCCTCGGAATAGCCACCCTCGTGAGCACGTCCGCGCGAGAACGACTTACCGACCTCGAGATTGTCATGCACGTTGACTCGCCGCCGATCCTTTTGCGCCGGCACCAGAACACTTTCCCGGACAAGAGCGTCAAGGGGTACACCGAGTTTGTATTCCAAGTTATGTCCCTCTACAGACCTGGCAACTCGACGACCCAAAACCTTGCGCTCGAATTAGTCTTGTTAGAGCAGAAGATGAGCGAGGCGGCTGATCACTCGTCTCGCAGCGTGCCGGTCGTTCACGTGACACGTCAGATAGCCACGTTGACGCCACTGGCCAACTGGAACTGGCAGACCTACTTCAGGTTCTTTCTGCAGGGCAATGCCGGTCGGCATTCCAGTTCCAAACTGGTATTGCTTGACGCCTTCTACTTCGACCGGCTTCCCAACATTCTTGAACACACCTCCTCGAGGACTCTGGTCAACTATATCGGGTACAAGCTTCTCGTACACCTGTCGCCGTTGCTTCCCGAAAGCAAGGCAGCTTTTATGGTCCCGCTCAATCATGATTATCAACCAGTAGAAGGAGTCTCCGATCAACTCCAAGCTTGCCTGTTCCTTCTCGACAGACTGTATCCCTTCGGCATCACGTCTATTGTCTGGACCACGGTTCTCAACCGGTCAACGGCCGTTGAACGCAAGGATCTCGCTAACGATATGAACCGTCTCGAAGACCAGGCGCACTTCGAGATGAAGCAGGTCGTCGCCACGGCTCCTTGGATGTCACAGAAGGAGGCGGACGAAGCAGTACTCAAAGTGGAGCGTGTGCGCGTGTCACTGCTCCCTGACAAGGACGAGCTTGGAGTCCGTTACGAGCCATTCCAACTCCCCGTCTCCGGCGAAGACTCTAAACTGCTCGGTACCTACTACGACCTCCTCCGCTTTTTTCGCGCCCAGTACTGGTCCACCAGCGACCTGACGTACTTCCGCGAACCTCTATCGCCGGTCGTGGACTCCTTTAGACCGGGATTCTCTTACGATCCGGACCACAACGCCGTTGAGGTGTCGCCGGCGACAGTGTACTTCGTGAGCCGCATATCGAGACGCCTCGATCCAACCTCCGTGCCTTTCTTGTTGGACCCTGTACTTAGAGGCATGTTCGCAGCCATCGACATCGACGGCAGCAATATCGACGCCGGTGGAATTCTCCGACGCTGGTGGTCACCCGCGAGCGAACGCAAGTACCTAGAGCGAGCCAAGTGCATCCAGAACAGCTTTGCCTTCGGCGCCATGCGACTCATCAGAGACGGCCTTTCCTCGTCCCTCTCGATGAAGGAGAACGTAATGGACGCTGCCGTGCTGCGGCCGCTGTATAACATCTACCAGCGACTGGTCGAGAGGAGCGAACTTTCGGCAGAGATCCCGGGGCAACCTCGGAACCTCACCTCTCGGCGGTTGTTTTTCGTCAACTGGGCTTCGACGATGTGCGAGCCCAGCCGAGGGCTGTCGCACGCCAAGAAGCAGCTTCGCTACAAGTTGGCCATGCCGGCCAAGCTTCGCGTGAACGTCGCTTTATCGAGGTTCCTGCCGTTTGCGGAGGCCTTCGAATGTCGGCCGGGGTCCCGTATGAATCCGGCTGCGCCGTGCACATTTTGGTGACGGGCATCGTTTTAATCGATATATTTTATTTTATCCGAGATTCGGAAACTATACCTTTTGTAATGGAACGACAAAAAAAAAAAAAAAGAACAATTTTGTTTAACTGCGATACGAATTCGCGCTTAAAACTGCGTTTGTTTCGTAGAGAACAGTCATGTTTCGTGATCTTCGCGGAATAAGGCTTTTTTAACTTTTTTTTTTACGTTTAAAATGATGAAAGGACGACGATCTGATTAACTGCGATACTGGAGGACCAACAAGTTGGGAAAATGTATTCTTTTGGAGCGTCTATAATTTAGCAAGACACAATCATACCCGATGTTTTATGCTTGAACCTTATTTTATTTTATTTTTCTTAAAAAAAATCGTTTTGTGCTCGACGAAAGAAGTCTTATACGGATAACACAAAAAGAGGGTGATGCAAAATGTTTGCTGTCACCATTTTTTTTTGTATATTTATTTATTGTAACATGCGATACCCTTAACGTTGTACTATGCTGCCCTCTGTTAGCTGTAACATGCCGGCGGGACATACGAAAACGTGAATCGAGTCACGCCGAGTGATTGACCAGTCACCATACGCGTGTCACAGCTTACGAATCCCGGTATAGCCCATAATAAACGGTACTTATTTGTTTAAAAATAAAATAATAGGAACGTACGAACAATGCGTCGTTATTAATCGTGATCAAGAACTTCGCATAAGTATATTACAGCATGCAAAACATTGTCGATGTACCCTAGACAATGTAGCGACTCCAATCTGCTCTAGCAAACGAAGCGCGTAAAGGTAAAACTGGCATGCTTGCAATTCTTGCAACTGCACGTGCATTGACTCACAATAAACCCTGACAGTGGTCAAGCTGTCCTGATGATGACTGCTTCATTAGGAATAGGAACTGCAAAACCTTAGGACACAATGAAAGGCGATGACACAAGCACCCTCTAGCAACGGAGCGCCCCGGGCACGCTATTAGCCTTGCGATCGCCATTATTCTCGTTCCATGTAAACTCTTAGGTCGCTAAAACCTAGAGAATTTTAGTAGATCGTTCCGATACCACCGATACTTTCGATAACGATACCCAATAGAGAGTTTTAGTAGATCGTTCCGATACCTCCGATAGCCCCGATAACGATACTATGTATGCGCAAGGGAGGCGGTGGCTGAGTATCGGAATATCGTTATCGGAGTCATGGGAACGATCTACTAAAACTCTCTAATAACAACAGAGAGTTTTAGAAGAAAGTAGAGAGTTTTAGTAGATCGTTCCCATGACTCCGATAACGATATCCCGATACTCCGCCACCGCCTCCCTTGCGCATGCATAGTATCGTTATCGGGGCTATCGGAGGTATCGGAACGATCTACTAAAACTCTCTAATAGAGAGTTTTAGTAGATCGTTCCCATGACTCCAATAACGATATCCCGATACTTCGCCACCGCCTCCCTTGCGCATGCATAGTATCGTTATCGGGGCTATCGGAGGTATCGGAACGATCTACTAAAACTCTCTATTGTTTTCAGGCCACGCTAATCGTAGCGGGAGCTCGCGCTCCCACTTCGATGCATGCTCTGAAGCACGCACTCGTAGCGGTAGCGGGCCTTTGAAAACGATCTACTAAAACCCTCTATTACCGGATGCCTGCGCAAACGCAGCAGCAGAGTATCGGGTCTCGCTATCGGAGTCATCGAAACGACCGACCAAAGCTTTTTATTGTCGACAAACTATTACTGTGCGCCCTTTTTTGTTTGACAACAAACTCCTTGGCGCCACCTGTTGAATAGCCCCGGCACGCTTTCGGTTCACGTATTTTTCCCTAATCCTTTTACTCCTCATTATTTTGTGATAGGGGTGAATTAAGTCTCACAGTGATGTGGCCATTTAGAGAAGATAGCTTGTATATTCGGACTCGCAAATACTGCGAAACCCGCCTTCTAGCTCAAAACCCCAAGTGGTTGGGGGCTATTTGCATACCGGCGCCACCACGTCTCAACTCACGCGAGAAAAAGTGAATACGCCACCTTACAAACATCTGCAGAGCTGACAAAGACCCTTGGCACGAGCGCAAGGCTTTGGAAAGTTTCTCTAAATTTCTCATCTACAGATGAGACCATAGACGCCCATTGGAGCTGACTAGCTTTCGGCTCTCTAAACATATGCACAACACGATTACTTTTTGTTCAGCTACGCTCACGTGCCTGTGCCTTTGTTTTCGCTGGAGACAATTGTGAGATTAATTATAGTAATAGTCTTCAAAATAAATTAGTGATAGTGTAGTAACACTGTAGTTATAGTATAGTCTAGTCATAGTAAAAGTATAGTCAAAGTCATCAATTATCTTGCATTAATATGAACACCTCTTATACAAGTAGACGCTTCGCCCCAGCACCCGCTTGTTGCCTCCCGCAGAGCTTTGGCTTTGCGTGCAGTGAAGCGTTATCAAAAGTAGAACTGCCCAAACGTATGCGGAAAATCTTGCTTGACCCGTCACCTAAAATAGTAATGATTATTGTAGAGCACATCCGGAGGCCGTTACTGCAATCTGCCGTGTCTTGTCCCCTGCCTCCGCGACAGCCGTACAAGAAGAACGAGGCCCGCGCAAGAACAAGAACCGGCCCAAAACCACCACCGAGACATCGAGCACAACGTCGCGGTCCCTTCGGGCATCGTCCACTCCCGCACGGGCGCCATCCAGGGCTCAGCACGCTCTCTTGGGCTCGATGGCAACGACGGTACCAACGGCGCCACCCACTTTCTCGCTGGCTGTTCCGTCAACGGCGTCTGCGACAGAGCCCTGCTCGATCGGACCGGGATCGTCGATGAACGCTCAAACGTTTCCGAGACCTCCATTCTACCCACCGCCACCACTGCCGCACCTGGTCGCCGCCGGACAGTCCATGTTCGCCTCCGCTAGGTTCCTGGCCGGACTGGAGCTCAGCTGCACCACCAGCAGCGCCTTCAGACGGGTCGTGCCGCACAAGGTCTTCGCGGAAACGGAGGGTATGTATACAATCTTTGTGTGTTTTGTGTACTTGCTTAGACAGTGCGAAGTTAGTCAGGCCCAGTGGGCGTCTGGTGTTTCCGCCCCTGGTGGAAAACTTAGCCAGTGCACGACCAGTGCTAGCCTGGGGTCTAACGTGCGTCAGGCAGTTGTGACACACGACCGCACGCCGGTACTATATGCTCACCCGTGATCGAGAGGGAACGGGGTGGGGATTGAACCAACTGCAAGATCCCTGGTTTCTGCGGTTCTGGGGCAGAAAAGAAACAGATGGGTGATTCCTATCCTCATGTTTTCGCTATAGACCTTTTTACTGTTTACAAACATGAATTCCGCTGCTTTCGTCCCGAGGGACTTCCGGAAGCTCCGTCTTGGCAAGCTCGTCGAGTTTGCTTATGTCGCCAACGCTAAAAAGCATAAATGTTACACGGACAACAAAGTTGGAGACGTAGCGAGGTCCTTCGGCTGTACGATTTAAAGTCTTGGAAGAGACAAGTTGGTTTACAAGAAAATTATAAAAATTTTAATAGATCTCGCATTTCTTGGTTTTTTCTGGCGTTCACCTGGGAAATTGGTGGGTAAATGTTTCATCGACGTTTCAAGCAGCGGTGTTAAGGTGGGCTTTGTTCAATCTTTGTATGAACCAGAAGTTCGCTGGAATGTCAATGACTGGAGCACCGCCTGGTAGCGTTTGCAAAGGAAAGGGCCTATAGTCAGTGACAGGTTAAGGACGGGAACGCCAATCAAAAGGCAACGCTCAGGAAACGCGGGATGTCGATGCAGCCAGGTGCGCACCGTCGTTGCTTGAGGCCGGTAGAAACATATGCACGTGAGCGCATTTGGCGGGTAAACAAATGACGCAAGGAGCAGATGAACTTGTACGACCAAAAACGTCGCTGCGGTCGGCTTTCGCGATTGACCAAACGCTCACAATGACGTCTTTACTTGGATTAATTTTGCATTCATCGACGAAAATAAGAACCTGACAGTCAAATTAGATGGTGTCAGTTTAAGAACGCGACGACTCCAAACTTACATTGTACTTGCGCAACGGATGACAAGCAGACAGGAATACAACTCGTGACGACACGGCAGATCCAGCAAATCATCGTTGTGACGTCACGAACCACCAAAACATGTCGGCGCTAATCAATTGTTGGGTTCCTTTGTTGGCCGCATGCTCGAATCGAGATGACTCCAACCGTTCCCCCAGATGGCCACTGAGCAGTCTCAACCTGGAGCTCTAAGATGGACACTCGGCAAGAAAGTCGAGAAAATCGCCAACCGCCGTGATTTGCCAGCGCTGGGCAATCGCGGCGGTTGGAGATTTTTTCGACTTTCTTGCCAAGTATCCCCCCCCCCCCGCCGCGATTGCCGAGTGTCCCCGCCGCGATTGCCCAGCGCTGGCCAATCACGGCGGCCCAGTTTCATACATTAAAGCCCCTGTCCTGGTGCCACGCTGGTTCCAGGCCTTGTGCTGCAACGCAAGGAAGAGTTACTGGGCGACATGGCCGCCCAAGTGCTCCTGGTGGCCCTGCGGAGAGCCCGAGCCAACGAGCTGTTTCGTACCCTGCCTGCGACAGACCAGGTCGCCATCTTGGACGAGGCCTGGGGCGAGCTCTTCCTCCTCCAAGCCGCTCACTGGCCCGTCGATTTGCTCGCACTGCTCAAGAACCTCACCACCGCCCTCAAGGTAACGTCGTGGGAAGACGGCCCCCCCTATATAACAAGACCGTGGTGCTGAGGTATCTACATCACTTACTGGGGGTCAGCGGGTGCCACTAAAGTACATGAATCCTGGGAAAGTAGTGCCAAGCTCCCCGTATGGTCGCCATTTTGGTTCATGGAATGAACAGTGTCTTCTTGACCTCGCCATTCTGGGTGAGCCAAACTAAATCCCGGGTGACAGGTTGCTTCACAAAGAAATTTCTTGAATACTGAGATTTTATTATCCACAAACCAGCAAAACAAGCGCCCATTTTTGCACCACCACCACATGCGGGTCGGTGCTTGGCGGCATTAAAAAATAATTCCCCTGACTTCAGATCCGCAAGAAATACAATGCCATTGTAATACCCCAGTTACCCTAGCACCGACGCTGGTAGGTGACGTAAAGAAATCTATCACCCTACCTCGTTCTGCTTTAAAGGGGCCTTGTAACGATTTTTATACTTTCGCTAAATACTACTCAGAATCACTTCCCAACGTTAATAACCTAATGAGCTTGCTTTAGTTTTTATTTCTAAGCAATGGCAGCCGGCAAATAAATTCGAGAAATATGAGAATCGTTCATTCCCTCAACTCGCAGCCAGAGCAAGCGGCAACGTGGCCTAGTGCCTATCCTATGCCGCCAACGTTAATCATAGACACGCGCTGGGGTCGGCAAAGTAGGAAACGCTTGCTGAGCTCCAGGCATTGTAAGAGTTCGGCTATTTTCATCACCGGAGTGGTTAGACACGAGCAAATACCCGAGTATCCACCGAGGCATTGATTGTATATGAGCCGAAGTCAAGTGCTCACGTCAGTGATTTCCTGGCACACCCCCGCTTTAAAGGGGTCATGAAACGATATTGGGAATGTTCATGACTGCAGAGCCGTACTGGTCCTAGTCTTGCCCAAGTATACTCGCACGGACCGCCACTGATTCATAAGCTTTTTGGACGTGGTGAAATTGCGAGGATTAAAGGGAACTATTTCTTGCAGTCTTGCCTTCGCAAAGCTTGATGACATTATCGGCTCGTAACAATCAATGCCTCGGCGGCCACTCGACTAGAGGCTCGTGTCCAACCACCGCGGTGATGAGAATTGTTGAACTCTTACAATGCCTGGAGCTCGGCGCGCATTTTTTCCTTTGCCGACCCCAGCGCGTGGTTATGATTAACGTTGGCGGCGTAGGATAGGCACTAGCCCACATGGCCGCTTGCTCTGGCTCCGAGTTGATGGGATAAACGACGCTCATATTTCTCGAATGTTTTGGGTACGATTGTTATTGGTTAGACAGAAAAACTAAGGGAAGTTTATTTAGCTATTAACGTTAGGGAGTGATTCTAAATGTATTTAGCGAAAATAGAAAAAAATCGTTTCAATACCCCTCTAAGTCAAGACGCAGCCGACATTACGGGCCGCTGGGACCGATCAGACAGCATCCAGAGCGCGTGGTGTTCGTCATGTTTTGTGCGTGTTCTATTATCGCTGGACCAGTCATAGACGGACAAGGCCCAGTGAATTGAGCCTTTGACGCCGCTTGCATGTTGGTCCCATGAGCTATAGGTGCTTGTTATCTAGGAGTTGGTGAAGATGGGCAAAGACAACCAAAGGGCATCAGATTGAGCTAATAAGAGTGAGAAAATGATTAAAATAAGTACGGTCTCTAGATTCCCCCCCTCCCCTCCCCCCATTTTCCGCTCAATGAAAGGAGAAACTGTCCGCTGTCTACTGTGAATAACTCACGCCGCTTCTAAGCGCGTGCTTGGTGAGGCAAATAATGGGTTTCAAGTTTCAACAAATATAAAATACCATATTAAATCAATGAGAGGAGCTCAACTTCGACAGTGGCTTGGGAAGTTCCTCAGCCCTACTCGTACGCGTAAGTTTACGAGCTCTTGGTGGCCTTTTTGGAAGGAGTGAAGAGTGCGCGTGCGCAACTTTGATTCGTGTTATGATGCTTGAACGGACTTCCTTCTCTGGCAAAAGCTTTGACTTCGTTGCCACAGAACGAACGCTAAAGATGCCAAAGGCAGAAATGGGGTCTATCTAGTGGTTTGCTTACGTTTTCTTACGTTACGCTATGGGTTACCGGAACAGTCGTGATTCGAATGTCGCGTGTAAAGCCACTTCTTGAAATGGTCGTCCCGCTTCATACGAAGCACGGTTTTTCCGGTGATCCTCGATGTAAGCGGACGTGAACCCCCGTATGCTGCCAAAGCCAATGGCGCGAGCGCGTATAGAGCGATCGCGTACCAACCATCTGATTTGCGTGAGGGCACGTGAAAATGAATTGCCATATCACGCGCAATATCAAGCAACGCGCTCGCGCGAGCAGCTTCGACAGCGTTGTACTCGTGCGATAAGTTTTGTATAGTGCGGGAGATGCGTAAAATGGACTGTCAGCCCAGCCCTGTGACCGGTCTGCACGTCTTTCCGTCGTTTACGCCGTTCTAGTCGGAGCTCCAGAGCAGCCTGCGACAAGTGCAACAGGCTATTGCGCAGTGCCAGGAGCTTGCGTTGGATCCCGTCGAGAGGACGCTATTGGAGACCATTCTACTGTGCAGGAAAGGTAAGTAAACACGCTATGAGACAAAAATAAATACAGGGTTATAACTCTCGCAGAAACGTCCTGTGAAGTGCATATTAGGTAATTCGTAAATTTGACGGATAATGTCAAGTCTGCCAAGACATACTTGTTGTCTCTGAACTTAGTACGCTGTAAAAATTTGCACATGGTGTTCGGAAAAAGAGTTGAAATAAATGCCAAAAGAGAAGGAAAAGCATTCTTCCATCTCACAAACGTCTGCAGTGTTAAACCTGCGGCGGCGAGCGCGTGACTTCAGAACGTATGCTTTCTATGCACAAGTTCTAGTACAAACAAAACATTCTCCGAGTTAGATTCACGGCACGTGCCCCTGCCTTTGTCTTCACCGTATGCATTCCAGAAAAGGTCTTTTGGCCGTTACCATTTTGTAAAGATTGGATTTCGCACACCAACAGATAAACATGCATGCAGTGCTGGTGTCATAGTCTTGTTTTCTATTAGGTTCTTGCTGGTCTCAAGGGCAACTCCGATCCATATTTTCGAATTTGAGATTACGACTGTTTTTAGCTCAGGCGGTGTTTTTAAATTACACGGTATATATTTTTTTTTTCTCAATATTGTGTGTAGTTTTTTTATATACCACGGCTCACTTTTTGGTTTCGGGCGTCTACGGCAAAACCGAAACTATCTGCTAGAGGGATGGCAACACTGATCATCAGCCGCAGGGCCGCGACGTGACGTCTCCGTAGTGCTGCGGTACGCGGTACAACGTGCGGAATCAACCGCAGCTCCACCCAACGTTACGAGATTACCTCAGTTGTGGAACTCCACAACAATTAAAAGTCAATTTTATCTTAGTGAATAAACGCCATTTGAGCCTCGAAGTTTGTCAAAAAAATAATAGAAGCAACTCATAGAATATATATTATGCGCCGATTATTTAAAAAAGAAATCGGCGTAATCCTAAGACTAATCATAACTTGTCGTAGAAGAATCCTGCGTATGCTGCGCGCCGTCTTCTCTAGCGGTATAGTGACCGCGCATATTTCGGTAGACACCGAGAACAAGTATCATAGTCCCGTTCGCGACTAACCCAAAGTTGCAACGTCATCCTCGCTATCCTTTTGGCATTGCACGATCCACAAAGTCATCTGTCCCAGAAGCACGATTCTCACTGAGCCTGATCAAAAACTAAAACAAAACAAAAGAAGGTTTCATGCATATGCCACTGCGTGTCGTCCTTTATATATATATATATATATATATATATATATATATATATATATATATATATATATATATATATATATATATATATATATATATATATATATATATATATATATATATATATAAACGAAATTGTGCAGATGAATGAACCGTACTTAATCCAATGAATTAAAGAATCCAAGTTTCCAGGAACCCGCCGAAAGCCAAAAATTGGCGGAGCCAGGATTTGAACATCCTGGCTCCGCCAATTTTTGGCTTTCGGCGGGTTCCTGGAAACTTGGATTCTTTAATTCATTGGATTAAGTACGGTTCATTCATCTGCACAATTTCGTTTATATCCTCCTCGGAGACCACGTACGATGGTGTGAAGTGCCCGTGTTGTATATATATATATATATATATAAATTATGCAGAGCGCAAGTTCGTCTGCCTCTTGCGCTGGGGTTGCGGTGACGCCAGAAGGCCGAGCTCTGATTTGCTCAATCGGAGCCAATCAGAGCTCGGCGTTTTGACGTCACCAAAAACTTTCGTGCAACAAGCAGACGAACTTGCTCTCCGCATAGTAGCTGACAGGGTGAGAAAGGCGGGGCGTCTTTTTCAGACGCCCAACCTCCAGCACGCCCTGGCTGCCTTCTGCCGTGCTTTGGCTACTTTACGCTTCAGGTTCAGGAGACGGCGAAGCATTAGCGGAAATAGAAAGCCGTTGTCGGAGACGGGACTACCGAAACGCCTTTCAGCCGTTCTCATCTTGCCAATAATTATAGGTGGCGTAAGTTGACGCACAATTCAAAGGGTTTAGCCGCGTGCATCCATTCATCCATTCCTTCCGTTTATCTCGCAGGAACGATCGCAGTGTCGTGCTTGAAAAGGGGTCACCCGGCAGCTTCACAGTGGTGGTCGACGTTTACTAAGATACTTGGCACGTCGCTCACGAAACGTCCTAAGCCGGGACACTGCTCACACATCATACAAAGGACAGTCTGCAAACACAAGAAGCCGCAATATCCGTGGTTCGAGTGCCGCGTGCCAAGCTTTCTCTTTGAACTCATTGTTATGCGGCATTCGAAGCACGGATATCGCGGTGACTTGCGTTCGAATATGTACGCAGATTGTCTTTTGAGACTTATCCTTAAACACCCTCGTGTTGTTGCAATTATAATGTAAAAAAAAAATTTTACATTTTACATTCCAGATTGCAGGCGAGACCTGTCCGCATCGGTGCAAGTGGAGGCACTCCTGGAGCAGTCCCAGCTTGCACTGAACCAGTACATGGCACAGGCACGGCCCCACAGCCCGGCCAAGTTCGGCAAGACACTTCTGGTTCTGCCCGTGCTCCGCGCTGTGCCGCAGGCCTGTCTTCAGGAACTCTTCCTGCGTCGCACGCTGGCTACGTTTCCGCTTCGTCATTTCCTCGGCTGCGCCTGACCGCTGTGTGTGCCCCTACACTCGTGTTGCATAAACCCATACACAAAGCAAGGAGGCGGACCTGTCTTTAAGCCGCAGTCACCCTGCTTAATACATCGTACAAAAGACAGTCCGAGGCATGTTTGTTCCTTGTATGGCGGTCACATCGCACAGACAAACACTGTCTGCAGACATATTCTAACCATACGTATGTATAAAGCAAACATGCTTCGAGCACCTTTAAGGCCGCAGATAATTTTGTCACCATGTCTGCAGGGAACAGTCTCTTGTATGACGCATGAGCAGCCTGATGTTCAGCTTTTTTACTTCAGCGGTCGCGTCAAAATGGTTTAGGAGATCGGGGAGGGGGATTGTTCTCCCCTTCCTCCGAATATTTTGCGAGGAATTTCTGAAATGTTCGGATAAAACCTTTTGGGGCCGAATTCCCCCCTCGCCCCTCCCCCTGCCCCCCCCCCCCCCCCCCCCCCCCCTTGTAGACCGACACCGCTGGCTTGGAACTGTGCTTGCAAGGTTGAAGTCCCCATTTCCTATATTCCATTGTGTCAGAACCTCTCCATGTTGGTGTGGTGTCTGGAGGACCGGAATTGAACGAGCCCACACAAGCGGGGCTCACACGAGTCTGGAGAAGGAAGAAGAAGGTTGCGGCGAGCGGACGCATGCTCATTAAGGCTCCGCGAAAAACCGATGTTTCGTGCTGACATTCTTGATTTCCGAGCGAGAAGAAGTCTTGGATAGACAGCGTTAGTGACCCAGTTCACGTGGATACCTTCCTCAAGCTGGTGAGCGGAATATTTTGATTTTAGAGGCATTTTGTTTTGAACCCACGAGGAACCTCGCTAAGCCTCGTTGGGCCTTGCTCGACTAGGGCGATGAGCCGAGTTCGCTCGGTGCGGCCGCCCTACTGGCCCTAACCAGCTAAGCGTCACCACGTGGAACCGCCGCGGCGGCGGTGGAAAACGCAAGATGGAAGTAATATCGACGGAAGCTCTCGTGCTCAGCCCCAGGACCGGATACGATCCGGACAAGGTGGCTTTTGACTCCATAAATCCAGCAGCGCGGCCCCTTTATACGGATGGAATTCAGAAAACCGCCTCGGAGGAGCAAGTAGGCACGCTACCCGGCAATAGCTGGGTACAAGTTCTGCATAGAAAGAAGACCCAGAAGAAAGAAGTCCATGACCAGCGGAAGGAAGACCGAGGACCTACCGGTAGAGCAACGGAGGTCAAGAAGAAAGAGACGAAGAGACCGTTTCGGCTTCCCAGCCTCAAGGAATTCAAGCACAAGATCATTGTGAAGCCACGGAAGACGGCGGTCGACTTGAAAAGCTGCCGGGACCAGATCGGCGAAGCGGTGCAGAACTCACTCCCGAGGTGTCTTGCGGAGAATTCAATCGTCCGGTTGCTAGAAGAGCAAAACACCATTATGATCTGCACGGACATATGGGACGAAGCCGAAGCGTTGGCGAAGCTTAGAAGTTTGATATTCCCGTCCGGACAACTCGACGTTGAGGCCTACCACGTCTCCCCGAGGGAAGAGGCATGCCGTGGCGTCATTCATGGGGTTCGGCCGGAGCTGTCCAATGCACAGATCAGAGAGAAAATCAGGGCCCCAGGACACGAAATACTCGACGCTAGGAGGCTCGGAAGGTCCAAATCGGCGCTCATCACTTTCGCCGGGACCAAAGTTCCGTTCACGGTCACTTTCAACTGGCTGGAAACGCCCTGCTTTCTATACAAGAAGACAAAGGCAGCCTGCCTTAACTGCGGAGAGGCCGGCCATCGGACGGATGTGTGCAGCAAACCGACGGGTTACGCGTGTGCGATGTGCGGGGCCCCGCAAGCGATGGAGGGACACCCATGTGTCCCGAAGTGCGCACTGTGCGGAGGGGCGCACAAAACATACGACAGTCACTGTCCTGAGAAGTTTTTCAAGGAGAAGAGACAAATTGAGAGAACCGGACGGAGCCGCTCGAGGCACCGCAACGGAGAACAGCAGGTGCGCTGGCTGTCGAAGGAGCGGAGTGGCTCAAGGCCGCGTGCTCGCTCTCGCAGCAGATCAGCAAGCTGCAAGAGAAACTCGTCACGCCCGGCGCCTCTTTCCGAAAAGAAAAGGAAGAGGAAAAGTCGTAAAGGCGGGAAGAAGCAAAATTGGAATCAAAGATCTATGTCGCGGGACGGGAAGAACTTGGACCTGGGGGACCAGGAGAAATGGCCCGAGCTGCAGAAAAATGATAACCATATCAATGTGACCAAGAATAACCCGCCACCGAGGTCAAGCGGGAGTAGCCAGCATACACAAGTCCTCAGGCAGGATGCCCCGAGTAAAGGAGTGGAAGATGTGGAAATGAAGAGCATTTGCTCTGGGACCCCCGGGATCACTACGGACCAATTTCGAGAAATCGTGGAGGCTGCGGTGAAACAGGCGGTGCAGTCTGCCACGCAGCTTTTAATGGAAAAAATCACGCAGCTTTCCAACAAAGTGGTAGCGTTGGAGCGAAACCGGGAGTCCATGCTCAAGCAACTTGGGTCAAGCGGGAAAAAATCGACATTCTTGGAACGAAAAAGAAGTTCCCTGCTCCAAGAGCTAGGGGCGAAGAGAAGATCGCCGACTGATGCACGACGTGAAGTGGAATCAGTAGAAGACACGAATAACCATGTGTCGTCTAAAACAATCATATCTGAAAATATGGCAATGGAACTGCAGGGGGATAGGTCGGAAGCAGGCCAGTCTCAGCCTTCGGTTGTCGCTTGAAACCGATCCCCCTGCGGTAATACTTCTGCAGGAACCTGGAAAGAAGCCCGTAAAGATTAAGGACTACCGGACGGTCGGCGGAACCCAATACTTCTCGACCCTCGTCCACAGGACATTCGCGGCCACGGAGAGGCACCTGGACGGGGGCGGAGTGGAGTGTGGGTATGTGGTGATCGTCCCGGTGAAGAAGAGGGACCGGGGTGTCCACATAGTGAATCTGTACGGGAACCCCAAGCTTCACAAGGTTGACTACAGAACTCTCCTGGGAAACGCGGTGAGGGCGGCCGGCAAGGAACCTCTCGTCATCGCGGGGGACTTTAATGCCCCGCACCCGGGATGGGGTTACAAATACGTCACGCCGAAAGGACGCAAACTTTTCGAAGGAATCAACCAGGAACGCCTCACGCTCCTCACGGAACCTGACCAGCCTACCAGGACGGGGACTAGCACGTGCAGAGATACGTGCCCGGACCTCACGCTGGTGAAGAACGTGGGGAGCGCCGACTGGAAGAACCTGGCAGAACAACTTGGAAGCGACCACTGTATCCTTGAAACGACACTAAGAGAGGCAGGATACAAGAGAAAAACTGGAACCGCAAAGATCACGGACTGGGACAAATGGAGGAAGAAAAGAGAAAAGACAGAAGTGCACCTGGCGGACATTGAGGAGTGGGCTGCGGACGTGACCACGAGCCTGCGCCCTTTTGTCACGGAGGTTGAGCTTTCGGAGAAGACCCCGGCTGTGGATGCAAGACTCCTCCACCTTTGGGAGGCCCGGCGTGGTCTGACCAAGAGGTGGAAACGTCAGCGACACAACAAGAAGATTCGTACTAAGATCCAAGAACTAACTAAGGACGCGGAGGACCATGCGGTCGACCTCGCTAGGAACAACTGGTATGGGATTTGTGACTCTATACGCGGCAGCCTCGGTACGGCACGGTCCTGGCGTCTCCTTAGGGCACTCATAGATCCAACTAAGACTAAGTCGGTTACGGACAGTAGAATAGCTGAACTCATATACGAGTTACCCAACGATACAGAGCAAATCATGGACCAACTCGCGCGCAGATATTTGTGTCTTGAACGCGCGGAGGAAACTCTGGAATATCTAGGACGCGAAAACTCCGAACTGGATAGGCCGGTATCGGTGGCAGAATTCGAGTACGAGCTCGGGGCCATGAAAAAGGGCACCGCGCCGGGGCCCGACACCATCACGGCAAAACTCCTTTATAACTTGGAAGAAGGCGAACTCGGGAAGCTAGTTAATCATTTTAACGAGCACTACTGGGCTAGGGGGGTGACGCCAGCTTGCTGGAAAACCGCTGACATTCGCTTTATTCCCAAGCCCAAAAAGAACTTAAATCTGGAAAATCTTAGACCCATCTCACTTACCTCATGCGTGGGTAAAGCTTTTGAGAGGGTACTAAACACTAGGCTAATGAGGTACTCGGAGAAGGAAAATCTCATGCCCCATACTCAATTTGGGTTTAGACCTCGTACCTCAACACAGGACATCCTCCTGTGGATATACAAAGATCTTTTGGAGAACCCTTCCAGGGGACAAACACGGTGTATTCTCGCTCTTGATTTAAAGGGGGCTTTTGATAACGTTTCGCATGCCAGCGTACTCAGAGGCCTGAACGAGATCCACTGCGGACAGAGAACGTTCGAATACGTACGGAGTTTCTTAACGGACAGGAAGGCTGCTCTAACCTTAGGGAGCATGAAATCCAATAGCTTCGAGCTCGGCTCAAAGGGGACGCCTCAAGGGGCTGTTTTATCTCCGCTTCTTTTCAATCTGGCTCTGCGGGGTTTGCCGGAGGCGCTGGGGGTGGTTCCCGGTGTGGAACACGCCATCTACGCCGACGACATTACCCTGTGGTGTCGGGAGGGAAACGACGCGGAGATTGAAGAAAGACTACAGGCGGCTGCCAAAATTGTAGAAGACTACGCTGAGGAGTGCGGTCTAAAGTGTGCACCGGAGAAGTCCGAATTACTTGTCTTGAGGAACCCTTATGAACGTGTGTCGGAACAGATTGAGGTTTCGGTGAGCGGGAAACGGGTCTCTAAACCCACGGAGATTCGTATCCTCGGCCAGCTCATTCGACAAGGCAGGGGCAACAAGTCGACTATCGATAAACTTGACACCATGACCACCCAGGTCTGTGGCATGATTCGAAGGATAAGAAATCGTAGGAGGGGCATAAAAGAGAAAGAAGCAATGCAACTCGTTCAGGCCTTTATTATCTCCAGAATCACTTACGCCACACCGTACTTGGTCTTGAGTAAAGCGGAACGCCAAAAAATTGATGTTTTGATAAGAAGAGCTTACAAAAGTGCGCTAGGGCTTCCCGAGAGGACAGCGACCGACAAATTACTAAAGTTAGGGGTCCACAACACGATAGATGAGCTTCACGAAGCACATCTCGTGGCTCAGCTGAAGAGGTTGGGGTCCACGAAGAACGGGGCGTGGCTCATGGACAAACTCGGGATGGCGGTTCCAGGAGGAACGCATACGGGTACTGTCCCCGACCACGAGCTGTCAGCAGAAATACGGAAGAAAATAGTGGTGAGTCGTATCCCGAGGAATATGCAACCAGGAAAGGACGACGGCAGAAGAAAGGCCAGATCTGAGGCCCTGTCTAAGACATGGGATCACAGAGAGGGAACGCTATATGTTGACTGTGGCGGCCCAGTAAACGGAGCTGCCACAATCGCAGTGGCTAACGCCCAGGGTCGGGTGTTAAGATTAGCTTCGGTCAGAGTAGAGTCGGCTGGGCAGGCTGAGGAAGCGGCGATTGCGTTGGCGGTTGTTTGCAACCCCAGGGCGACTGTCATCTCTGACTCCCAGAAAGCATGTGGAAATTTCGCTCGCGGGATGGTGTGCGCAGTCGCTGATAGAATACTACGTAAGACGGAAGTGCAGGGGGTGCATCTGATCTGGTCCCCTGGCCACATGGGGAACACTGGGAATGAGGCAGCAAATGCTGCGGCCCGAGGCTGTATTCTCCGGGACTCGTCCCAGTCGGGTGGTCAAGTGGACACGGACCTCTCGTTTAACGAGGCACTCAAAATGAAGAAACTCGACAGGCGCGTATTCCCGAGCCCGTGCGGGGGGCTTGGAAAGGAAGAAGAATGGACTTGGAGAAGGCTCCAGACGGGCACTCTTGTGACCCCCGCCAAGTTGCACCAGTGGTACCCCGACCGGTACACTACGGGAGCCTGCCCCTTCTGTGGTGACCCCTGGGCGGACGTGCATCACATTACTTGGAAGTGTAAGAAGATCCCTGGACTGGCTCCACTGATGGAGCCTTCTACTCAAGAGTGGGAAGCGGGGCTGCAGAGTGAAGTCATCGATGTGCAAAAGCTGCTGGTGACCCGCGCGCTGCATGCCCAAACCGCAATTGGAGCCCTGGAATGAGGGCATACACTCACTCTCTATCTCTTTAACTCCCCCTTCCCTTCCCAATCTTTCCTGTTACGTCCAGTAAAGTTTTCAACAACAACACACGAGTCTGATCGGTTTAATCTTTGGTAAAAAGAGGAAGTAGAAGGGGAAAAGGACAAAAGAAGACGAATTGACCGTTTTAGATGATTAGTTTGTTTTAAGAAAGTAAAAATTAAGAGGAAACAGAATCCCAAGGCATTCCGATTGTTATTCGAGACCGCTCAAACTCATTGTGCGCGTCCGCTTTCTGCAAACAACGTTGGGCGTCTCAGCGGCAAAAAACGCCCACAGACCACGCATATGAAATGAAACCTTGCGATTTGTGCCGCTGCCGGTAGCGATTTTCCCGCGGAACCGCTGCACGTGAAACGCGCATAATCAACAGCGTATTTCTACGGTGTAGTATTTCGTGTTTCTGGAGACTGTTCAGTGCCGGACCAAGCCAATGAAGCCACCGGTATGATGGGCTATGTTTAATTGTTTTTTGATCTGAGCTCGAGTTACACGAGATGAAATAGATATATGCTATTTAGCTGCGTCCTTCAATACCCTAAATGTTTAATTGAAATGCCCGTCATTGCTTTGCCAGCGCAGACAAAAGGAAAGAAGCTGATGGCCCGGTTCTCGCGCCCCCCCCCCCCCCCCCCCCCCCCTCGCGACTGTCCATTCCAAATCTCAACGGCTGCTGACAGATAGCCTCTCTGAATTATTATCCAACTCCAAACTCATAGAGATGAGCGACTACGAATCGTCCACTTCTGTCGGCACCCAGACTACGCCGTCGTCCTCCCCCTACGACCAGCGGTACCGGTCGCACGACCGAGCACGGGGACACCGGCGCCCGACCATGGTTCACGGACCCCGGCTTCCGTTACTCAGGGTTCCTCCTTGCAACTCACTTGTCCCGTACTGGTATCCTCAGCAGATGCCTCTTCAACCTCCATGGAGAGAGCCGCCTCCTACGAAACTGTCCCCGTTACCACCTCTGGTCCGTTCCAGCCGACCGCCTTGGCTGACCAAGTCACCGTCTGTCGGGGAGTTGCTGGTGATGTATTCAGCCGAACAAGCGAACAAGAGAAGTGCAACCCGAAGAACTGTCGTCAAACCAGTTTACCGGAAACAGGAATGGAGGTCACATCGAGAGGTCTACGATGACGACGTGGGATGCCAAGTTCCGTACATTCCCGTCGTGGCCGTTGCAGGTATTTTGGTCGTGTTGTTGTTTAGCGGCGCCATCGTGCTCTACCGTAGCACAACTCGCGTAATTTCGAATCACCACGGTGGTTCATACGTACACCAAGGTAACGCACTCGCGAAGATAAGAAGCAGCACAGACATGATCGGTCGCCTCACGAGGAAATTACCGCAGTATTCCATATGCGAAACAGACTCGTGCTTATGGCAAAGGAAGTACCTGCTCGGGAAGTTGAACTGGTCTATCCAACCCTGCGAGGACTTCTACTCACACGTCTGTTCTGACGAATGGTTTAAGACGAATCAACCTGCCAGCTTCCACTCTTTCGTCTTCAAAGAATCCGCCGCGACGATGTTGTACTTATGGCAGTTTCTGCAGGAGCAACCTGTGAACGTGACTTCGTCTTTCGCAAGTCAGGCCTCTCTGATTATGAGGGGTTGCGTCCATGGATCCAAGGGAGACAAAGAGTGGGCCACTTTTCGCAAGATCTTCCTAGATCTCGGAATTCAAGACTGGCCTTACGTGGAGCCGCACCCATTTGCAGAGGCATATGACATCATCAAGGTGGCAGACAAACTGCTCGGATTGTCAACCTTCGTGAGCACGTCATTGAAACAGAGGTCGTCTGGAGGAGAAATTTCGCTTTATGTGGATTCCCCACCCATTCTGCTTCGCCGATACGAAGCCTTCTATCCGACGAACATGCTCTACAAATACGCTGATTTTGTTTCGAAGACATTGTCTCTCTGGAAGCGAGCTAATTCCAGGACTAGCGCATTAGCACTAGAACTTGTGCAGCTGGAGCAGACGATGAGCGACATAGCCGGCCATTCTGCTCGAAGCGTCCCCATTGTCCACGTGATTCGCGCAATAGTTAGAATGCCCGCATTTCAAAACTGGGACTGGCACGTCTATTTCACATACTTCCTTCGTGGCGACGCCATGAGGCGATCCAGTGGAAAAGTTGTGCTCCTTGATCCCGCCTACTTCGACAAAATTTCTATTGTTCTATCGCATCTCAGTCAAAGGGTACTTATAAACTACGTTGGGTACAAGCTGCTTGTCAACTTGTCACCCCTTCTTCCCGCAAGCAAAGCCAACCTCTTGATGCCGCTGAGCCACCAGTACCACCGTGTAGACCAAGCCTCTGACCGTCTTCAAGCCTGTATGTTCCTCCTGGAAAGACTTTACCCTTTCGGAACCAGGTCCTTGATCTGGACTGCGATGTTGACCAAGTCTACCGCAATCCTTTCGGGGGATCTCGCCCATGACTTGCGCTTCTTCGGAGAACAAGCGCGTTCCGAGATGATGCAGTGCGCTGCTGGAGCTCCGTGGATGTCGCGAGACGAGTTCGAGCTCACCGTCATCAAGATTGAACATATGAAACTTATCCTGACGCCGAGCAATGAAGAGCTTGCTTTACGTTTCGAGCCCTTCGAGCTTGCCACCCCCGCCAGACAGCTCGCAACTTCTGGCGACATATTACAACCTGATACGCCTCATACGCAGCCAGTACTGGTTTGCCAAGAACCTGGAATACTTTTGGGAACCTTTGACTCCGAATGGAAGCTCGTTTATACCTGGCTTTGCGTACGACCCTGTTGAAAACACGGTTAGATTGTCACCGACGACTGTGGCGTTCGTCAGCGCCATCTCGCGCCGCTTGCATTCTACATCGGTGCCCTTCTTGCTGAGTCCCATTCTTCGAGGCATATTTTCGGCCATAGATAGTCGAGGATGCACCGTTGATGCAGCAGGTGATGTCCATAGCTGGTGGACACCTGACACAAAGAAGAAGTTTATGGAAAAAACCGCCTGCATCCAAGACACTTTCGTGGCCGCCGCCAGACAGTATATCAGCAGTAATGTGTCCTCGGACATCTTCAAAGAGGAGAACGTGATGAACGCAGCGGTGCTACGCCCCATGTACAATATTTTCCGAAGATTCGCGCCAGGTGACGGGAAGGTCGAGATTCCGGGACAGACCTCCAAGAAATTGTTTTTCATCAACTGGGCCTCCACTTTGTGCGAGCCTCCACAAAATGGCATGTACCATAAGCAGAGCATTGTCTACAAGCTGGGTATTCCTGGCAAGCTCAGTGTAAACGTGGCGCTCTCACGATTCCCTCCTTTTCTGGATGCCTTCAAGTGTCCCCCAGGGTCCCTCATAAAATCGGCGAAACAGTGCATCTTTTGGTGAATATGGCGCATTCCCCAAAATCTGCTTGGTTTCAGCTGAAGGCCTTGACTGTGCCACGCGCTTTCTTTCTTTTTTTATATATTTATTTCTTAATAAACTTTATTCAGAAGGTCGTCTTACCGGGCCAGTACTTCGAGTGGAAGACAATGACACTCAAACTACACAGCGTTATAGGTTCTTTTATTAAATTGCCTTGTATTTGAGAACAAACCTGTTTATTTTTTGTTGAAGGGGCTTCTCTCTGCCGATTTCATTAGGCGCTTGCGTAGCTCGCTGGGAAATTTTTCGTAGCACTTCTTGCATACAGGCCTTAAGTCGATGTCGAAAAATCGGGATCTGCAAATGTCAGCCGTGTTTTGTAGACGCGTTCTTTATGAATCAGTGGTTGACACTTACTTGTCGGAGAGGGAACGATCGCAGTAGGAACAACAAAAATGCCTCGGGCACCACATCTTGTTCAGAGACTTGTAGCCTTCAGATAAAAAAAAAGTGAACAACGTAATTTGTCTTTGTTACACTTCACGCACGACAGTCGACAGAAATATTCAGCAAAAACCAACAGTAATATCATCAACGAATAAACACGGGGCAGACATTCAGCGAACTTAGTTCACAAATATTACAGTAAGGCCCCTTGTCTACCACTTAAAGAACCACAAGCCATGATCTTTGCTTTCGCTAAATGTTTCTTAAACGTAATCACTGATGTTCATAATTATAGCCACCTTCGTTGGCAATTTCCACCGCGTTTCTTTTTTTTTTTTTTTTTCAACGTACTTTTAGGGTTTTGTCTTCAGACCGCAAGGAGCTGGGAATATCTGATTCTCTCTAGAAGGCTGGCGAGCGAACCTGCCTCCACAGCTTTCTGTTCTAGCCCTCTTATGTGACGGTCTTTTAAAGTGTCCGGAGACCTCACGGTTGAACTCAACCGAACACAATGTTGAATGCTAGAGACTGTTATACATGAAGACGGGCTTTTTAACTAACACTGTCGCATTACAAAAGCGATCTTTTTTTTTTTTTCTTTTCATTGTGTACATATTTACAAATTCTCACTTCTGTGATAACTGATTTTTTGCACCAGACTGTATATGCGCTCTGTATTTTGCTACCTTTATTTTTTCCTCTTCCCTGTCCTCTGTTATCCTACTCCCCATCCCCACGCAGAGTAGCCAACCGAGACTTCTTCGGTTAATTTCTCTGTTTTTTCCTGATCAATAAATGAATGAAATTAGATGTTTTGACCGGGTGACATTTGTCTGCCAAAGTACGGAGACACTGTCACTCGCTTTAAATAAATAGTCTAAAAGTGCAGCCCGACTGCTAGCTTAGGATTTTAACGTGCATAACGCAGTATAGTGATACACGATCGAGCTAATGCGCATGCTGAGGAGGACGCGTTACACAGCCCAGTGGACAAGAATGGAAGCCCACAGAAGGTGCTGCGGGTGCAGCTGAAACATATATAGTTTAAAGGGATATTGAAACGAAATTTCAAGCTCACAAAATAGGGCTGGAGCGATAGGCGGGACGCTGCAGAACCCCAAAACACCACTCATACAGAAATATCTCTAACGGGCGGCCGTATTTTTGGAAAAGAAATACGCGATTGAAGACGGCCGACGAGGCATGTGACGTCACGATCCTCATTCCCTCTGCTCCTCGCTTCGTCCCGTCAAGTTGGTGTACCGAAGCGAGGAGGAGAGAAGCGAGGCCGCTTCCCCTCATTCTAAACTGTTCCAGGAAGATAGTGACGTCAGAGTACTTGCTTGATCGCGAAATTCTTTTCCAAAAATACGGCCATCCGTTTGAGATATCGACGTATGCGTGAGGTTTTAGAGTTCGTAGCGTCCCCTTCACCGCTTCTGCGGCCTTATTTTGCGAAATCCAAATTTCGGTTCTGTATCCCTTTAGGAGCCACGATACGATTTTTTTACTTAGGCTAAATACTGATTAGATTCACTCCCTTACGTTGATAACTGAATAAACCTGCCTAGATTTTTCTTTTTTTTCTAGGCAATGTTAGCTTCTTTTTTTTTTTTGAGAAATATGAGCATCGTTTATCCCCTCAACTCGGAGCCAGAACAAGCGGCCACGTGGCCTGGTGCCTTTCTTATGCCGCCAACGTTAATCATAGCCACGCGCTGGGGTTGGAAATGTAGAAAACGCGTGCTGATATCCAGTCATTGTTTGGCTATTCTCATCACCGCAATGGTTGGACACGAACCACTACCCAAAGGGCCGCCGAGGCATGTATTGTTACGAGACAAAGTCGAGTGATCACGCAGATCTCGTGTCCAATCCATGAGCCGCGCTCGACTGTAGTCAGGCGGGCGGTTTCAATTTCGATCCCACAATTACGTCATCAAGCTTTGCGAAGGCAAGACTAAAAGAAATTCTCCTCTTTATCTTTCCAATTTCACCGCAAAAAAAGAAAAAAAGAAAGAAAGAAGAAGCTTCTGAATCAGTGGCGGTCTGTGCCAGTATGCCTCTACAAAGTCATAAATATTCCAACCCGATATCGTTAACGAATCTGGTTTAAGGCGCGCCTAGAACGAATCCGGTTTCTGCGCAAGTGCTCTGTCCACACCTGGTGTAGACAAACGCGCGGACTTGTTCGTAAACATCGCGTTGGCCAATGGGCACAGAGAGCTCGTAGCATGCATATTTACCTTGAGCAGACGGAAGATTGCACACGAAGCACACGTAGCCGAAGAGCTGCTCGAAGTGCGTTTCGCAGTAGGCATGTCCCTTCTTCTCGTAGTGCCTGCGTCCGTTGAACGGTTTCTCGCACTGGGCGCACACGAAGTGCTGCGTTCGGAACATGAAACACGTAATGACAAGTGAGAGACGGTAAGACGGGCGATGCCTCCCCAGGCGAATCCCTGGTAGATTGGGATCAAACCTAAACACACATCTAAATAAAAAAAAAACCTTTACACGTTCTACATGTTCGGGGGAAACAAAATGAAGATCGTGTAGAGATAACATATCGGCAGAGTTGCTTTCAAAGTTGCGAAAAGGCTCTCGTGATTTCTCTTGCATGCTGCGACTGCTACCGCACATAATGACACAGGGCGTCCCATCGCAGTGTGTTTTTCACCGCAAAAATAAACTACGCGTCGCCGAATGCTCATTCTCCGCCCAAATGTAGCGCTAGCGGTTCAAAGCAGATGCCGAAGCTCCAGGGCTAACAGTTATCTTATTTGAAAGTTGTTGAAAGTTTCTGAAATTCTCAATGGGAAAATTGCAGCCGAGGAGCCCTTGTAATCAGGGAGCTGAATGAAGCCAGTTACCGAGAACCGGCCCCATTTTGCCATTGAACCACTAGCGCTAAATTAGGGCAGAGAATGACAGTTCGCGTTGTAATTTGCAAAGAAAAAGGACAATAGGTCGTGCAGTTTGCAAGCACAAAACTAGTTGTACAAGATATATTTCACTCACAATTATCAACGAACCACTCAGCTTAGTACCGACTTATGCATGGTGCAAGAAGGCTGCCTTCTTGCACATCCTTCTTCGCTGCCCATATTCACTGTTTAGGTCTGTATTAAGCTTTGGGCGGATTTATCGCCCCCATGTTAATATATGCCAATATTTTAATAATGTTCGATCTGCTTATCGGACAAGTAACAAACGTAGAACGCGCCTCCTAATAAAACCGTAAAAAACTTGACGCCTTTTTTTTTAATCTGAGACGCATTATTTGCTGGAAGATTGAAGTTTCGCTGTGATTCCTAGGAGCATAGCAATGCTCGTACAGGAAGAGACAAAAATGCACGACTGTAAGTACAACGAGACGTTTTTAGCATCACGTTTAACAACTACAGAACCTTAGCGTTGAAGCCCAGCGGGCGTTTGAGTGGTGACTGTTGGAAACTTTCTGGAAGCAACATAGTCGGCACCATTTTTGTCGGAAGATGTCGTAAAACGAGGGCTGCGACGCCGCGGTAGTGTGTTTACCGCGTCCAAAAAAAAAGAAATGGATTCTTCGATTTCCGCCTTATGACGTCATAGAAGTGTCATGTTGTCACCGGCCGCGATTCTGGCGGTGTCACAACAGTGGTGGTGGATGTGGTAGACGCCTGTTCTGCTGCAGGTCGCTCTCCAGCCGGACAGGAGAAGCTTCATGCAGCCAGGAGTTGAGACGCCGCGACGACAGCGACGACAGCGTTCTCTCTGCTTTTTTTCCAGAACTTCTACGCCCAACCGCCAGGATAGCGCCATCCAACAGCACGACATTCCGGCTTTTGTTACTTCATTTGTTGCCACTTTGGGACGTATACATCGATGCATAGGCGGTATACGACTCTAAACACGCCAGTCGGACACTCGTTCCAGGCCCCGTAGTCACCATAGATGTCGAAAAAGACATTGGCATGATGATGATAATGTCTAAGTGGCGACACATATATGTTTGTCTTCCCAAAAGATGCGTTGTATAAAACGATCTTCAAGGGCCGCTTACTCGGGCCTTGAAGATCGTTTTCCGTTCCGTCGGGCGCTTTAGAGCGCCGTTTGACTTTTCTTTCCTTTTCGTAATAAAATATTTCGTTATTATGTGATTCCGACGCATATTCCGATCCCTGATGGTTTCTACTGCCTCTCGCTGTAACGCTGACCTCGAATACTTCGATCTAAACCGTACTCGTGCTTCCGCTGAGCCGTATGAGCCTCAAGCTTCGGTTTTGGACAGCGTCGAATTTTACGTGACAAAAATGCCACCGCCGAAAACATGGCCCAGCAGTGTGAGACCCTAGCAATTCTCATATCTGAGAAATCAAGAACGCAGTATTTAATCCACTGAGAGCCAAAATTTATGTCAGATCGCCAGCCGCACACACGCCCCAGTGTGAGCGACCGCTTCTTAGACGTTGTCTCGATTCAGCTGAGGTGTTCATTCGGCTGGAGACTCGATTCGGCTGAAAGGTTTAATTTGGCTGGAAGACTCAATGCCACTGAAGGGCTTCATACGACTGAAAGGTTAAATTCGGCTCAAAGGTTCAAGCCGGCTGGACTCTCCGATTCGGCCAAATGTTCAGTTTGACCGAGACTCTCCAGATTCGGCCAGAGGTTATGGCTAAACTTTCAGTTTGGCAGGAAGTCCCAGTTTGACTCAAGCATCGCGCTTCGGCTGATAGACTTACTTATAGCCGACTCGATACGCAAAATCCTTTTAAGAATAACAAAGAGCGATTCTTGCGGAAGGAAGATTTTGTTGTCCCACGACGGCCGATGAGGCCTCACCTCGACGTGCCACTTCTTTCCCAGTGCGCAGACGACGCGCGTGTCTTCGATCGGCCTCCGGCAGGCGGCGCAGACGGAGGTCGCCATCTTGTCGCGACACTTGACGCAGTGCAGCTCACCGGACACCTCGCGGCCCTCTGGGGTCAGCTCCGCCCTGAAAATTAACAAAAAGCGATCGAAAGAAGAAAAAATACGTAAAAAATTAAGGAAGCTAAAGGCAGAATATCCTGCCTTGAGCTTCCAGTGTGCACACTCCGTTTCACACCACCTCCGAGCGCAGCCGACGATCCGGAGGATCCAGTCAATCAGCGAAAAAAGTGCATCGTCACGGCGCTCGTTGTTTTTGTACGTGACGATGCGCCTTTCGCGCTGCTTGATTAGCTCTTTCAGACCGGCTGCGCCAAGTTTTGATTTGAAAGGGATTACGGAACAGCCGCATTTATCGAGCAAGGGCATCTTACCCGCACTTGGCGCAGTTGAAGTGATAGGGATGGTAGACGTCGCCTCGGTGTCGCAAAGGAGCGCCGTCGATCGCCTCCCTGCAAGAAAGCGCTTAAAGCCCGACTGATGCGTCCGAGTTACTCACGCTGAAACTGGAGCCAGTGCATATATTGCAGGGAGAGAGCTGCGACGCACCGGAGAAAATCTGCACGAAGGATAAACGAAACGTGCCTCGGGTGCCCCAAGACCCGCCTCGCCGCTTTAATGACATGCACGAGTAAAAATTATTCCCTTCGTTTTGCAAGCACAGTGAAAGTATACCCTTATTTATTTATGTGTCTAATATCGAATATTGCGAGTGTCGCGATTTTTTACTTATCTGCTTTATTTTGTTATTATAGTATATATTTATCATTTGAAGTTATATCGGTGTGAAATGTTCACTAGAACCTCAAGCTATACATTACTCCCGCACTCGTCGAAAATATTTAAAGCGTAAACTAAAGTACAGATGTACATACACGTGGCAAATATGCCGTGCGCAAGGACGCCCGCGATTATGCGTAAAAGTGGAAATTCGTTTTTATACCCGCGGGAGTTTCTAATTAATGTAAGCTTTATTCTAGCTCGTAGGAAATCGCGGCATTTAATATTGTCATAAGGAGAGTCACGTTAATGTGGCCTTATACTACCCTCTGCAGTCGCCTAAAACTCCAGTGGTCCGGATTCGAAGTTGGCAGATATGACCTGAACCGGGGCCACGGGTCCCATGCATCGGGCTGTTCGCATTTCGATGCCGGAATACGCCGTCCGCGACTCGCGGTAATCGGTCGCACTTACTCGCACTTGGCGCAGGTCAGCTTGCCGGCGTCCTCCGCCTGGATGGCCTTGTAGCACTGGCGACAGTACGGTCTGGGCATGCGAACAAGAAGCGAGCTAAATCACAAGAAATTGCTTAGGCCGCCGTTGCATATGAAGACATGAAATCCGAGTCGATTTACACCGAAGCTACAGTCACTGACAGAGTGAGAACGGCAGGGGGTGTTTTTCGAACGCTCGGCCCCCAGCACGCGTTCCCTGTGCCTTCCGCCGTGCTTTGCCTGCGCACACGCGCTCGAGACGGCGAAGCGTCGCCGAAGTTGGGAAGCTCGCGCTGGAGGCGGGACAACGGAAGCTCCTCCCAGCCGTTCTCGACTTGTCAGTGACAATGCGGCCAGAAACTGAGGGAGAGGAGGAAACGAGAGGGGACGTCAGTACGCCGAGCTCTGGCTGGAAGGATTAGTGGGTGGAACTAAAGTTATAGCTGCCTTTGTCTCCACTGCACTGAAGGTGTTAGGACTCGGACGTGTTAGGGACGCGATCGAACACGTTCGAACAGTGCAGTGGAGACAAAGGCAGCTATAGATTTGATGTATTGGCAGTGTGATCAGCATCGAGACCCTGTGACGTCTTCATTTGCAATATTTTGTTCTGTCGTCGATGGAAAGCAAGCAGCACAGTGTCGGAGTGTCAACTCTGGCGATGTTGGTTTAAGAATTTGCGACGACGCCGAGCTTCCATTTTTATTTTAACGCAAACCATCGAACTTGTAGTTCGTCGCTGATGATAAGTAGTCGGGATTATACGATTGATGACGTCACGGCGAGGCGAATTCTGGTCGTGGCCTCCGAGATCTTTCGCGCGCTGGCTGCGCTCCGCGGGCCATTGCATTCGCCGGTACAGACTGTTACTTCGTGGCATTTATAGTGGCGCTTGCAATTAAACCAAACCAACGGTTCTGAACCAAAGTAAAGCCCCTCTATCCTGGGAAAAGTGGCGCCCTTCATTGTTGTGGAAAAGCTCGAGACACGTGCCTCGCGCCACTTCTGGGAAGAACATGGCGTCTGAAATCTAGCTCAGTGCTGCGCTGTGCCGCCATTATCTTCCCAAGGGCTGCACGTTGCACGTGCCTCGCGCATCGACGCACCTGGCGCTACTTTTAAAACATGAAAAACCTTTAAACCAAAGAATACCAAAAGGAAAATATCCGCAAAGTATTGTCGTCACCATTATCGTTAGGTCTACGGAACCTAAGAGCAGAGCGCAATGTGCCCCCCGCCTCGCGCCGTAACACAAAAAAAAACCTTTGACGAGGAAGAAGTTTATCGAAATGTGAAGGTTCATCTTTTCAAAGCGCGAAAGGTGCAGAACAAACGTCCGTGGACGCAAGTGAAGTTCAGAAAGCTGTTCTCAGATATGACGACAAAAATATTTCTATACCTGTCGGCGCGACAGGTATAGAAATATTTTTGTCGTCATATCTGAGAACAGCTTTCTGAACTTCCCTTGCGTCCACGGACGTTTGTTCTGCACTACAACCCAGACAGTCCGCAAAGGACAAAAATACATTCGCGTTCTAAATCTTGCATTCTGAGGTGTCATCCAGCGAAACAACGCAAAGACCGGAGCAGCGAATAAAAATTACGAATCAACAAAGATCGACTTGCCTATCTCTATTCTGATAATGAGAACAATGTAGATGCAAGCTTCATGTCGCGAGCTCACAGTTGACAGCGTGCTTTGAGGCGATTATGCTTCCGTTTCTGGGTTGGTTCTAAACGCCGCACTGGCTCGGGTCGCTTTTTCTGCCGGGCATCCGAGCGTGTGGGCAGGGCAGAGCAGAGCGCGCGAAAACTCTCGGAGGCCATGTTCTGGTCGGGATATCACGAACGAAAAACATAAGAGGGCACAACCGAAACATCTCGTTTGCAATAGGTTTGCAAGTACGGCCTCATGGCGCCGCCATCTTGCTCAGTTGGGGTGCGCTTGGGCGCGGCCATATTCCGATTAGGACGCACCTAAGCGCACCCCAATGAGCAAGATGGCGGCGCCATGAGGCCGTATACTTGCAAACTTCTATACTCCGTTCCACGATAACTTGGCGAAATGTGGACGCTGCGGCCACCGCGACCCAATTAGAGCGTCGGAGCAAGGCTCACCGCCTGTGTATGCTGACGAGCCCGGTGTCCGAGAGGCCCGCCTTGCAGCGCTTGCATCGGAGGCAGTCGGCGTGCCAGTCCCTGCCCAGGGCCCGGATCAGTCTGCCCGAGATGTCTCCCATGCACTGGGCGCACATCGGGATAAACAGCCGCCGGAAGTCGTACTCGCAGTAGTTGCGCCCTTCGAACTGCGTCAAGCGTGGACATCATCATTTATTTATTTATTTTACCGCTGTATTTTTAGTTTTTGCTTTGAGATTTCCTGACAAGCTTGCCTAGGTACGTTCTTATAGACGCTTTGCAGCAGCTGTGCATGGACGCCGCCATAACTGACCTTCAGTTTTTATTCCCTCTTATTCCGTTCGCTTCACTTCATCATTACCACAGCAGGAACGGTTATTGCCATTTTAGATGCTACTGTGTTCTTGTGACCAGCATAGGCCCTTGTGAAGACCCGTCTTCGCCCGCTTCAGCAGCTCGGCATCTCGGTAAGACAAGAGAAGGGCGGCTATGGCGGCTCAATCTGGCGCGTGGGTAAAGCGTCTATAGCAATTTTTAACTGTTCTGTTGTTTTTTTCTTCGCACAATTGCCAGTCCGTTATTGCCTGAGCACGTACTCTGACCATCTATTGGACACAAGGAGCGAGGTAGCGTTCGGCGTGAACTAGGACCCAACCACGCGCCTGGTGTCCAATGAATAGCGACCGTCACTGTTGCAGCCTGATGGACTTTTGAAAATATCATTTTAGAAGAGCAGGGTGTGGCGAGTCTATCTTATTATCGATCAGCAGCTAATTAGAGTGAGGCATTATCCAATAAGAGCGCCCAAGGACGAATCACAAAGCAAGAAGCATGAACATTACGTGCCTGGCATTTCTTAAGCCGTCAATGATTGCAGTAGTCTCGTTAATACTAAACAATAAAAATCGATTGCAACTATAACTATACTAATACGCGATGTCTATTTGATTGTTTTATTTTTCTTTTCATTATCAAAACCCAAAAGGAACCAAAAGGAAACTTTTGGTGTTTTCTTTTTATTACTATCACCAAGTTCTCGCGCGTGCGTTTGTGCGTGTGTGTGCGTGTGGGGGGGGGTGGAAGAAAGTAATAAAAAATTCGGTGCAATGTTTAAATTAGGACGTCCTGAAATGAACGTCAAGATGAAAATGCTAGTAGATTTGGAAGTAATCCAGATCAAGTAAAGTGCCACGTAATGGTGGTATGAAAAAATTTCCTCAATTAAACTACATTCATACATCCGACAAGAAGCTCGCCACATCGGTGATAACATGATGACCCAGAAAAAAATAAGAAAATAAATAATATTACTATGCAGAAAAAGCAACGAGTCGATTACTAAAAAATCGCTATGAAATTAAACTAATTGAAGTTACCCTAATTAAATTAGATGTAAACCTACGGAAAGTTCTTCAGATGGGTAGCCAGAGTGGAACACCGCAGCCAACGTCGCAAAGACTGTCTCTTCGTATCCAGAACTCTGGTGCGTCTACTTTCGCGCAAAGCTCTTGGGAGAACCAATCGCTCCAACCCAAAGAGGGGGAACTCGGCAATCGACCAAAACGGACAAAAAAGAAAAGTGTTTAGACCGAAAAAAAGAAAAAAGAAAAACATCTGCGTTCTTCTAAACGCAAGCTGTTTTTTTTTTTTGTTTTTTTGTTTTTTTTAGTTAGGTCTGCATATATTTTAAGCTTCGTCAGTCGCCGAGCTTTCTCCAAGGAATTCAGCGATTGGCTCTCCCAAGAGCTTCGTGAAAAAGTAGACGCTCTACGCTCTAAAAAAAGTGTGTGCGTCTACTTTCACGCACAGCACTCGGAGAACCAATCAGCGCAACTTTCGGAGGCAGCTCAGCGAATGACGATGCCGAAACATGTGTTTAGACTAAAAAACGACGTTTTGCATTGTTTAATGTCACAACTCAGACAGCGTTTATTGGTCTAAACATACGTTTCGGCATTGTCATTCGCTGAGCTGCCTCCGTAAGTTGCGATGATGGGTTCTCCGAGTGTTGTGCGGGAAAGCAGACTCACGGGCTTTTTTTAGAGTGTAGGGTTCTAAGAGTCACGAGCATATTTGTATCACTCCGCCGCGGCATTGGAGATTGCGACGTTCGTCGAAAAGAGCGCCGAGTAACAAATCACAAAGAACGCAGCGTGAATGTAATACGTCACGCCCTGCGTCTCTTTAAAGACAGCTTTTTGTAATCCTTATTTAAAACGCACGTAGCAATACTTAAAGCAGTTCGTCACCTCGTAGTAGACGTCATCGGGAAAACGCCGGAAACACTGGGCGCATCTGTAAAAGAGGGCAGGCGACAAAAGAAAGGTAATCGGAAACAAACCGTGAGCTAGCGATCATTTTACTCGGTTTGAGGTTATACGTAAACAGATCAAAAAATACAATAATGTGTGATTAAAAAGCGTCACACAGACTCTGCTGGGAAACTCTTTGCGACAACACGTGACACAACTAAAAAAAAACTAATTGGTGGACAACGCACGGGGCGTTGTAATTTCTGGGGCATCCTCCGCTATAGTAATAAAACTTGGCGTGCTTTTTTTTTTCTTTTTTTACACATTTAAGTTGTTACAGCGGCTGCAAACACGGTGGTGTAGGCCGGGAGCGAAGTATTTCCTATCAATGAACTGCTGGTCAGTTGGTAACGAACAATACTGCTTCGCAAAGTCGCAAGAGCTGCAAACAAATATACATCCAAGATCGTACTTCCGATTGCTTCAGTACTTCGCCAAGGGTTTAGGGAACTAACGTTGCGAAATCAAGTTTGCACTGAACTTTTTTTTTCTCCCGCCTCGATGTGTTGCATCCCAACATGATTTATCGCTTGCCGTCTGGTGTTTCAATGAATAGAGGCACCGATCCGCAGTCTACGTCTAGGCGTGGTCTTCGCGAGATACTTTCTTCGTCGTATCAAAAAAGAAGTACGTTCCAATTGTCCAACGTGCAAACTTACTGGATGTTTTCATAGTACAAACTCGCACACCTCCACTGAAAGAAAGGTAGTTCAGGCGGCGTTGGAAAACAGGAATTTAACTCATTTTATTATTCAGAAGAGGTACTCATCAGCTGTAAGCTGGTAAGATCTCTCTCTCTCTCTCTCTCTCGATCTCTGTCTTTCTCTATCTGTTATAAATATATTTAATCTTTCTGGTATACAAAAAATCTACCTGCGATATGAAAAAAAATATAATCATATTTAAGTTTCAGGAGTATGCTAACCCCCAATCGCTGTAACTCAAATTCTCCGTATACGCTACATTACGTTCGTTTCACTATTACGACCAAATGAATGGATGCTTCACGATGCGTGCTTTTTCCCAAAATTCCATAAACGAAACTCTTTGTTTGCAGCACCTACACTTCAGCTGGGACAAAATGGTCGCACGGAGATGCTCACGTACACGAAACACTCGGGGTGCCAGATCTGGCCGCACGAGTTGACAATCTTCTCGAGCTGCCCGAAACCTTCCCCACACTTGGCGCACGCCATCAGCTCTGGATACGCCAGGGAACTCGTCGCCTGGTTAGGGGCGTTACTCGAAGAGCTGAAATGAGTGAGCAAAATGTCTATTGGGCGATTTCATTTCAAACCATGCAGGAAAAAACGGTCATGTGTCAAAATCTTTGGAAGAAATATATATGCTGAACAAATGTATCACTAGGACGAAACTGAAAACCGCTTTTGCGTCATGTTTACTGTTCTCGAGTTTTTCCTCTTTTTTTTTTTTCACTTGTAAAGGACCAAAGGCGGATTTTAAAAAGGATTTTGGCGATCGTAGCAGGTCGCGTATGTGGGAGCTTCGCCAGGCTTAGATACCCACCGCAAAACAAAGAAACTTTTTACGTGGTTTCTTAAACTACAGTAAAGGATCCAAATGTTTATTAAAACATGTGTTTAACTTTATGTATTTTTTTTTGTAAAAAAATTCAGAACCTAGCTTATTTTACGATAATTTACCTGGTTTGTATGATAAATTTTGTTACATTCAATATCGTGGAATATAATTTATATGTCAAATAATAGCTTAAACAAATACACATTCAACAAGTACAATATTGGTATTGTTAAATGGAGCTATTTTATAGAAAAATAATGGATTTGAATATGAGAGGAATCTCAAAAAAATAAAAATTTCACCATTTTCTTTAAAACGTTGTTTGTAATTATTTTTCTTAGTATAAAGAGCCCCTGGTATGATCTAACTAAAACATGCAATAAAAAAATCAGATGTAATATACGGTTTGGACAGATGAATCTGTACATTCGAGAAAACGATATAGTTAAAGTTCACATTTTAAAATGTGAAGAAGTCGCGTATCGTTTGTTTCTACCAGATTATGAATTATTTGTCAGTACTTACTCATAGTGTTGGTTGGCTTCGATTTAACAAAAAATAGGTATGTCATGTATAATTTTTAACGTTTTCATACACACATCAGTTAATTTTCTTAAAAATAAAACAAAAATCGCGAATAAAAAACCATTTTGCTTAATGTAATGAAAATTTTACATAAATGTATAAATATTACCATCTGAAAGTTTTATCCAATGTACTGTGGCGCTAGGGGCAACAAAAATTATTATACTACTGAGATTCCGAGAGGCCTAACGCGTTTCATCGTCCGGTCACATCATGATGGCTCACTACCTCGATGTCAAGAAAAGGAACAGAATGCTGCAAGTTTAGTCAAGAACATTCGGTATGACACTTATGAACGAAAGCTCAAAACAAGAACGAGTTCCTCAATGTTATGTTAAACAAAGAGCTAAGCACCGAAAGTAATGTAACCTGTAAAAATTGGTCACAATAAACATTCCCGTAAACTTGTGCGACCAGATAGTTTATTTATGTAATTGTATGTACTTCCCCGTGGGTGTTTGGAAACTTTCTTTTTTTTTTTTTTCGAACTCGCAAGGCTTAACGTGCGAGAAGCGACGGTTGGATAAGATCGAAATTTAGTGCCAGGGCTGTCAGCACATTGAAAATATCTTGTTTCCCCCAAAGACTCGATTATTCCACATACAAATTTTGGATGGAAGTATCTATAAGCTTTTAACACTCATGAGACAATTAAAGAAAGTTTAAATTGCGATTTCCTTGATTTTTTTAAAGTTATTAAATTTGGTATGTGTAAGAAAACCCTCATATATTAAACATAACATCCCATCTACGCGAAAGCTTTACGTTATTTAATTTTGTGTTATATCGAAGCAAACAAGTACTCCGACAAGGTGCCAATAATTAATTATTTAATAGGCGTACAAATGGCGATGACCAACTTTGTATCTTGAAATAGACCTTTAAACATACATTTGGAATGTACAAACTTATATCCAAATAATACATTACATCTATATTTATTGAATATTAGACCATAACAAAAGCTCTTCATACAAAGAAAATTAGATATTACTTTTTTAAGAACATGTATGTTGAAATGTGTACTTCTTGAGATTCCTCTAATTTCAAAGCCCCTGTTCGCTAATATAACTTCATGTGACTATATCGATACTCTACCTGATAAATATGTATTTGTGTAAGCTTTCATTTTATAGAGTATAGTTTATGTCACCACATTGAATGTAACAAAAGTTGTCACTCAAACCAGGTAAATTATCATCAGAAGAGCTAGATCCTGGACTTTTTTTTCCAAAATATTAGTAAAATCAAAAACATTTTTATGAACATTTGGCTCTTTTACTGTAGTTTAAGAAATCACGTAAAAAGTTTTTGTTCTGCGGTAGGTGCATATGTGAGGCTGGCGAAGCTCTTAAATACGGGACCTGTGACAATCGCCGAAATCTCAAAATCCGCCTTTAGAAAGTCAAAAACTCGATAACTAAAAATATGACACACCAAAAAAAAAAAAAAGTTTTCAGTTTTGTCTTAGTAAAGAGTTTATCCAGCATACATATTATTTTCGAGATATTTTGAGACTTGACCCTTTTCTCCCGCACGATATAAAATGAAATCGCCCAATTATAAAAAGTTGGCACTCAGTGCCAACTTTGCAACTCAGTGCCAGCTAGTCTCAGTCAGGGGGTGTCGGACCCCCCATCAATTTTAACGAATAGTCTAATACCCTAAGTTACACGGGCAGCCTTAACCGCGGTTATGTGTGACTGAGGAGGTATAGTTGGAACCAACTGCTAACCATACTTAAGAGTAACTGCGGTTTAGGACGCCAGTTAGGCACCCTCAACTTCTTCTAAATCGGACCTCAGTCACACTTAAGGGTGTCCATGTAACTAAAGTTACACAGACCCACCCCCCCCCCCCCCCTTCCCGCGAAGGTGGGATGAACACCATAGCTGCTAAATTTTGCAATAAGATGTAAAAAGTCAATTTTCGAGCAATTGAAGCTTTGTCTTAGCCGTAAAAGTTTCACGTCTAAAGTGCAACCGAAAGTAAGATGTTTCAGATCGCCTTTACGATTAAAACTATCTCTGACAGAGAAACATAATTGGGTCATTGTGCGGTTGTGTTTCTCACTATGCCGTAACGTTAAACATTTACGCACCAGTTAAATTCGTTTTCTGTGCACCTAATACGCTCCCACCACTCCCCTCTTTCTCTGTGTATCTCTCCTCTCTCTCGCAAGCGTCTAATGGGAGACTTTCAGCGACCGATACTTAGGTACGTCGTAAACTGAGTTTGAGAGATCGACGCTTGTAGTTAGGGAGCTGTAATTTTTCATATAGGGTATATTTTAGGTGTCCATTTGATCTGAATTGTGAGGTTTATAAAAACGTTTCCTTCTATTCGTAAAAAAAAAACGCTTAAACATTTGAATTTGCCGCCCCTTTCGTGGAAAAGTTGTTAGATGCGATTAAATAGACATGTCATATGTTGTCGGTTGTCGGTGTTCGTGCCTTGCGTTAAACTTTTCGATTATTTCGTAATATTTTCTTTTTAATGAGAACGCGAAACCGACCGCTCAGAAACACACCTGACAAAAATTTAAACATTCTGCGAGCAACAATATATATATATATATATATATATATATATATATATATATATATATATATATATATATATATATATGTATATATATATTTTACATTTAGGGTGTTTGAATATTGATACCATCAACCCTGCACATTTCAAACAGTTCACACCTTTATGAATGTAAATTAGCTTATCCCGAGGCTAACATATTTGAGTTCCCACCGCAAATATCTTTTTCCTTCTTTTCTTTTTTTTTTTTTGTTTTTAAATACGCGTTATCCCACAAAAGTATGTCAGCTGTATAATGATCTGTACGGACACATTGACGCAAATGCTCGTAGTTTTGAAAAGATCCATGAACAATGAGAGTGAAGTTGGAAATAGGAACTGAATCGTAGGTTTTGTTTTTATATTAAATGCATTTATTTCAAAAAATATTTGACGTAATACCAGTATTCTGGACAATTCGGTAAAATATGCTTTTTTTTGTTTTTTGTTTTTTTACACTTAGCATTAGTCAAAGCTAAGGACAAATATGTTGCATGAAGGCTTAGACAGCGAAAAGAATCTCTTAATATAAAGTAAAAAAAAAATAACACAGAGACTTGGCACGCGATTGGGAATTCTTAGAAACAGTAGATCCGCTTGTTTTATATAAAAATAAACTAATAATATAATGTAAACTAGCACCTTCGCGCTAGTTTACAATATATTGCGCAAGCGCGGGAACCCCTATTCTTAGAGTCTTGTGACGTCACGGCCCAAGGGTGTGACGTCACCCCAATAATGTAACGCCTCAATGGTGTGACATCACAAAGCATGAAATCGCGCAGGAATCGTGACGAAGGACACACATTACGCCAGCTGTGGGATCAGTATAGCCTCGGACGATCCTAACGCTTGGAATGAATACACGGCAACGTAAGACACGCACGGTGCGGTGAGTCCTGCCCGTCCTATTCTGTAGCCAATGAGAATAAGGAATTAGGCGCAGAAGAACAATTCAAGCCACACCCTACATTTCTTGAGTCGTCAGTGACCCATTCAGAAACCCACCGGGCCGGCATCGGAGACTTGGGCGTAGACGAGGACACGGGCCCTCCACGTCCGGTGGGGCGTGGTGAAGTACGATCTGCCGCCGAGGCGTTTTCTTCGTTGTTGGCCAGATTCGCGTAGCTTCCATACGAATCAGAGGACACCCTGGGCTTCTCCGGCGAAAGTCCTTCCATCACTTTACTCAGATGTTCGGTCCTACGATGGTAAAGTTCAGAGGCGTCCAACTTGAGCTGGGTGTTCGGTAGAGGCATTTTCCTTCCTTTGCCGCGAGCAAGTTCCACGCTGGACGATCATTTTTTATCTCGAGGGTCGTAATAACACGAGCGTCGAGGAAACGGCAACGGCGCAGAGTGTCTGATAACGAACGATAAGGACGTCTTCAGACTGCGCGCTCGGAGCGAGTTTGGTGTAATATAGTTTTTTTGTGCCTCCTCCTAAGCTTCTCTGTTTTGAACGGATAGATATAATCGCTATTTCATACCCGCTTGTCACATTGGATTTTCGATTAGGTGGCTTCAGAAGGCCCGAATTAAAGATTCGCCCGCGTCCCGCGACCACCCCTTTCTGTAGAAGAGTCTTCGAGATGGTAGGTGTTATTGCTGAGGGACTCGAATAAAGTTGAGTTTAAGAATCATAACTCCCAATTTTCTTTGCAATTTACAGAATTGTTTACGCATCTGTTCTCAAGCGACAATCAGGGTTTTCGCCAGGGTAAAACTTTTTTGACCACCTAAATCGCAAAATGTTGCGGGAAGCTCCTCCCACCTCTTTCCACCTTAGCGGCTTAGCGGAGCGAACGCCGGAGAAGGCGCGACTTTCCCTTCCTCGTTCGCTCCGCTGAAGTGGAAAGGGGTGAGACAAACTTGGACTGGGATAAATTGGGATTTTACTAATCGTACATTGTTTAGTGCGTCAAAAGAAACCTAGTACACGGGTAGGTAGGATACCCCCCCCCCCCCCCCCCCCAAAAAAAAAAAAAAAATACTGCTCTTCGGTACAAAAATTTTAAAATATAGCGGTCTATTTCTTTCCTCCTTTCCTTCACCTTTTCCCTGTAGTGCACCAGCGGTGAGAGACTCCGGTTATCCGGATTCCCGTGGCAGGTGTTAAACGAGGTCGTGGTACCCTTGGTTAAAAAAAAAAGTAAAAGGAGGAGAAAGTAGTGAGGGCATTGTTGAGGAAAAACGGTGGTCACATAGTGGTTCCATACTTGTACAAGGTATGGAATTCCAGCTTTTTGTTCTCAGCCCCTCAAAAAAATTACACAAATTTGTTCCTCGTTGGACTTAAATTTAAACAAATTTTCCCGACAAAAATATACACTAACCCTTTTGTGACCTGTACCTCGTGCGTAGTGCGCAGCATCCCTTTAACATGTTTTCGAACGTATATGAAGGTTAGACTATAACCTGTCTCTTAGATCAAAGGTCCCTAAACCCCGGCCCGCGAGCCAGATCCGGCCCGCAGAGGCGTTCCGGCCCGCAGAGGCGTTCTGGCCGGCCGGTGGAAGGCCGCGGTCTTTTTAGGGACGCACAGCCCGCGGCCCACTGCTACGAACGCAAAAAATCAGCACTTGTAAAAAAAAAAAAAAAAGCAGCGCCGCGACATGCATCAAAAGCGCAAATGAATATTAGAAAGGATGAGAGAAACGGTAGTGTTGTGCGAATATTCGAATAGTAGTTTGGAATAATACGCTATTCGATATTCGCTTCGAGGTGAACTCTGAGGGCAGATTCACGAAGAGCTTTTTAGTTTACGACAACTTAGCTAGAAGTTCGTAAGTTAAGAACATCGTAAGATGAGGAGAAATCGGTATTCACGAACGCGTTCTTAAGTGAGAGGAGGAAAGCGACGTTGTCGTACGGAAAAACTAAAACTTACCGGTGCTGTTGCTATGGCGACGGCGTCTTCGGCAGCACGAACAACCAATCGGAGAGCTCGGCATTTGTTCGGAGCCGTTCGGAGCACGTGGAATTTCCATAACAAACACAGGCAGCCTTTCTGCCACCGCTTGTCTGGGGTTCGTGTCCGTGCAGTGATATGTCGACGCTATAACACAATTTAAACACGCCCGAATGCCGAGGCCGGGATGCGTAACCGCCCCCATTGACTGCTACGAACTCGATCGCTACGAAGTCAACACAACTGTCATCGTTGGTAAAAGACGGCCCGCAGTCGTTTGCAAAGCGACGTAGATGGAAACTAATTGCCGCGGCGTTTTTCGCGGCCTCGGAGATGCAGGAGCGAGCCGACGTTAAAAAAGATACGTTTGAAGTACGAGAGTGTCAGCAAGAGCCACGTAATACCTGGACGTGCGCGTTTGATTGAAGTGCTGATTTCGCGCTGTTGGACCGCGAATTGATAAACGCTTCGGGACCGATCCTTTGCAATGGACTTTTTCCACATACCGACGGCACCAGGCGGTGGCTGCACGAACTAAAAGGAAGTGACCTACCTGCGTTACCAATCGCTAATGGGAGCTACGCTACCAGTTTCTTCGCTCTCTGAGCAGCAGCGCCTGCCCAATGCGACTTGAAAGAGGGGCATCCGTGGCGTCCACCCAAACGTCGTGTTTTCCTTTCCGTCGACGTTCTTTTTTTGTGTAACACAATTATATATATGCTGCAGTTACGTGTTCTACTCGCTGATATACAGCCTCCTTCCGAATTTCCTCGATTTTTTGTTCCGACTTCTGCCGCTTGGCATCGGGCGCTCGCGCGTGCGCAGAACGCTTCTCGGAAAAGGTCCATTGCAACTCGATGCTGACGTGACACCCGGCAAAGAAAGGTTGGACCGGCATTGCGACTCACGAACTGTTATAGCGATCGACAGTGAGGTGCAGTCGTGTCAGAATAAAAATGGAATACTAATAACAAAGTGTACATGCCGTGTTGCGAAGGTAATCCATACGGCGTTTATTTGAGCTCGATATCACAGAAAACACGGAGAAAGAATCGATGAGAGCCACTCTTCGACGACAGCGTTCGTCACCGCTACCTCAGGAAACAAGGAGATGACAAGAGGAAGATATTGACCTTTTAATCTAAAATTGAGGTCAGCGATCAAACTATAATACGGGAAGGGTTCACAAGGGTCGCGCGGGCATATTCCATTCAGCACGCCAGCCGGTCGCGGGCAGACGGTCTTGGCCAAGGACAGTCAGAGCACCGCTGCGCCGAGTCGGAGTGCCTGCTAGGCCTATCCGAGCTCGCTCGGTCGGGGTCCGTGGAATCGTGGCCGTTGGAGCTTTTCCTGGGTGTTCGTGGATCCAGCGTTCTTGTTCGTTCGTCGTGGTCTGTTTCAAGCACGTTTTACTTTTTTCTTGCTGCTTGAAGTCGGGACGCGTGAGAAGCGCAGGTAGAAAAATAAACGTCCGTTGGTTGTCGCGACCAACTGCGACGCTGTCGGCCATACTGATTTGATCGTAAGAAGTGTGTAAGACAGCTTCGGAGCTGTCGTAGGATTTCGTCGTAACCTGCGCAAAACTTACAAATATTTCGTTTCGTGAATACGAATGTGTTCTTAAGTTTTGTCTTACGCACATTTTTGGCGTAAGATCGTTGCGTGAATCTGGCCTCATTCGTATTTTTGAAGTGTTGACCGCGGCGTGTTTGCGCCGTTCAGGGCACTTCTTACCGAGCACCGGTGCACTGAGGAGAAGCAACATCCGTGGAGCTCGCTTCCGGGGGTTTCTCCGCAGTGCAGCCCTGCTCGGAAAGCGCTCTCTACGGAACTAGCTCGTCGCGTTCAACATTTCGAAAAGTACGAATATTGTTAAGAAAAGCCCTGTTCCAAAGCGGGATGCCGCACGCACGCGCGTGCAGTGCGTAAAAAGAAACGAAAACTTTGTGAATGTTGATGCACACTACAGTAAAATTTTCAAAATTGAACTGTGGCTATTATGCAAGAGTATATGTTAGGCTGAGATATCCGGACAACCTACGTTAACCATTCATGATTGTCTTTTATTATTTTCTCAAATTCTAGATGTAATAAAGAATATTTGCATATAGCAAGAATATTTACAAATCCCCTCAATTAGGTATAGCTGGGCTTCTCTATAGGTTTAATTTTATATCAAACGCATCGTCTACTTGCCACTCCCATGTAGGCAATGGACTTTTTAAAGTCACAGTTCATAAATATAGTTAGATTCAAATTAACATAGCTTGGATATGGACAAGTGGAAGCTTCAGAACAACCTTTACGAGTTTAGATGGGTTTTCAATTAGACATGGTGCTGTAGTGAAAAGCTTGGAGAAACTATTCAATATTCGACTAGAAAATATTTGGCCAAGACCACTATTCGCTTCGAACTCAAAATAAACTCTTCGCGCATGCCTGGAAAACTGCTTCAAAACGCCGGTTCTTGCGGCATATTATTTATCGTACATTGTCATCAGCGGAATTAATTACTATTCGCAGTTCCCTGCTTCATGTCTGCGTAGCTATAATATATATATGTTTCACGAAAGGTGGACAAATTCAATACTGCAAAAACTATGCGTCGCGCGCAAAAAAAAAAAAAAAAAAAAAATCTTGTGTCGTTTTCGTTTTGGGTTATATGGGCCTATTTAGGAACATTATTGAGGTCCCGGATAATTAGATTGTTAATTATTTTTGCGTAATTAACTTACTTAAATTAAAAAATTGCTCAGCATCGTCGAAAAACACCAAATAAAAAAATTGCAGAACTATAGAAGGCACGCGAAGCATTCCACGACTTTCTAAAAAAGCGCACAAATTCGACGGGTTTTTAAGTTTCGATTTGCAATCGGAGCACCTCTCGGCCCCGACAGCACCGCGCCCCGGGGAGAAATAGTGCAACCAACCTCTGCTGCGTTGCGCCAGGACAGCGCAGCAGAGGTCTGGTTGCACAGATAGTGCTACAGAAAGCAGAACCTTCTGTAGCACTAATATATATATATATATATATATATATATATATATATATATATATATATATATATATATATATATATATATATATATATATATATATATATATATATATATATATATATATATATATATATATATATATATATATATATATATATATATATATATATATATATATTGTTTTTAAAGGGGTTATGAAACGAATTTTGGGCTGGGATAAATGAATTTCGATTAGGATTTTGCTAATAGCATATCGTTTAGTGGGCCAAACAAAAGAAGGTAGAAAGTCGAAAGCCTGATTTGCGATAAGAATATTTTAAAACAGCGGATTATTTCATACCTTCTTCCTTTCGAGAGCGCTCTGCCTTTTCACTGTGATACATCCGCGGTACCCCCAAAGCGCGTCACCCGGTTCAAACGTACGTCAGAACGGGCCTCACTTATTCCCTTCACCCCTAAGCTGACAGTGCGGTGGAAGCTATGCGCTTGCCGTACCAATCAGCCGCCTCCCTTTCATCACCTGACCTCATTCTCTGCGCGTGGGTATGCATGAGGGAGCGTAATCACGTAGCAGAAATGTGGCGTGCCCAACGAGCACGTAGCTTCCACAGCACTGTCAGCTTAGAGGTGAATGGCGTGGGGAAAGCAACATTTGTCCGAGTTTTGAGCGACGGGGTAATCTGGGGGGAGAATGGCGTTGTCCAGTATTCTTCTACAGTTTCCAACATTTTTTTTTCTATAATTTTATTCATGTTTCATACTAAGTCTCTCTTCCTATTGTTTCTTTCTTTTCTTTTACAGACTCGTGAATAATGGCGCACTGCATATTTCCAAAATTAATTCAAATGGAAAATTTTTCTTCTGCGCACTAACGACACGATGTATACGTTTGTTTGTTTGTACTTCTGCAGATGTCGATGTGCTATTTGCTATGGCAATCCTGGTGCTGTCTCGATTATAAATGCAGAGTCCTATCAATGCATTGCAAATAAACGTCGAAAAAAATGAAAGAGGTATCGTTCTTAACTCGGCCAAAACGTAGGTAATCAAGACAAAACCTATGTAGTACTAATATATATATGCTTTTTTTTGTTTTTTTTTGGAGGGGGGGGGATTTTGTTATATGTACCGTATCCTAAAACAAATCTGGAACGATGATTAACGCAATTCACGAGGACATTGCGATCTGTAAAACATACTAGCAGCAGTTTTACTTCACAAGTCTACTGCAAGGTAGTGTCACTGCAATCATCCCTTTGCTGCGCTGTAGGGAATCGAGATATACACGAAATCGCGAAGACCGCTCTGAGGATGCCGCTGCACCGCAGTCCAACGGTACGCAACGAGAAGCACACTCAACGGGGCTTACTAACCCGCACGGACACGCCACAAACAACGAGGTACACTGGAAGACTCTCGAATGGTGTGCGTTTGATACGAAGATCAACTCGAATAATACTTTATTCGATGAGATAATCGAAAGTTGGGAAAATTCGCACAAGTGTCCTGTTACGATCCGTCAGTTACCGAAGCCTCAGCTATCAGCTTCCGTAAGGGAAAATTAACTTTCGACGTAATGTCGCCACAAATTCCTCACATTCGGCTGAAATGTTGGATGCAGTCTGGTAAGCGTTTTGGCGCAGATGGCGCATTAATCACATCACTGGCACGATCATCGCCATTCTTTGACCTATTTGTCGTGAGTTAGTTTTCCCTGAAAGTGATATTCAACGTCCCGGGGAATACACCGCAACTTCATCATACGTGACTTATTTTTTTATTATTATTTTTATTTTTTAGACTTGAATTTTGTGAGTTCGGAAAATGGTGAACTAGGCGTTCGCGTCGATTTCGGGTGGTTTTTATCTGCAATATATCTCGCCATCAGTGCAAAACATCAAACAAAACTCCGCAACATTTTTTTTTTTTTCTTGTTTTAGAATTTAAGTGTTAAATGTTTGACGATAATTCCTGGAGGGGAACATAGGGGGACAAAGGACAGACACAAATCTCCAAACACAACTATAGTCCGTTGCAACCTAAGAACGAAGGGCGAGGGTAAGACGGGCCGGGGAGGAGGAAGCAGACGGAACGCTAAAGAGAGAAGGTTTCCCCCTCTCTTCTCCAGCATTCCGTCTGCTTCCGAAAAAATCCGCCTGGTTCTGGTATTGAACCAGGGACTTCTCCATTTCCAGTGGAGCGCTTTACCAGCTGAGCTAACTAGGAGTTCGACGTCAATAGAGCAAACGGGCTTTATCAGCTGCTACCAGTCTAACACCAACAAGGGCAAACGACCTGCATTTTAAGGTTATGATGATAATGCAGTTAATGTAAAGGTGCAAGCGAGCTGGACAAGAAGGAGTATAATAATCCCTCGAGAAGGGATTATTATCGCTATTCTTGTCCAGCTCGCTTGCACCTTTGCATTAATTGTGTTATCGCCAAATATTTAGTTACTGATAAAGAAAACCAAAATTTCAATTTCCTTTGCACCCCAAAACATGAAGCCTGACCATTTAATCGCTGAGCAATGCACAATAACATGGCTAAGCACGGCAAGTGAACGTCGAGAGACTTCTATCAAGGTAGTATCTTTATTTTTCGTTTCAATAGGTGTGTTTCAGAATTTGCAAAATCATAAAACATAAAAAAAAAAAAAACTAAAGAATATCTGCAAAAAACAGTTCTTATTCATGTAAAGAAAAAAAAATCATAGATTCGAAGTCAATTCATTAGGGATATGCCTATGACATAAATAGCACAGTAAAGTGATTTGTCATTTGTAATGTGGCAAACAGTTCTTGTTCAAGTGAAAAAGAAGATCATAACTCTGAGTTAATTTGAAGTCAAAAGTTCAGTAGATATGCATTATATCTATAACATAAATAGTATTGATAGTAAAGTATGATTTTTTTTATTTTCTTCAAAGAAATGAAATAGCTAGCTGCAGCATGACAAACTAGCCTAGCAAACAATAACACACAAAAAAAATATTGTGTGGATTGTTTCAGTAATTAACAGTAAATACCATCTTTAAAATATAAGGCACAGCAGCATACATATCAGATGTCATGAAGACCAAGTATTGCATATCAATACAAGCTTAAATTCGTTTGTAGCTCAGCATAAATAACCTTTGCACACACTGTAAATGTCATGTTAACAATCTGTATGAAAGTTCTAGTCATGACAAATAGATGCTAGCAGAAAAATTGATGGCAGTCACAAAGCTCTATCAGCATATTTAACCTACACAGAAACATCTAGCTAACAATAAACGCTTCAAATGAACACTCCTACTCCTAACAAATATGCAACATCAGCAAAAAAAAATGTGAGTGACACTAAAAAGCAAAAGATGCCAACCAAAATAACTGATATTCAAAGAGAAGAACACATTTATATTTCATTTTATGCATTTAAGAAGCACATCAAGAGCCAACGTTACAAGCTCAAGTCAAAGCCACTACCCGATATTCTTTTGAGATTCATCGCAAATAAAACTACCGAGTTCTCAGTTACCAAAGTAACCACAGAGAAAAGAGACACATACCCCTCACTTTTAAGAAAACATAAAACATGAGTAGTTAAACATGTCACTTGAAACACCTCATTCTACAGAAATAAAAATTAAAAATAAACACCAACATGAGATTTCATATTCCATGGAACACGTCTATAAATAGGAGAAAGAAAATGAGGAAAGCCACGCCGAAGTGTTATAGAAGGCATGCCACTCACACTTACAGCTCTACGTAAAACTACCAATTATAAGCTCTGCAAAAACAAAACAAAAGCAACGCAAATAGTGCTGCAGACCTTTCTCGAGCGGCGCCGAGCTTTTTCGGCTCTCCATAAAGCTGTTAGTAGGACATCTACGCTGACGGCACCGTTTCGGCAAAGCTCCAAACCCGGGCGGCAGTATGGCATATATTAACTCTGTTAAATGCGTGCACGGGCCGGGACGTGCCGATGCCGCGGCTTAAGAGCAAGGCTGCCAAGCGATGGTCTTGGAGCTGGTATCGTACGCCTTCTTCAGGCGCTTCTTCAGCTCGCTCGGGAACTTTTCGTAGCAGCGCTTGCACACCGGCTTCAGGTCCACTTCGAAGAACTTGGTCCTGCAGGAAGCCACATTTGGAAGATGCTTGAACTCGTAACCGAAGGGCACTACACGAGCGCTGCATTGGCGTTCGGCTGGGACTCCCGTCTCCTGCTGATTGAACACGAGCCCCCACCGAAAGGCGATGAATCACTTGTCGGGGCCCCGTTGAGGCCCCCTCCGGTTTGTTATATAGAAAATTCAGCCCTACAGTTTTGTTGCCTAGAAGGTGCCGAGTCAGCTCGCACATACAATGGGAGAGCGTGCAGGAGGCGAGGGGCAAAAGAACAGGCATATCCTTCAGAGGAAACGGGGAGACTCAAAAGAGCAGTGTCAAAGCTGAAGTGTGTGACTGCAAGAGATGCAACTTTGCGTTCCACCACTCCCGCCGAAGCAATAGCTTTGGCGGGGCTTTGTTTGAGAAAAGCTGCTATGAGTAACGACGTTTGCGCCGTCGACGCACGAAATGCGTATGGAGTTTGTACCGTGCAACATCGCTGCGAAGCAGCGCACGACACATGCAATACCTTTTGTGTTAGCACAGCCTTTTTCTTTTTAAGGTAGCCAGGGGTTTCTCCTAATGCACAAAGTTTCAGAACCAATGTTTTTAAAGTGTTGGCATCACCCCACTTTAGAAACCTGTAGCACATGCCATCGCCTCTTCAGCAGTGAAACATCGCTAACCTCCATGTTACTGCAGAAACTCTGGTCGACCGGGTAGGACGCTCCGAACTTACTTTTGGCTCATTTTCTGGTCACACACCGAGCAGGCGAAGTGGTGCACGCACCAGGCCTTGTTCAGGGCAGTAAACACTGCGACAAGAAAGCAAACAAGCCGTCGTTATGCCAACAACAACGAGCTACTTCAGTGACTGTTAGTGTCTGGCGAGACACCAGAGAAGAGGTCCCCGAAATGGTGTGAACAGGCCCCACAGAGAGTTTAGGAAATGCTGGCATTCACTGCTTAAGGGGAGACACCCCCTGGGAGGGTCAACTTCTGAACCCTTGGCTTAAAATTAATGAAATTTACAGGGTAGGCTGGTGGTCATAACAAAATTTCAGGTCTGTCGGTTAAGCGGGAAGGAAATTAGGGCAGCTTGTATCAGCAATATGCATACATTGTTTAGTTAATCTATTGTCGGAAAACTATCACAATGTTCATGATTTTTATTCGCTAGATATGTAGCAGAATGCCTAGGAGGTGCGCCTATGGAAAGTGATTTGTAAAAAGTAATTGATTTCTATCAATTTTCTCGTCTGCAAAATTGGTCAACTTTTTGGACTTCTGTGTCTCCGACAAAATGTCAACATTTTTTATAAAAGACATCCGTAAAGTGGCAAACAAACTCCATAGGCGCATTCCTTATTAAATTTCACCCACGAAAAGTGAAGAACAAGCCTTCTCTGTATTGCCATTATCAAACAATAGATTGACTAAAATGGAATTTATACCAAAAAGTGGAGTGGAGAAAAATGTGTTCAAAGTGCTCCAAACCCTATCTTTTCTTTAGCTTCGGTGGACAGAAAATAATCTATAAAAAATGAACTATGCGGTGTAAACTAGTGAAAATTTCTGGGAATACTCTCTGGATATAGATGGATGTAAATATGTCAGCTTTTCAAAATCTATGTTTTTTGCAGAATGTTTTTTTTCTCTGGGTAGTGTCCCCCCTTAAAGGGGCACTGACATATCAAAATCATATTTTTTTTTATTATCCGTAACGATTGAAAACTATGCTGGGACAACACCCTCGAAATTCGAAACTTTGGAATTCAGTATTTCTGAATTTAAAAAAAAAAACAATTTCCAAATGCCGAATTTGAAATTCCCGCGCGATCCGCGCCAGTGCAGTGAGTCAAATTTTGCGGTCTCCTGCGACTCGACTTCCTTTCGGACCTCCGCTCCACGCTATGAAGCAAAGCGCCGTTGCCATCGCGACCTGAAGCGAGGAGGAGATGAGCAGGCGGGATAGAAATGTGCCGGCGTGGGAAAAAAACAGTTTCTCCCCCAACTCGCCGATAATCCTCTGCTCGAGCGCCGTTAAGTTTTCCGAGGGAGGATACAAATCCACGAAGCGACATCACACCGAAATCCGATTTTTGGTATTTCAAAAAGAGGGGCCGTAGTGCGTTCACAATTGCGTTAAAAAACATGTTTTACGATTTCCATTATTAAATGTTATAAAAATGTCGCCTACAAAGCTTCTAAATTTTTTTATTTTTGACGTCGCCGATCAAAAGAAGAAAGGAAGTGAGCGTGGGAGATATAAACGGCAAAAATAAAAAGGCGTGCACGCGTGCAAAACATTTTTTGTTTGCAATGCGTTTTTTTTTTGCGTGTCTATGACTACAACTTGCATCGTTTTAGACAATTAAGAAGAAAGCGACCTTTGGGGTGTCAGTGCCCCTTTAATGGAGAAACTATAGACCTTTGCAAAAAGAGCTCTCTGGCCGCCACCATTTTGTAACTTGACCTATCAGTCAGATATTTCTGCCACCAGCCTGAGCTGTGCAAACCCTTCAGTTACGAAGACAGTGAACAAGCAGCACGCAACACGGACCGTTTGACGTTCTTCAAGGATTACTTCAATTGAGATAATCTCAGAAAAGCCTTCCCGGCTATGTACCCGGTCTTTGCAAAAACTAGCTGATAGGGTCGGGTCCGGGGCATAGGGACGGTGTAGACACGTGCGTTCATTTGCTTTGGTGTTGTGCAAAAAAAACAAAAAAAAACATGCCCCAAAACAAGCCGGATTCTGTCCAATTGTCGTGAAGTGACTGTCGTCGACACTGTACATTGGATATGCTGTGTTATTTGAGACCTTTCCCAAATTCTGTTCGGATAATGCAGCACCGTGGGGTATGTGCAACATATGTTGTTTGATCGATGAGACTAATCGAATTTCATGTTCTGAGCGAGGAATACACAAGCATTTCGGCTATCCTGTGTGGTCAAATATTTTCGACAGTTAAGACATTTGCAGATTGACACGGCTGAATGTAAAAAAATCCACATAAAATGAAACAAACATTCCAGTTGCATTTGTTCTGTCGCGCATGAACTCGCTAAAAATAGCTTTTATTTTTGTTTTTGTTCCCGAAAATAGTAAAATGCTTTCTTAGAAACCTCGAAAAATTCTGTTCGCCATAAAACATAAAAGAAAAAAAAAAAAGAAAACGTTCCAATTCACCAGCGTCTGAAACTGCGCCTACGCGGGTTGCCACAGCCCACCGACGAGAAAACCTCCCACCTAGCGCAGTCGGGCAACACTGACGTACACTCTCAAAACCAGGAACGCGTGCTGTAAATCACTTTGTTCGAGACTGCCGCTGGAAAGGTCTACACAGGGTGTATTTTTTTTACAGATATGTTTAAAAAAGCTGTGAAAGCTACACTTATGCGGTTTGTGCAGGTGAGTTACACAGGGGGCCAATCGCAAGTCAGTCGGCTAATTGGTAATTTTTTAAATTAACTTTTGAATTAGTGAATATAGACATATGGTCCCAATTAGAAACTTGCCGAGCATCGTCGAAAACCACTAAATCAACTCTTTTTAGAAAGATATAAGGCAAAAGCAGCATTTTACGGCGTTCCGTAAATATGCTCAATTTGGATGTGTTTCTAGGTTTTGGATTCTTATCGGAGCGCATCTCTGCGCCCGCGGTCCTGTTCCCAGTGGCCGAAATGCACAACACATGTGCACCATACTTCCCTCCATCCTACAAAGGAGGTGAGGCGGTGGCTTTGTGCTACAACCACCGGGGAGCAGGACCGCGAGCACGAAGATGCACTCCATAAGAAAGCGAAACCTAAAAACACGTCCAAACTGAGCGTTTTTTCAGAATGCCGTAAAATGCTGCCCCTGCCTTATATCTTTCTAAAAAAAAGTTGGTTTAGTGGTTTCTAATGACGCTCAGCAAGTTCCTAACTAGAACAATGTCTCTTTTCACAGATTAAAAAGTTCATTAACAAATTAAACTTATATAGCCTCTATATTATGTCCCCCTGGCCATATAACTCACCTGCGAAAACTGCATAAATGTAACTTTCACAGCTCTTTCTAAAACAAATCTGCAAAGCTTAGAAAAACAGCCTGTATGAAATGCAAATGAGGAGTTTTTTTTTCTTAAAAAAGGCAAATACAGAAACTAAAACTAAGCCAATTTTGGCTGAAATTCGGAGTATATCTGAGGGTCCATCGTTTCCAAAAGGTGTTAATCTGAAATGGGTCATGTTATGCGAGATAAACCAATGTAAAGGTGACTGCGGTACAGGGCTCAAACCTAGTCCGATAAACACACATTCCTGTTCATCTCAGTTTTGTTTCACTTGAATTTGGCTCTTTTAAGAAGAAAAGAATCTCCTCAAATACAATCATTACAAAAAACCTAACATTTGGGTTAGACTTACCAAAACTAAATGAAAGAGCATCCACCTTCGGTTTAGTAACGAGCCTTTTTACACTGTATAGAGCAATTTTAGAAAGACTGACGCTATATTGAATGTGCTGTAATAAGACATGATAGCATGTAACGAGCCCAACTGGAGGGAAAGTTTACGAAATCCATGTGGCAGCCCTCCCCATTGAATGAACACATGCAGACAGCATCTTTCCAGACGAGCACGCACCGTCCCCCGCGATGACGTTGTTGCAGATGTAGCAAAGGTTCCCAAAGAGCTGGTGGTAGTGGGTCTCGCAGTAGGCCAGGCCCTTCTTCTCGTAGTGCCGATGTCCAAGGAAGGGCTTCTCACACTTGGCACACACAAAGTGCTGCAAGGAAGAAAAGAAAAAACTTCAAATACAATATCTTAATCCTGCATATAAATTAGGGAAACACAGCATGTACAGCACGTTTTAACCCTTTCCCTACCATGGACGACCAGGGTTCGTCCACACTGTTTGTGCCGCTCCCCCCGAAGTCGAGCTGGGCTCGTCCACATTGATTCGGGCCCCAAAACGCTACCACGGACGAACTGGGCTTGTCCACATGTTTCTAGTTAGCTTTGCCGTGGATAGATTAGATGGCGCTTCACGGAAAATGAAAACATAGTATGTTTCTGAATTTGGCAGAAAATTGTTCCAACGTAAAAAACAGGGGATTTAAAAATGGTGGCGTAAACTTCTGGTTGCTGCGTTTGTAGTGACGATCTTGCCTCAAAATTGGGGCAAAAACAAAGATATTGTGTGTCTCTTCAGATTGGGAAGACGAGGAAATGAATCTTTCGTCGGACTGCAAGAGCGATGCATTCGAGTTATTGGATTTTGGCTCAGATGATTCCGATTTCGATGAGGACATCGTGTTGGCGTGTCGGCATTGGACTAGAATCAATGTAAAAACTCCACCTCCAGCCCCTCCACGTTTTGCGCTTACTTTGCGTGCAAAGTGATGTGAACTGTCTGCAGTACTGCTACGCCCGGCCTGAACGTCCATGTGCAAGGTGATGTGAACTGTCTGCGGTAATGTAGTAAAGCCGAACTTTAGACTTTTTTTCTTTTGCAGTATGCTCAAAGATCTCTCATATAATAATTTTTTTGGCATTTGTTTTTGGCCATTGTATTGTATATTAAAATTATGGGGCACTTAAAAAAAATCGGTATTTTCAAATCATTTTTTTTTTAATCTTTGTGGTTGGCAAAGGGTTAAGTAGCGCTGACACGGACACAAATATAGTGTGACAAATTTAGTTGCAGTACATGTAAAAGAGTACCATGGCATGTCGGTGTCAAGTGACACTGCGTCACGCGACACCATGTGACCTGACATCGTATCCTATGACGTCAGGTCACGTGAGCACAGTCACGTCAATGACATTGCATGAAAACGTCTCCGCTAAATTTTGTAGGCATGTGGCGATTTTAGTGGCATCGCATTACGATCTCCTCAGATATCCCAGCCTTTAAACACATTGCGTGTAGAAAACGGATACAGATCCTTTCTCAGAAAGCATCAATACGACAATGCTACAATAAAGTCACTCACTACAGCCATAGCGCACTACTGCCGCAGCCCAAATAGACCTGACCACTTGGTTACCTGGTCCCACATGAATATACAAGGAGCTAGACACTGACTAGCCAACAGATAAATTGCGAAGTACAAATGATGCAGGAAAACTTATTTGTGCTGTAGTCTGAAACGCTATACGACACCACTCAGTTATTTTATGTGCAAAAATAACAGGTCACTGCCATGCAGCATCAACACGTGAACAGTATCAGCACCTGAGCAGCACTGTCCGTTACCATTGCACCTCCAATCAATGTTTGCAGACCCAATCTCCCCCATTATGAAACACAAAGTTCTAAAGAAAAGTTATTTTCTACACTTTGTTTTGAGCAGTCTGGACTTTTGGCAGCCATCTCATCCTTTTACAACAATTTACTGCCAAAGACACCCACCCAGCTCAGCAGCCATATGACATGCATTGACCAATGGCCTTGTCGAAATGGAACAATGAGCAACTCTTATCGAAGGCACTGCATTCTTCGGGGATGAATCAGTTCCGCACATATAGCTCTCTACTGTAAAAAGCTTCACAGGACACAAGACTGTTTTTGTAGGAGCCCTGGAGTTTAGGGACAATGAGGGAAGTGAAATGTAAGGAAGGTAACGATCACAAAATTGCAGTTGTAGATTAAAGAGCTACTCCAGCTAAAAACATCCGAGTCATACTTTCCCCGCAATAAGTAAGATTGGAGAGTCTCAGTCGTGATGTCTATACCTCAACACAACATAAAGAACATTCGGAAAAGAAATCAACATTAGAAGCCAGGAATTTCACCCATTCCATTTCAGAATCACCATTAAAGTAGCTGTGCAACGATTTTAACGTTGAAAGAATTGGTATCTTCTCCTTTTGATATTGTTCACCTTGTCACAAATGACAGAAAACACACCTCCTTTCATCGAAATGTTGCGATTCCACCGCGTAATAGCGAGGCAAAACTTAGAATATTCCCCGACCTGCCGTCGCGAGCGGCGGCCATGAGAAACACGCGGCATGACATCAACGGGGAATCTTGTAGAAAGATAGCAAGATGTGCGAATACCTGCTCGATAAAAGATAAATTTTCTATAAATCTTGTCGTTCCAACATGTACATAAATGCGTAAAAAACCTGGTATCATCGACAAAACTTTTATATACGGAGTTTTAGTGGCGCCACCTATCCTTGGTCCACAAAACCGTCAGCTCTACGTGCTACCGCGAACAGTTGCCAGAAGCCGGAGCAGGAGGGGGACAGGGCCGGACGGGTATGGCCGGACCCGGATGAGACTTTCCTCCTTTCACCATATTGTTTGTGCGGCGCCCGCCCGCACATGGTCATGCGGTCGCGAGCAGATGAGTTCTCGCTGCTCACTGATGGCTCCAAGGAGAGAACTTTACCGGAATCCCACGCCTACCCCATCAACGTCACTACGCACGTGACCCGTAAGACGACGTACGAGTTGAAAGGCGGCAAAAACATGGATCTTTTTCATTTTTTAAAATAAAAACTAGGATATCCAGGCAGAATCTGTTTTCTGTAGTTCACTCCAGAAGTGTCAGGCATCAACTTCCACAATTATTTATGCAAAGCCCTGAAATTGTTGCACAGCTCCTTTAAAAAAAAGCTGAAAAGGTCCTTAGATTTTAAAAAAGCTTTGAAAGTTTTAATGTAGAACCATTAAAAATGACGTCTTAAGTTTTCTTTAGATCTTATTAGTAGAATTGTTACAATCGCCTATTAGAATTTTGAAATAGACCCACCCGTTTTGGCACACCGAGCGCAAGAGTGTACGAGATTGAAGAGAAAAACTAGCAAGAGCGATGTCATCAGCAAAGTCAAATGACCCTTGCTCACCAATGAGCCAGCTCAGGGATGGCGTCACATGCCATCGTCGCATGCCCTGCGGCAATCACTGCACATACTTTTTTAGAATAAATATGGTTTATGTTTACTTTCGTCTAAGTTAAGAAGGAACACTACCCAGAAAAATAAATTTCTGCAAAAAAAGTTGACTTTGGAAAATGCCATATTTACATCCAGCAACATCTAGAGAGAATTCCCAGAAAGCTTCATTAGTTTACACTCCGTACTTAATGCCCTATGGACTGTGGAGTTTACACTCCACTGTCCATAGGGCAGTGCAACTGTGGAATCGTTTTTTGACTTTGTGGATGTCTTTTCTAGAAGATGTTAAGATTTTGTCGACAACATAAAAGGCAATAAATTTATTTAATTTTTCACTGTGATAATAGCATAAAATAAATTACTTTTTGGAAATTTTGTTTTCACTGTTGCACTTTCCAGGCATTCTGCTGCATATCTAGAGTAGAAAAATGTTGGGTATTACATTAGTTTTCTAGCGATAGTTTTCCTAAACAAAGTCTGTGTGTTCCTGATAAAAACGACGATAATTTATTTTACAATTCATGTACACAGATGAAACTTTTCACTGCATTCTGCCTTGCAACTGCCAGTATATAACTGTAACTTTGTGACAATGTGAACGGGACTTAAAAGAAGATGAGGTGGTGGGAGCGCGCAAGAGAGATGCACTCGTGGCAGAGGACCGAAGGCAGTGACCCAGATTGAATGTATCGCGACACCGGTGAACCGGACAAGCGAGTTAAAACCCGGACAGGCGTCGAAAGGCCTGTGGGGGCTGAAACCAGGCTTGCTGGGGATCTGCCGTCTGCTCGGAGTCATCGCCCTGAAGAATAACCATCTAGGCTCAAGGCTGCTGTGATTCCCAAGAACGAGCGGCACCTTGTAAGCGGAACCCCTCTGACTGACCTTATGTGGACTTGTTTATAGCTCGCTGTGCTTCCCATGCTTCTTGTTCTTCTTAATGTTTTTGTAAATAGTATCTATTCTTTTTCACATGCCATTCTGGAATCCCGAGTCCTCATTCCACCTTTTTCCATTACAAACTTTCATTCAAATTAAGTCATAGGTTCAAAAGTTGACCCTCTTGGGTAGTGTCCCCCCTTAAGTGCGACAATAGACCGACCTCACCAAGTGTTTGGCTCATGCGTGACACCGCCAAAACTTTAGTTCACAGGAGGAGGCACTCGGCAGTGCATAAGACGGTTCTTGCTGTCTCGTGTTCTGCAAACGCAGAGCTCCAGCGAGCTTGCCATATGTGCAGAAAGACTGAAGTTCCCTCGATGCATTGCGGCAACGGTGGCGTGGCCAAACTGGCCAATGAGATCGATCCACTGAATTCACGGGACAGAAAGCTATAGAGGTCCGCTCGTAACTCAGATATCCCGAAAAGTGCTTCCCTTTAACCAGATGGCTGCTGGCGATTCTCGGCTATGACACATACTTTGTGCTCCTTCCTTTCCACTGCTACCAGGAGACCTGATTATAAGCACACAGACAAGGATGAAGGAAGCATAAGAAAAGGATGTATGAGTGAAAATAGATTGATTCATTAACCCATGCAGTAGCACCAGGCCAGAAAAATGCAAGCTCTGGGTGTACCTCCACGTGCCAGTTCTTGCCCAGGGCTGTAACCACGCGTTCCTCGATGGGCCGACGGCAGGCGCCGCAGATGGGGATGCCCATCTTGTCGTGGCAGCGCAGGCAGTACAGGTCCCCCTTCACCTCTCGGGCTTCCGAAGTCAGCTCCACACTGAAGCAGGGAGCCACCAGATTCGAGCCATCAGACCAAATGGGTTACGCACAAAACAAGAGAACAAGGCATCAAATCACTGAGATCCCAATCGAAACGTGGCTTTCAAGAAAGCAATGTTTGTTGTGTTACTAAATGATAGCTCAGCTACATGTTTCTAGACTCAAATTACAGCTTAAGATTCACTTCAGTGGCCCTCCATGAAGTCGAAGGGATTGAGGTACCCAAACTGACTACATTTTCTGGATACCCAGGCTTCACTCATTCTGACATGCTACAGTAGGCTCGCGATAATTCAAACTCGGATATTTCACACTTCCGCTCAATTCAAACAAATTTCAAAATTTTGGCTGTCCCGCTATGTTTTTAATGTATTCATAAGCCGCTTAACTTGAACGGCGTTTTCGTGTATTTCAAACTTTTTGTTCTTGCAGCCCCGTTGAGTGCGCTTCTTTCCGAGCATTGGTGCACTGCGGAGAGACAACACCAGCGGAGCTTGATTCCGCAGGTGATGCTTCTCTGCACAGTGCACTGGTGCTCGGTGGGAAGTGCACTCAACGGGGCACCATGAGCTATGAAAACGCAAGCATCATGCCGAAATTTCCACAGCAACTTGCGAGGAACCCGTGACGTGGCGGCACAGCATAAGTCCACGTCACAGCGTCTGCGCAAGTTGCTATGAGAACCGCCTCGCGGTGCCCGTTTTCATCCCTCACGTGTCCCCTGCTTAAAAAAACACTAACAACCCCCTCGCCCCCCGCACCCCCCCCCCCCCCCGACCCCCCCCCCCCCCCGCCCCGCCCCGCCCCGCCCCGCCCCGCCCCGCCCCGCCCCGCCCCCTCTCCCCGCCCCCCGCCCCCCCCCCCCCGGGCAATGTATTATGGTGTGAGAAGACAACCCCATCAATATTTTGCTATAGTGTCATTTGCATTTTTAATAAATTCAAAAAACGCAACTGCTCGAAACCGAAACTCGACTGGGGAGGAAGAAGAAATATAGGGGAGGAGAAGGTTACCAAAATTCTTGTAACTGTGAAACTTGTTTTTTTTTTAAATCAAAGTTTTTGGAGTTTTTTAGAAGCCACAAAAAATGGGTACCATATTTTTTGTCCATTTCTAGTATTAAATGTGTGCCTTGGATGACCCAAAACTTTGATTACCTTTGGTGGTGGTGTCTAAACCATAGAAAACGGCACGTGACCACGGAGAAGAGAGTGAGCGTGACTCAAACCAGCCAGTTCTCGATCGGCGGTATTCGGGCGGAAAGAAAACAAATTTCGAGCTGCAAATAGTGTTCTTTGTAGTTGGGCTCTCGTATGTCACGTACAAATAAAAACCTTGGCGAGCATAAATACCCTGTCAATGTTCCTTTGATAGTTCACATCAGACAACGTTTTGGCCTGATAAACAAGTGTAATTTTGTTTTGAGTTGTCGCGTGCTGTATCAGTGATAGAAGAAGCATTTGAATCTTCTGTAGCAGGTTCTGGAGCATTTAAAATATTGGTTTGGAGCAGCCGCCGACGCTTTTGGAGCAGATGCCAACACCTATTAGCACATCGCTCGAAAAAAAGAAAAAAAAAGTGGCTGCATTTCTATTTGAGTTTGACTGTGATAATGATTGACAGTTCCTCTTTGATACTAGGGCATATTACTTATCACATTCTGTAATAAAAATAAATAGGTTGCAAAAAAACATATAGCCTTCTTTTTTTTTTCTTAAATAAGGCTCTGGTCAGGTTGGGGTGCATTTAAAACAGGCCCTAAAAATGGTTGAAAGATAAATCATAGCCCGACCCTTCAGTTGCGATAAAGCCTCCCTACCATCCCTGTATCAAACTCAGTAGTTAAATTGGCCCGTAAATATAATTTCTGCAAAATTACAGCAAAAACCAGCCTATCCGATACGCCAATAAAAACGCATCCCCCAAGTTTTATGTACCTGCCAAACTCTAGACACTAATATCATAAACTACACAAACAACCACTCACAAATATTATGAAAGCCTACACTTGTGCTTCACGTTGAAACCAGAATTAAATCAAAGTTCGCTGCTTGCTCATTAAACAGCTGCACAAGAACTAACAGTATTTATTCAAAAATAGACACCTGTTCGTTTTTGTTTTCTCAGCTGCTTTTTCATTATTATTATTATTATTATTATTAGAGATTAATCTGTAATGAAGACAAGGAAGGTTGATCTGTAATATCCCTGAGAATGAATTCCATGCCTATTGCACTAACCCTCCAACAGGTCAGCCGCTGCTCCTAGCACTCCGGTGCAAAGCAATGGAGCCCGACGCATGCACGCTCGTGTGTGGCGAGATGTGGTGAAGGCTGACACGAGAGGCACAAGTGCCACGGTACTCTGCAGCCACGGCACGAAGGCATGAGGCACAAATGATAATCGAGTGATTTCACCAGGAGTACAAGACCCTGGTTCTGTTTTATCGCAGTATACCACCATCCTACTATTTTGCAAAGTTTTCTCAAGACTTTCAGCTCCTGACATCGCAGACATCGTAAGGCAATTTAGACCACGTCGACGAACAACTGGCCAGCGCATCAACCGGCCAGAGCGAATGACCTACAATCCCTATACTTTGTTTCACCTGAAGTCGACGCAACAGCCGACTCTACAAGTCAATGGGACTAATCAAACAGCGTAAAAGCACGACATCTGGGCATTCATCTCCCTGTACGTGTTTTTTCATCGGCTAATCCCATCGGGTGCAGTGAATGCTTCGTGACTCGCGCTTTTAGTATGTGTGTTTGAGGGTGTATTCGTGCGAGCTTTCGAATGTACTCGGACCTAAGATGAAACAGATTATATGGCAAGCAGAGACGTCATAAAATATATTCCTACCATTCTTCTTTCCCTCTACTTTTTGAAATATTAGGGCCGACCAATTTTAAATTATTTTTATATTTTGCTTTAAGCCCATCCTGGTGCAATTTTGAGCGAAAATGGTGCTTTGGCGCAATATGTAGCAGACTTTCGTTTATGGCGCAATTTGGCGGAAATGGCACGGCACTTCCATCACTGCTGTATAAGCAGTCCATGATAAAAAAACACTTTTTGAGAGATAAATAAACTTATGTCATACATTTCATAAATGTTTCATGTGTGGCATACCCACTTACGATGAGTAGGCCTATGAAAAGAAATCATCAAATATCTGCTTTGTATGTGTAGCCATTCATATGGCAAATCAAAATTTTATCTTGCATCATATTTCGATAAATTTCTGATAATTCAATCTTTTGATAATTCAAACAAAGTTTGTGGCTTGCTGGAGTTTGGATTAATGAGAGTCTATTGTATTTAGTGCCTCTAAATTAAGAGTAGATATTGAGAAGGCAGCAAACGAAGGCGACGCTAAAATCTACATTCAAATCTCCCTACGCTTTCCAGTGGCACGAACCAAATCCTGCCACTGGCGTCACTTCTTCGGTGTTGCCAATAAAGGCTTTCAGTTTGAAAAAATGATAAAGAATAAAACTAAGATTTCAATAACTTAGCAAAAACTATTATTTTGATGTAATAATTAAGTTGCTCGTTCAGCCACATCTACTAATTCATTGAGTCAATTTTGTGGGAAATCTATGATTATGAGAACAGCGTCGGAGTACACCTTTGATGGATGACATGATGCTGCTTACCCGCACGTGGTGCAGTTGAAGTGGTAAGGGTGGTAAGGCTCGCCCCGAAACTTCAGGGGCAGATCGTCCACAATACCACTGTGAGAAGTGGAAGGTAAGGGGTTAAGCGTTATGCACTCCCTTTTTCGGAAAGAGAGGGGGATTGCTAGAAGGAAAACCTTACTCACTGGCATTTGTAGCAGATGTACTTTCCGATGGCAGCTGCCTTTTCCTTCGCGTTACACTCATGGCAGAGGGCCCTGAAAAAGAGCCAGCCATTCATAAACTGCTTGGCAATCAATTATCAGCCTTGCAACTACATACTTCCAGATAAGGCCCCTCTTTTCGTGACAATTTTGTAATTTCTAAATACACAAAGCTATGCATTATCGAGTGCACTTTGTGCCATCTATGGGATATTTACCAGGAAAGCAAACTGTTTGTTTTTTCTGCTGTACAAATACATTATGCATTACAGAGAGCCTAGACAAGGCCCAAGCATAAGGTGGCGTTTAGTTTTTTCAGCATTACTTTTTATTCCCGTTGCATACACCCCAACACATTTTTTTTGTTTTCACTGCAGTAAAAACAACAACTCATTTGTTTGACTTAGCTCTCATCCCCTCTGACCGCACCCTAAAATATTTTCAGGGTGACTACGCAAAAATGAAAGTAATATTTTATTTCTTCGCCATTTTAAAACAACCGGCAAGGAATCGAGACATTTCTGAAAAGACGAGACCCATTTCTATGCTCCATTCAGCCCCGGAAATTTGTGTCATCTCCCCAGCCTGACAATCCTGGATAAACAACTGGTGGAAGTGACCGCCAACATGGTGTGATATCATCACAGGCAAGCCGTGTATAGACGGGCGCTCACGGCAGGCTCCCCAAAACGCGACTAAGCGTGGCACTCACCTCCCAGCATTCTTGATGAAACCCTGGTCGGCGAGCGTCATCTGGCAGATCTCGCACCGGAAGCAGTTGGGGTGCCAGTTGTTGTTCATGGCCTTGATTACGCGGCCAATGATAAACTCCCCACACTTGCCACAGCACGGAGCAAACAGCACGTGGAAGTCGTGCTCGCAGTACTTGCGGCCCTCAAACTGCGTGCCCCAGAGAAGCATTGCGCCATGTTATAAGGCCCTGCTCTTATAAGACGAGTCTGAAAGCCCCTTTTTGAGAAGGTGGCTTTCAGACTCTGTTTTGACAGAACAGCTCTAATAAGAACCTCCAGAAAAAGCAGTGTGGCCGACGCATAAGTAGTTAAAGGCTGAAGTGCAAAAAGCTTTTGTGCCTAGCTGTAAATCCTTTCAGTGTTCTTTCACGCTCTTTCCTCCTCCTTACCCAAAAGAAGAAAATCAGGGAGCTAATCCTTGCAAGAAAGAAAGAAGGGTTTTCTCCTTTCCGGTTACTCATCCAACTTTAAAGGCCGACGTACAGCTCGCGCTTTCCACTTCTTCCCGCCTCCTCCTTTCCTATATCCTCTCCAATTTTTACCTTGCCTCAACCTGACACCCCCCGCAGCTAAGGAGAGGAGAAGCGCCAAAAAGAATTATCTTCCCTGCAGAAAAATGAGGTTGCATGTTGGCCTTTAAGCACAAAATGATTCTTACAGCACAATAACTAAAAGGTAAATTTTCAGTTTCAAAATTAATGTGAGAGAGACAGTGGTCACAAATGCATACAAAGGCAAAATCACATCTCAAGGTCCACGAGCTGCAAGTTCGAGAATACAGTGGGTCCTCCCGCATTTATCGGCGTGTCACTGACTACACCAGTGCCCCCTCTCACCTCGTAAAATATTCCATCGGGGAAAGGCCGGAAGCACTGGCAGCACCTGAGGTGAAAAATGAACCAGTCGTCAACGAAAGTTACCCAAGTTAAATGAGGCAACCCAAAATTTGAGACAAAGTCACCAAGCCGAGACTCACACAAAGCACGCCTGGTGCCAGACCTCGCCGTGGGAGTTGACAATCTTCTCGTGAGGTTCGAACCCGTCCCCGCAGCGGGTACAGGCCATCGTCTCGAGCGACATCAGGAAGTTGGCTTCTGGTTGCCTGGAATCGGCAACAAAATGTCTTAGCAGAACTCTTGCGACACAAACTTTGAGAAGTGTCTTGTGTTTATTTTATGTTTCTTGTCAAGGAAACCTGTGGTGTACTGCACCCGCAGAAGACACAAAATCTGATGCCGATTCGGGATAGCATGGTGCAACATTTTTTCTGTCCGTGACACACCCGTGTAGCTTAGTCGTCGACCTCGTCTTTTGGAAGCCCACGACTTTACCATTTCGGCAGTCTGCGAGGCTGGTTAAAAGTAATTTTGTGACATATGTCCGCAACCCATGTTTATAAAAAAAAAAAAAAAATTTTTTTGAGGTAGTTCAGTGTTTTTAGGAGCAATTTCGAAATATACTTTCGTTTCGGGTCAACATACTAAAGTATCAGAATTGCTCTCAACTCAAAATATGTCACGAAACGTAAATATCACACTAAACTTCTTTTTTTTTTCTTTTTCGGGGAAAGGTTATCTTGTGACATTCACACACTTAACAAAAAAGGCTTTTAAGAGTTACATGTCCTTTAAGTATGAGCATGACGTTGAAACACGGAATAAGTAGAGACTAGTTGAAGGTGGGGTTCTCTCTTCAACATCCACATAACTCCGGGAGTCGCAGGGCAAAAAGTTTGTGCACCCTTGGCCCATGACACAAGACTTTCAAGTATGACAAAGCCACAGCCGACTTACAGCGCACTGTACTTATAACGATACCACATATAATGATGTACCTCTTATAATGATCAATTACTAGAGGACCCTACGTTTCTGCGTGGGGTATCCAGTCCGGATACAGCGAGAATCAACTAAAACAATTGCATTTTCGGGTTTTATCGTTATAAGTGGTTTGCACTGTGTACTTTCATTCCTCCTGCAAGCGTCGCTCGTAGAATAATTTCTATATTTCTCTAGATCTTCACCCCGACATCGCAGAAACAACCGTAATAGAGTCTCGTAATTAACCCAACAAACAGAGATGAACCCACTCCTCCGTCTCCTCCAGAACAATGCCCGAAGTGCCGGGGGACGAGTATAGGCCCTCATTTGACCTGGCCGTAGAGCTGCCGGCCCCTCCGAAGCCCCCGTTCCGGTACTGCAGGGACGAAGACGACGTCGACACGGAGTCGTACGACGGAGTCATTGACGACGAACTAGTCCTCTTGGGCGGCTCCGGCGGAGTGTTGTCGTAGTCTGAAGAGTTGGTTGCATCCGGACTTCTCAGTGACCTGGTGACCCTCGATGGAGGCGTTGAGAATGTGACGGGCGGTGGTTGTTCGGCGAGGTACAGGCCCCTCATGCGGTCGTTGAGGTGGTCCTGTCTTCGAAGGTACAGTGGACTCGAGTCCATCTGCCACGTCATGTGCTCTCTTCTACTCCGCGTGCTGTCACCGGGCAAACGATTCGCAGACATCTTATGTTTTGCGACTCGCTTCCGTCGTCGAAACTTTCTCCTTAGTGCGTCGCGCCGTAGCGCACAAGGACGACTGACCACGCTACGTACTTCAAGGCCGTGTCTAAAGCGTACGCAAGGTATACAGGTTTTTTGTTTGTTTGTTGATTTTTACTGAGCGCTTAGTTTAAGCTCACAAGGGCGGCGGACCCCAAACAATGAATCGTGCTCACGACCTTTCTTTTTTTTTTTTTTTTTTTCCGCTCAAACGGTGAGCTAGATGGAAGCGTGTGAAACGTATTCAACAAACCCAAAAACCAGCAAGCGAGCGTACGATTCAATGCACGCTCACAAGTTGGTCGTGCCGCTAAACTATTTTTTTTTTGTTGTTTTTTTCTTTACGGCAAACAGGGGAGTATGTTTTTTAGCCCTTCACAGCTGGCGTTGGTTGTTAAACAGCTTTGAAGGGAGGTCGCATGTAAAGCTAACAAAACAGACAAAAAAAAAAGAACACGAAACAAGAAAAAAAGCGTTTCGAGATAGCGAACGCGCTGCCCGCTGCGAAAGCAGCCGGGGTTTTGATAGCAGCAAGCGTCACGATGACAAGGTTGTAAGATTAAGAAAGCGTAACGGCCGCGAGCTCATATTTCCAGCGATAAGGTGGATCCAACTTGCACAAAGGAGCGCCGATATGCCAAGCTGCCGCCGATGAGTCATTCGCGGCTCCGCTGTTTTATCCGTCGGCGGACGAAGACATTCGACGGCGACACAGCGAAGGGCAAGGAACTCTCGGTCGATCTCACACGGTTCAAAGTCGCGTGCAGGTACGCGCAGTAACTTTTTGAGCAAATCGAAAAGCACGCAACGAATCGACGAAGGGCGTGTATTTCTCGTACGATCTCCAGCGGTGATGATTTTTTCCCGTGGTGCATCGCGACTCCGACAACACCCCACCGGAAATCTCTCTCGCCTGTTTTGCGTCCACGGCAAAATGTAAACAAAATTGAAGATGTGAAAGAAGTCAGCTAGATAACAGAAAGAATAAAACATGGAGAGGACGAAACAGACAAAACACAAAGGAGTACGAGTGCGAGCTTCTCGACTGAAGTAGAGTTTGATGTTTGATCCCCATGCATTATCCCGGTACCTTAGCCGCGTGCTTCTTGTGGGAGCACGAGCGTTTGTTTCGGATATCATATGAAGCGGTGTTAATGAACGCATCTGTGATATTGTTCGGCTTCCATGTGCCTAAAAAAAAACATTTGCATTACATGGGGGAGAGAAAGAAAAAAAGAGACACCTATCACTTACTTCTAAGAGGACAAAACTTTATGAATAATTAACTATATTTATCTTCCAATTAAAAGCTTGGTCGGAGTTCATACGATTTTCCTGCAGTGCGGAGAAGAACGGGGATTGAACGAACGCAAAGTTTTGATAGCATAGAAGTCACAAAACTATTGCTAAATAACATGGTTACATCGATCTTCTTTCAACGGACATTCTTTTACTCCACAAATCCGTAGAAATGCATGACATAATATTATTTCTTTTTTTATTTTCTGGCTCGAGATTAATATAATAATTATAAATAATAATAATTATTTAAATTGAAATAATAATAATAAAGAAAACGGTGTTCTGATTTGACGAAAAAATGTTCTACATGGAAACACGCTTCCATTGCCTCCGCGGCTATTTATAATTGCAAAATAAAAGTTTTGACAGATCCGTAATTGGATGACGATATTTTTGAAATAAATAAATAAATGCAGCTATTCTCGTGGAAGGGCCAGCTATGTCTTTCTTTTTTTGCGCAAGGACCAAGAAAAAAAGTCGCTGCCACGCATTTGGAGGTGTTCCCTCCGGTTGGTTGCAGGAAAGGCGAAGCGCTTGAAAACGAAACCGGAAAACGAATTCGCGCCTACGCCAGTAACCCGATCCGACGAAAAAAATATATCTGACGAGGAACGTTGTTCTTCACCGACAATCTTAAGACGGAAGAGCTAAGTTTGTGACATACGTAGACATCCGCTGAATACGTGTGAGATAAAACAAAACAAGCATAAAATATGTCGCATTTCACGGATTCAACGTGGGACGTCCGTCCTGCGGAAAAAAAGGAGTTGATATGGCTCTTCGCTTCCAACACCTACGCAATTGACACGACTGTGTCGTCAAAACGTCAAGTGCAAAGATTTTGAAATTGTGTTTAAACCGCTGCGACAAGCCACACACTTTAAGCGAGAGTTAATTCTTATCAATAAATGGTTGCGTTCGCTGTAATTTTCTTTAAGAATGCACGTGATTGATGTAATAAACAAAAAAAACAAATTGTATTATTGTTACGATCAAGTCTCGGGATGGATACGTTATTTGGCAGCAAGTAAAAAGAAACTGACAAAAGGGAGCACGCGCAAATTGATGTTTCGTTGGCGCGTGAGTAATTTGTTGTGGTAACCCACTTAGCAAATTAAGACACACCCAGTTAGAGCAAACGATCGAAGCTCTGGATTTAGCTGCGCTCGTAATCAAAAGTAACTCCGAATTGCAGCTAAAATATGAGAGAGCGGATATTTCACTTTCTACGATTTAAACGATAATGAAACCGAAATTCTGATCATTTGGCTGTTTTGCGACCTCTGCGGAAACCTTCGCACACTAGCAGAAGACATCGTTTGAAAAGCGTCGATCAACGCATTGTTCCCAGAAATGTTGGATTAAAAATGATCTCACTGACCTGATGGAAAATGACCAGTCGAGGGACTTTCCGGCGTTGTTGGTTTCGACGAGTTAACAGGTAAACATCCAGCAGTTGTTATTTCTCACCCAATCATTCAATGCGCTACTAATTTGGGCATGAGCCATGATAGCGTTCCGCAGTAAATGCGAGCAGATTCGCATCAACTACAATTTTCAATGTTGACTTTAGAATAAATTGATATTAATTTTGATTTCATTACTATCAGTTAAAAGATTATTACAGATGATGTAAAACAAAATGCAAAGTAATTTACTGCGGGCCTGGGCACATCTGATCAGCGAGCGATTCAGCTTTCAGACATGGGCGGTTGCGTAGGTATCGCGGGGAAGCATTCCATTCGTCATTGATCCTGTCGTTCGGCGTCGTTATCGGGCCAGTTCCTGCGGAAGGATGAAGCCGGTGTTTCGGTGCAGCCACAGAGAACGAGACGCGCAAGACCCAAGCCTGCAAGTGACCCGGTAGACGAGGGCCTCCCCTCCACCACACAGGCCGGCAGAGCTCGAAACATTCTTTCTGATACGTAAAAAAATTTTCGTCCGCCACCTCGCAAGAAAAAAAAAAAAAGAAAGGAACTCAAACATGGCCGTCAACATGGAGAAAGTCGGTGTGATGTTCGCCGGTGCGATTGTCTCCTTTCTAGCGAGTGTGTGTTGGGCCAGCGCGCCCATGGACATCAAAATGGACGAAAAAGCGCGCAGCATCCACAGGATCGACACGGTCAACATTCTCGTGTACACGTCTCTGCTCATCCTGACCGTGTGTATCATTTGGCTCTTCAAACGTCGCCGGGCCCGCTTTCTCCACGAAACGGGGCTCGCAATCATATTCGGTGAGTCCGCGACCTTTTTACTTTTTTTGCGACGGCGGCGGCGAAACAGTGTCAATGTCGCTCGTCGCGACGCATCGTAAACCAGAGAGCGGACGACGGCAGCGGGACTGGAAGACTTTGTCCCCCTCCAACGTCTCTGCTTTACCCTGCGCCTACCTGTTCGCTCACACATTGGCACTACATATATCAGTTCACGGATTGTCATACCACTTGCGGCTTTACGCTGTGTTTCATAGCAGACAGCAACAATTTATTTATTTTTTTTTTTTTTGTGCGAGCGAAGGGAGAGGTGGGGGGGGGGGGGGGGGGGGGGGGGGGGCGGGCGGGGCGGCGGCGGCGGCTAGCGGCGGCGGCTATCGGGCGCTCGGTACCGAGGGGGTGGGACGGGCAGTGGTCGTTTCACCGGTGACGTGCAAAAACACGCGCTGAGTTCCGCCGTTTCACCGAAGGTTAACGAGCACCGACCGGCTCGTGTCTGTAGCTCCTGGAAACGGTGTTTATTTGCGCCGAGGCAACCGGATCTCTTATCGATCCGCCGTCTCGTGGGGTGTCCCGTCTGGTACGAACAATCCCATTAAAGAAAACTCGGCTTGCGCAAAGGAGAAAAAACAACTAAAAAATTGCGACCTTTATTATTTTTTTTTAATACGTTGACGCGTCGAGCAATGCACCCACGCTCTTCTTGTTTCCGTGTGTTCCTGAATGCGAAGACGTTCGCGGGCTGCCTTGCGTCAACAGCTGCCCGGAACTGGCGAGAGCTTAAGCCCCTTGACGCGGTCTGTGTGCTAACATGTGGCCTGTCAATCAAACACTCCTGAACCGGGGGGTTGATTTGGGGGAACATTCTATACCGGCTCTTTTTTCTTTCTTCTCTTCGAGCGTTGGTGAATCAAGAATTGTTGCCTTGTTAACCCAAGACACTCCTAGGCCGGGCAGTTGCTGGGGCAAACAATGACAAACTGTTTGTTTGTCACTAGTTGAGGTTCAAATTTGGCAGCTGCTATGGAGCATGACACCGATTTCACATACCCCGCACAGTTGTTTGTCGAAACTCTTCCACTTGTTGGAGCCCCATTCAGCAAAATGTATACACCATTACATTGCAGTCTTCTCTAAATTGCAGGCAGCTGTGTTCACATTTCATTTTTGTATAGTAAAGAGGAGTGCCAACTATTGCACATTTTCATCTCAGAGGCAGTAGTGAAAGAATTAGTTTGGCCTCTCACAGTATTACTAATTTCACCCTTTGTGGGATGAATTGTGATCAGTTGGTCAAGATGTATGCATTTCGTGTGCAGAAAGCGTCTTTGTTTTTCCTTGGACAACTAAATCTTGTATGAGCTACTTCATGCATCATATGAGCCAGAAACTCAGCCGGCTCTCGGTTATATTTTATACAAAACGCTTGGTACACTTTAGTAATGGTGCCTTAGGTGCAATGAGGGGACATGAATAAAACATCTAACACTTTCATAATTTGGGCCTTTGAGAAATGGGCTGGCAATATTAAGCATACATTGGCTACACCAAATTGCAATAAGACCTTTTTTATGCTTCCTGTTCCTGCATTGGCCGGCAGTCCTCTTTCGAAACAGTAGGAAGGTCCCACTCAAGGCATGTGGCCTAGACAGCAATGACATGCTTCAAACATTAAATGTATGTTGGCAAAAATATGTTACAGCAAAGGGGAAAGAGCCATGAACACTAAAGTACCTTTATTTGAGCAGTTTTAAATATTTTTTAAAACTGATAGTAGCTGCTATTCTCACTAGTGCATTGCAAAGTATCTTGATGATAATGTTTTTGAATAGAATGTTTCATAATTCCTGCTCATCGATAACTTGAGCAAAGACAAGCTCGCTTGCACAAGTACAGTAGCACCATTCGACTCTTCTGTCCTTATCTATTATTTCTCAGAACAATGCCCAATTTCCTGTTGCTATTTTGTGTTTTTACCGTTGTCTATTTGCCTTTATTGAAGTGCCTCAAGAACATAAATAAAAATTAGCTTTGCTCATTGCCATTCTGAGTGAAGTGCTTGAATACTAGGGCTATATGTGGAAAGTCAAGGTTTGTCCTCTGTTTTCACTCCTTTTTTTTTCTTTCTTTTTTTTTTTTTTAACAGGTGGCATGTAGAATTTGGACAAATTTTATTACTTGTATATAGATTTTCATCGCAAGTCTTTCAATGACTGTGCCTAATTGTCATTGCCATAACTTTAAGAGGGCTAACAATTTAAGTAATATTTTTGCTCTGTGTCACCTTTTGATATAGCTTATTAAGCTTGCATTATCATGTTAGGAATACTTTGTCTGCTTGCTCCTTATTGATTGCTGCAGAACTTCCCTTTGGCTTTATCTCCGTGTTCCTTTTCTTATGTTTTAGGTGAAGAAACCTCTAAAAATGAAGTCTTAGACTTGTTTTATGCTTTCGGAGATTTGTTGGATATCACTTCAAAGTGGGGTTTCACAACAACTATTGTGATTTTTCTTTTAAAGCTGGTAGATTGATTTAAGCTGTAGGCAGCATAAGCCACAATATTACTGGGAACCTGGGCATGTAATGTTCCATAATATTTCTAGTGTAAACATTATGCACTTACACACAATCATTGTTTGCAGTCAAGCAAGGGTGAAGATCTTTTCATAAAATAGTAGAGAGAAAGTTGACAAGGCCAACAGGTTTGTAAAGCAATTATGGATGACACTAGCAGCAGTAAATCCACTGGGCCATTGCAGCTCATTTGCAGATACAAATTCTGAAAGATAAAATAAATAGAAGGTAAAATGCAGATATCCCTTGTTATGATAGTCGGCATATTAGTATAGACCTTTTCTTTGTACTCTCGACCCCAGCCACCTAATAAGCGTATCTGGTATGGGTGACGAAAACATAATCCAACATTTCAATGTGAAAATAGTAAAAAAATAGAGGGGAGGTAAAACGAGAAAGTGTGGCGGTTATGCTTATATCCTAAATGCCTTCTATTCACGTGGCAAAGGCAAAGGCAAAACAATGTTTTCGCCCCTACTGGAAGTGACGACAATTGAAGATGGCGGCGCACTTGCAAAAAAGGTCTATAGCTATTCCATGAAAACTTTCCGGATTTTTTTTCTTCTACTCTTCGCATACTGTAAAACCCCTATGTTTGCAAGCGTCTTTAATTCACAAATTTCGTGACTTGTAAAATTTGTGAATGTTAGGGGGCACGAATATTTCTATTGTCTAGAAAGGCAAATCCCAGCCTTTATAATTTGCAACACTTAATGGTCGCAAGTACAAAGTGCGCCGCCCAATTCACAAAAAATCTGGGCCGTGAAAATTTTTTAGAGTACTTTGCTTGCAAATGTTTTTACCAATATTTACAAATTCATGACTCATCTGTCTTGTAGCTTAAGTGGTACTACAGACTCTGCATGAAACGTCATTAACACAGTCTTAACTTAGGTGCAGCTCTGCTCATTCTAGGTTCCCTTAAAGGGGCCCTGCAACAACTTTTTGACTGGTTTTTAATTTGCACCAAACCTGAGCGCACTAAACGTAGTAACTTAAGGAAACTTTTCTTTTCTCAAATTTCGCTTTATTTTAAAAGTTATAGGTAAATTAAGATTACAAAAACAAGCAAAAAATAACCTCCTTCATGACGTCGTAGGTCCTGGCTTGAGTGGCCGTGAACTAGATGAGGAGTAGTGAGCTCAATGAGAGCTCACGGCTGCCGCACTCAGTGTCGACGGCTCGAGAGGGCGCCACTAAAGCACATGTTGGATAGGCTGTATACGAAGCGGGCGGCCAGGTCGGCTCGCAATGCTTTTGCTGCGCGATTAAAGACTAATTCGGCATGACACTTCATTGGCCACAAACGACAGCAAACACGGGGTAAAGATCAGTTCCGAACGGGAGCCACTTCGCTCTGCCATACCGCCAAATGACGAAATCGCCAGCCAAGCCCACGCCGAAAACCTTCGGAACGCTCGGAACCGATCGGATCCTCGAGCCGGTATACGACCGCAGCGCCGCCGCATACATGCGGGACCTTTCTACGCTTGCCGTTCGTTGGCGCCTGATCCCACAAACTCTTTCTAGTATGCGCCGTTTTTTTCCGCCGCTTGGTGGCGGGTTTGTCGACGGGTCTTTTCTTGTTTCCGTACATTATAAACTGCATTTGTTTCTTTTTTGATATAAAATACAGAACAAAAACTAGTTTCATACATAATTGAAACGGTTCGCGACACTTGCATTTTGTATCTCGACTAAAAAAATAGTGTTTAGCGGCTCTGACCAGTAGTAAGCCGAGGACCAAAGATGTCACATATCGCGCGCTTTCGGCAGTGCGGGTCGCCCTTGTAGGCGGAACAGGTTTCCGCGTCATCCGGTTAAAATATGATGCACTGATATTTAGTTACCCTTTCCGTGCCCGCTGGCTTGCCTGAACCCCAAGAGACGTGGAAACCGCAAAAAAGGTAGAGGCTTAAATATGATTGCAGGGCCCCTTTAAAGGGGTACTCCGGTGATTTTTTCATGGTCGCTGATTTGCCTCAAAATTGGCTCAACAGACCGATAGACATGGCCCTACAAGTTCCCCAAGTATTGTGTGAAAAGAAAAAGGAATTCGCGAAGTTATTCAATTTTCAAATTTCGTTTTCATAGTGTTTCTCAAACCGGGAGCCCCTACTGGCAACATTGAAGTGTGACGACAGAAATGGTACAAAGTGGGCAGTAAGCCATGTTCCCAACTGATTACAAGACGTTTGATGGTGGGAAAAGAATGTTTGGTAACTGATTCACTGAGAAGCACGCAAAAAACGCTCGACATACTCTGTTTAAGACTACATGCACGACCTGGAAGTCTGTACCATATGTGACGTCCCACCACCGAAGAGCGCGCAAAAATTTGAATGCTGGTTTCGGCATCATCTTTATTTACGGTTTTCTCAATTGCTATTTTGAATTTCGAGAAAATAAATAGCATACCGTGACGACTGAAATCCGGTTAGTCGGAAAATGAAATTTTTTTAGGTAGCTCAAGAAACGGCCGGAGTACCCCTTTAATAATGGTCTGTTTGTACTTTCAGCTCTAACAAACAATACTGTCAAAAAAGTGAAAAGTATTGTATTATAAATACAGAGCGCAACTTTGCAATTTTTTTGCCAGGATTCACCTTGAGAATTAGTGTTATCTTCTATCTCACCTGCTAGGAGAGCTGCAGACTTACTGGTTCTTTTAACCCTTTTTTTTTTATGTTGAGGTGCTACTCGTTTCTAGGTGACACATCTGTCGCTCTGATCTAGCGGTTTCCGCTGGTGGTATGAAAGTGCCCTATTTTATTTGAAGCCCAGGCTAAAACTACTTAAGGTCCCATGGTTGTGTTTACTTGATGCCCGTAATCTTAAATTGCTTGTAGGTTATTATTTGCTGCCAAGTCCTCAGTGTCGTATATTAAAAAATTGGGAGCAATATTGTCCGACTCCACTCTCTGCAGTGTCCCTTTCATATCCTGTATCTTGCTCTAGAGTGGTTGACTGCTGGTGAAAATTCAAGATGCAGCACAGAAACAAGCAAAACAATTAAAAACAAAAATTGGATTAAGTACAATTGCACACAACGTTGAAGACAAAACGGTGCAATTTATCTTTGTAGTGAGGCATACCTATGTACGACAGGATTGAAGGAATGGGTGCACGATTGTTGAACAGCGGATCACATAAGTTGGTGATTCGATAGAAGGATGCAAAGCTACAGTGAAATTTTGTTATCATTAAAGCTTTAAGGAGCTTTTTTTTTTATTGAAATCATAAGTTTAACATAAAATATGGGGAGTCAAACTCGGAAGCTGAGACTATTTTTGTTTGAATCTACACTTGGAATGTTGCAATTCTAATACTATGCAATTTTTGCAAAAATAAAAAATAAAAAAAGATATTATGGAGACCTTCTTTATTTTTTTTATTTTTTTTTTTGTAAAATACCGTGATTTCAAATTCTATCTTTTGTCATTGTCATGCACAGGCTTTGACATGCTCTTGAGGTCGGTGTTTAAGTCAACCTTGATGTCGCTGAGATCTAATATTGACCTTCCCCCATGATCTGGATCTAAACAGAGGCTGTAGGTAGAAAACAAGATAATCTAAACCCTGAGAAAAGAAGGTAATGATCTCAGAATGTAGATTATGCTGTTTCCTAAGCAGCTCACCTGTATACTTCCTCGTCTCACTGTAGGTAGGGTTTTGCTAGGCGGGATACTTGGAGACTCCTCTTTCAAAACCAATGTTTCGCTATTGATAAAGACCTCAGTTCATGTCTTAAGGGGGAACAGAGACCCACTGCTGCTTTACATAATGTGGGCTATTGTTTTGAAGTTTCTACTCCTTTTTATCCTGCAATGTCCCATCACAATGTAAGGTTGCTTTCAGTACCCAGGTTCATTCGAAAGTCTGCCGGAAAAAGCTGACCCTGCACATTGCAATCTCAAATTTTTATCAAAAGTGTATTTTAATGGAGATTTTTAAGCCAGGAAATTTTAGGGTGCGGCTCCCCTCCCATGAAAAATGAGACCAACACCCCTGCCACGGCAAACAACGACGCGGACGACCAAGGTGGCGAATGTTTTGATTAAAATATCTCCCAATAGGCGCAACGAGCAGGTGACACACTCAGCCAAAAGCAGACGACGCCGGCGTCTGCTCGCTGTGCCCACTGGAGGATGGTGCCATAAGCGCTACCCTCGGTTAACTATATAGCCTGTGTCGACGTTCGCCATTGTTTGTCGCAAATTTGTCAGTCTCTTTTTCGCAGGAAGGGAGCTGTGCCATGAAGGTTCACTTTGTGAAATGTTTCAATGAAATACACCTGTAGATTTTTTCAGATGGTTGTAAAGCTACCCTGGTCATTTACGCTGCCCTATAGTTTTGTAGAAACAAGTATCATATTTTCACCACACCCGGTGCATGGTCTGCAAAGACTAATTTTGTCTGAAAATGGAAATGTTTTTTCTTAGGTGTTCCGCGACCGGTGCATACTCTGCACGTAAAGAAATCTTAAATGCAGTATGGTTTAAAAAAATGCCTGCTTTATTAACGCACAAAGAAGCTTGCATCATACAGAAGTCAGAGTTAACAAAAGCCGCCGTGTCTTGTCATAATGAACAATCTCGAAAAAAACTAATCCTTTTGTAGTTTGCACCACAAAAAATTTACAAGGTTTTTTCTATCGCAAAATTTTAAACAATGCACCGCCAAACGCTTATTCTTCGCCCAAATATAGCGCTAGAGGTTTCGAACCAGATGCCAAAGTAGCCTTAACCGTTGCCTTTTTCAAAAGTTATGTGATTTATTTTTAATTTTCAGTGGGAAATGGGGCCCATTATTGTCCATTTTCGGTAAATATCATAGAATAGCTTAGTGTATCAAAAGAGGTCTATCGGCCGCCATTTTCCCATTGAATATTTCAGAAAATCATTGATAACTTTTGATTAAGGTAACGATTATAGTCCTGAAACTTTGGCATCTGGTTCGGACCACGAGGGCTACATTTGGGCGGAGAATGAATGTTCTGTGACAGAAAGTTTATTTTGGTTAAAAAGAAAAGTCAATATTTTTGGGGGGACACCTTGTAGAATCTGCGGACTACAGTCCTGGAAATGCAGTTTGTGACGTCGGTGCTTTTGCCTTGCAGGGCTGATTGTGGGCGCCATCGTGCGCTACGCAAGCGACGAGACGGAGATGTCGCACGTGCGGGTGCTTCCCGTGCGGGGGAGCAACTACAGCGACGCCTATCCCCCGGACAATGTCTTTGTGCTCCTGGAGATCGCCAAGACGGACGCGAACCACAAGGAGAACAAGACGTACGCCTACAACTTTCAGGGGGAGGTCACCGACGTGGAGAGCAAGAAACTCAACCAGAAGGTGGGCGCTCTCTTTGCCCTGAAAAGCGGGCAAAGTCGGACGTTTTTCTGGTTGCTGACGAGAACGTCGGAGCGTCTTTCAAATGCTCTCCCTTGAGTGCATGCTCAGGGCTTGCGGGACACCAAAGAGTTACCGTTGGCGACAAGCTCACGCAGGAGACTGGACAACAGAGTCCCTCCCCCCTCTTCTTTTAGTCTCGTCCCATCGGTGATAATAGCGCACGAAACACATTCTAACGGAACTAGACCTCCAAAACTTGTCCTCCGGTGGTCCGTCCTTTAGTCATTGGCTAGAAATGGCGAATGGGGCATCGCTAACCGGCAGTGTAACAGTGCCATGTGTGCAGCAGCGATTCTGTGTCGTTGGTCCTTACCGTGTAACATAAGAAAATGCACTACTCTTTTTTGAATTAGGTACAAAAGAAGGTCCGGGATGCTAAATGTAAACGCCTAGTTGGTGACAGGCTATAAAAACACTAACTTCTCTCCAAATTTTTTTTTTTGCCAGGCAATTTAAGATGTTTTTGAGTACTACCCAATCAATATTTTGCTCCGGCGTCACATATACTATTGTTCATAAAGAAAAAAATGCAACTGCTCAAAACTGAAACTGGACTGGGGAGAAGGCAGAAATGTAGAGGAGAGAGTTACCGGAAGTCACGTGGCTACACCTGACTGTATTTTCTTCTTTTATTTTCTTACCCTTCGGTTTTTTTGTTGTGTGAAGCAAACGAAAAACGTGCACATCGCACAAAAAACGCAAGAGTCAAGCACTTCACACTTGACGTTTGTGCGTTTTTCAAGCTCTTACCAATTGTTCATAAGACAAGCAATGTCTTCAGCCAGGAGAAGGTGCGACAACTCGGCGACACCTGTGTGCATATTAGCTCGGTGGTCGGGCGAGTTGTACGGAATAAATCCTAATTGTTTTGATTGGTATTGGTAATAGTTTTCTCTTTCGAAGCTAGACAGATTCGCCGGTACCGTGAACAGCAGTTCTGAAGTACAGGGCCCACGCCCGTTGTCCACCGCCATCACTTGGTCTGCTTCGCTCAGCCATCCAGCCTGCATCTCCCACAATATGACGCCATGTTGAGAATTATGCAGAGAATGCACCAAGTGCTTCCGGTTCTCTGTGCAGCTTTTTTTTTTCAATCAACGCATTTGCAGCTTTCTAGAAGCCCCAAAAAATTTGTATCATATTTTTTTTCCATTTTTAATATTAAGTGTGTGCTTTCGATGACCCACTACTTTGATTATATTTGGTGTCTGTGCCTAAACCGTAAAGAACGGCATGGGACCACGGAAAGGAGAGTGAACGCGACTCAAACCGGCCAGTGCTGAACCGGCGGTTTTCGAGCGGAAAGAAAATAAATTTTAAGCCTCAAATTGTGTTCTGGGTAGTTGGGCTCTCGTATGTCATGTACTCATAGAAACCTTGGCGTGCATAACTATCTTGTCATTATTCCTTAAGAGCCCAGTAGGTGCTTTGCCTCAAGCGCATGCACCCAAAAATCCGGCGAAAAGCAATGAGCGCACGATTATAACGTTAGAAAGTCAAGGTAATGAAATATGATTCAAAACTTCATCAAATTACATCACAAGTCACATCAATTAAACAAATTTACAAAATCTACAAAACAATTGCATTTCATGCATTATCGGAAGGTCTCAAAGGCATCATTTTTTGTGTAGGGCATGTGCTCCCAAGTTGCTCCGCTCTATATTTACGAGCTCTGCATTGTGGTATTAGGGCCCACTCCCAAGTTTCGAGGTGCATCGCTAAAGCAAACAAACAAAATTAAATTTGTGGCATATTCAAAGATGTCATTGAGACGTGCAAGTGCACGCTGCATACGAGCACCATGGCCGAATAAATGAGAGAATCCTCCTTCGAGAGACATTTTGCAGTCTCCGTTACCATTGTTAATGTTTTACGACGGACTGCCCATTTCCTCGCAGGCAACGTTTGATCCAGAGATATTTTTCAACATCATCCTACCTCCCATCATCTTCAATGCAGGGTACAGTCTCAAAAGGGTGAGTGACCTCGGGCGGTCGTGCTGCACCCGCGCAGCTGCACGGCTACGGTGGGAGTGTACGCAGTCTTTGATTTGACAAACCTTTCTTTTTTTTACAGAAATTCTTCTTCAGAAATTTGGGCACGATCATGACCTACGCTTTTGTGGGCACTACAATCTCTTGCTTCGTTGTCGGGTAAGTCGACGCAACTTTCTTTCTCTGGCTCGCGAAAATGGGCAAGCGTTGACTACCCTGTGTTCACTGGCAGCCTAAGACACGCAGGGCGTGGCAGGTCCCCGCCATCTTACCGTTCCGCAGCCAATGAGGTTGCAACGTTGGCCGACAAGAACGAACCGTGGAGCAAGGACCGTGGAGACGATGAGCCACGCCCTGCTGTGTTTCTTGTGCTTTCAGTGACTTCAGTCAAATGAGAAAAAGTATTTAATAGGGACATATGTATATGCAGGCTGCTGTTAACTTTTTTTTCATAATGGGGAAAATGTCCGTTTTGTGCGACTTTTGGCTGCACTTTATTTTCCCAGCGAAACTATTTGGTTTACAGTATGACGCCATACATAAAAACTAATTTAAATAAATAAACTTTTGAATAATGCAAACATCAAGACAGACTTAAAATCAAATGTAATATATATTTTTGTCACATGATCCGTTTAAAAAAAGTTGGTCCAAACCAGATAAAGAAAGGACTACCTACACAAAAAGTTTTGAGATACTTACCGAGAGATGGCCCACCTAAAATCGATAGCAAGATTTGTTGAAAAAAAGGTGTAAGCTAACTTTCGGCGTGCCATAAAAAAAAAAGTTGACAAAATGCTAGTTTTGGGGACCTTCAGAACTTGCAATCGCAGGAAGGGGCGACGAAGCAAAAGACGGCTGTCCTTCCCAGTCAGCAATGTTCGCTTATCTCCCGCCAGGGTTAAGTAACACTGTATTTGCAGAGGTCACCATTGGCCAGGGCTCCGCAATTGCTACATGTGGGCTATCTTTCGGTGTTTCAGAAAAAAAAAATAGCAAATCGTGCCAAAAATAGAGGTGGGTTATCTTCTGGGGGAGGGGCATCTCTTTGGATATTACGGTAATGTTTTCTTTTTTCACAACAAAAAACTGCAAAAACCAGAGTTCGAGCTCAAAAAGATTTTGATCTACCGAAACTCAAGTCAACCCTCATGACTGGCATGCCATCGGGCTAAGCACTTTCTTAACATGGTGAAGCACAGGTCACCAGAACTGAAGTACGAGGATCTGGCTTCGTCACCAGAGCCACTGCTGCCATCGGAGTCTGAAAAGTTGATGGAGGATTCGCCAGAATTGCCACGCTCGGAATCGCGTGTCGGACTTGTGGAAGCAGCCGTGGCTGTCGGAAATGACTACGACGTGCCATCGGTTTCACGCTCTGCTCAAAACTCGCTGCCACATGGGAAGAGAACCACAGAAGCCGAAACTCTAGCCTTCAAACTATCTACAAGATGCTCCGCGGGAGTTTTGAAACGGGCCTCCACGCCCATCGATCGCGGGTGATCGCCACTCTACGGGCATGGTCAGGAAAAAGATAATTAATAGCATATACTCCTTGCCTTTTACATTTCTTGATCTGGTATAAAAACCTGAAAACAACAATGTGTAGTTTGTGTGGGTTATTGTTCAATTTCAGTTTTATAACAAGGCACCTTCTTAGTGTTTCTTTGTATCTTCTTACTTCTTTGCCGGTTTGTGTGTTCAAAGATTTGTCTCCTTTTTTATCTTTCCAGGGTTATTCTTTACTCATTCTTGCTGCTCATGCCCCACCTGGAGTTCACATTCAATAATTGCCTGTACTTTGGTGCCATCATTTCTGCCACAGACCCTGGTGAGCGCAGCCACTCGCTGCCAATTGTAGGGGGCACTATTACAATCAACCTAAGTCAAAGATAAAGCTTATTATTTTTTTTATTATCGAGGTCAACCCCCCTTCCTTTCCACCTTTAGTTTTGTGCGAATATTTGGGGTAGCAGGGAATATGACATCGCATAGACTCGCACGTGCCTTACCTCCAAGTTTGTGGCAGTTATTTCTTGGTAGCTACTTGCTCGGTATTTTACTGTCAGTACATAGGGAGCGAAGCCCCCTTTAAAGAATACAAACTAAATATTTGGGAACTAGCTCAGAAATGAGGATACAGGAGCAGGACGATATTTGTTGTCGGTTGCTGGACTTTTCGTTTGACTGAACCCACAACAATCTTTGTTCCAGTAACGGTCTTGGCCATATTCCATGACCTTCACGTTGATGTCAACCTGTATGCCCTAGTCTTTGGAGAGAGCATCTTAAACGATGCAGTGGCCATTGGCTTAGTGTCGTAAGTGAAAATTTGATTTACTTCTCTTGACGTGTTATTCTTTCTGAGAAGAATCTGTGATGTAATGGAGGCCCAATTGAGATGGAATACTGCACACTCAAATGTGCTGCCTCGTGGCTTTCTATCCGCAGGGCAATATCAAGCTACGAAGAAAACAACAACGAAGGGAAGGAGTTTGAAGTGACCGCAGCCTTCAAAGCTTTCGGCAACTTCGTCTACATTTTTCTGTGCTCCTTTATAATTGGGTCTCTCACCGGATGTGTCACAGCTCTTATATCCTTTGCCTTCTGTTGGGGAATAGGGAACAGTCTGTTTGTGAATGTGGAAGTAGGGGCCTGCTTGTGAGATGTGTTTCTACATAAAAGCACCTTCATATACACCACTGCAAGCAAGGTATCTGACTTGCTGCCATTTCTCTGCCAATGTGAGCAAGTATGTGCCCTTCTAAGCTTGCCAAGTTACCTTCAGATGCATGTTGCATGAGCTTGCACACATGGGTCACCAGGCAAGACCCTGTGCTTCCATTTATGTATATAGTAGGCACTTCCTTTCTTCCATACCCCTCTTGCCTTTTTCTCTCTTGGCCATTTTCAACTTTCTCTAGCTTCCTCGCTCTTCCTCTTTCACCCACCGTTCTTTCTCTCCTTTCTCGTAACCTGTGTTTTCTCTTGATCACCGATACAATAAGCTGGTAAATCAAATAAAAATTCAAGAAAGTTTATTGATTTTTTTAATGAGAAATGGTTATTTTGTATCTTTTGCTGAGGTAGAATTTGCTCACATCCTACTATGGTATTGTTGTATCCCATTCCTATGTGCCAACAGTTTTGAATGGCAAAAACATACTCTGTGTACACATGCTTTCAAAAGGGCAAAATTTGAAGCAGACAATGTCCTTGACTGGAAGCTCTGCACATGACCAAGTTCACGAAGCTTTGCGACTTTCCGCTGCTGGAGAGCTGCCTCTTCGTGCTCATGTCATACACCTCCTTTCTAATTGCCGAGGCATTAGATCTGACGGGTAAGTTGTGACGCGGGCACAAGCCATTGCCGCTCCTCACGTGGGCTTTTAAGTCTAGCCTGTTGCACTGTGCGACAAAAGCAGCGTCTGACGCGTGTGTCAGTTTCACTTGTTTGAATTTCAGGTATTGTGGCCGTGTTGTTCTGCGGGATCTGTCAAGCCCATTACACCTACAACAACCTGTCGGTGGAGTCTCGGTTAAGAACGAAACAGGTAAGCAACAATGGCTTTCTCTGCTTTTCTAAACTACCTGTTTTTATTTCTGTTTGTTTAATGAGTTTTCCTATGCTTTTGAGAGAAACAGGATGTGGCTTGGAACCCGTCTAAGAAGGTTTTATGGTTTGTCAAATGTTCAGCTCCTATTAGAATTTATCCAATTAAAAAGTAATTGCTAAGGTTAACATGTACTTTCATTTATATTTATTTTCAAATACTATCAGTTCCTGATGGGACTATGATAGGAGGGGGCATATACACTATCTGGAATATAGAAAAAAGGCAAGGCAATTCACTCTTGAACAAGAAAAACATGATAAAATTTCATAAAACAAGATTCTCAGATGGGTTATCCAAACTGCATAAAACAAACTCAACAATCAAGCTGGGCAACTCCTCAATTCTAAACGTTTCAGAATATGAGGGGGGGTTTTCGCATTGAAAAGTGCTGATGAACAGCTCTACATCACTTGTTTCCTGGAAACTTGGACATTTTTCACACAATGTTACTTTAGACATGATCAGAAACTGAAACTTTGGCTGCAGCGGGAAACATGGGCTTTGTGTTGTCGAACATGAGGCACCCATGTGACACAAACCATGTGTAATCCACCACGCAAATGGGCGCTGCGCAAGTGTACCCCGCACCACAGCAGGCTCTGCATCCAACATTGTCTGTACTACTGCAGACCTGACATTCAGAAACAAATCCGAAATTCGTAAGCAAAAAGGTTGTCGGAGGTAGTGGTACACAAAAACTACGTCGGGATTTAACCTCTGGCAGACAGCTGGCGTGGCAGGTTCACAACACCATGCCCAGCACACACACACAGAGCATAAATCTCTGTGTCCCTGGTTAGTTGACTGTGCACTATGTCACTTGCCAGATTTAGCCGATTTTGTTGACTTGGTATATCTCGAACTGTATTGGCCATTATAATAAACATTTAGACAGAATTATGTTGTAATATTCGACATGCAGACTTTCTATGTGATGCTGAAGAAATGTGCACTCTTTTCACAATAGCAAAAATACAAGTGAAGTTGTTCTTTATGTCCTCTAGCAATACATGTTGAGCCATCTCATTTTTAGCAGAACTTGACACTTCTTTAATTTGCAGTTGTCCAGCATGCGAGGTATGCGTTTCTTTGTGTTCGGAATTTTGATGCGACTGACATTGTGCTGTCCAGGGAAATTCCTGTTTTGTCCTGGGTATGTTTATTACCATTTATTGTTGTGCGAGTATTGAAATTTTCAAATTGTAGTGTCGAATAATACACTATTCAATATTTGCTTCGAGATGAACTGAAATATTCATATTTTTCGAAGTGTTGATCGCAGCGGGATAGCCCCATTAGACGTGCTTCTTACCGAGCACCGGTGCACTGCAGAGATGCAACATCCGCAGAGCTCGCTTCCGGGGGTGTTGCTTCTTTGCAGTGCATCGGTGCTCGGTAAGAAGCGCACTCAACGGGGCAAGCCTGCCATATTGAAAGGTTTGGTAAGTACAAATACCGCAGCCGCGTGCTTAGGAGAAAAGTGCACTTTTAAGGCTGGATGCACACACCTGGTTTATTTTGAAAAAGAACTGCAACTTTAAGAATGTTAATATCTACATTCCAGTAAAACTTTCCAAATTAAACTGCCTATTATACATGAGTAAATGTTAGGCAAAAATGACCTTACAACCTGTGTTAATCATTTGTGATTGAACAAAAGATATTTTCATATAGCAAGAATATTCACAAATCCTTTTGATTAGGTATAGCTGGGCATCTCTATAGATTTCATTTTATGTCAAAGGCATTGTTTACTTGCCATTCCAAGGTATCGGACTTTCTAAGGCCACAGTCAATAAATGTAGCTTGATTAAAATTAGCCTCTAGTTGAACAGGTGGAAGCTTGGGAACAACCTTCACGAGTTCAGCTGGTTGTTAGTTTAAGCATGGTGCAGTAGTGAAAGACTTGGAGAAACTTTGATCTTAGGTTAGAAAATATGCGGCCAAAACCACTATTCTCTCCGAACCATTCACTATTCTGGTGTGACTATTAATATTACTATTGCTCAGGGTTGTGTCATCTACAGGGTGTTTTGTGGGAGGATGTTGTAAAGGGATAGTATTGCTACTGGTGTACCATCAGCTGTGATGTGGTGCCTCTGGTAAATAACTTTCCCTTCAGATGCCTTTATACCGGCATTTTCTCTTTCTCTTTTGCTTTGCAGCTGTTCGAGCTGTTAAATTTCCTTGCGGAGAATTTCATCTTCAGTTATATTGGTGTGTCTATGTTCACGTACAAGAAACACAGATGGGATGCTGGCTTCATCCTAGTGGCCTTTGTATCCTTTTCAAAAAGAAGTTTCACGGCTGACAGCTGCCACAAGCTGCCATAGCTGTCTTTGTCAGCAAGCTGCTGCAATTTCTCGTATGCTAGTTGTACCCTAGTTTCTCTAGTGCCTTTCTAGTTCTGGGACAGCAAACGTTTTGTTCTTTTTTCCCCCGAGTTTATGTTTAGATTGAGCATTTGATAGTGCTGTTCGATACAGCAAATTTTAGCTGGGGTGTTTCACTCCGTTTGACACTGTTTCCTCGTATACAACTTCTGGCATTGTGGCATTTCAGTTGTATGCTCGCTCTAAGATCATTTACAGCTTCTATTTAACATTGAGCTTCTGTTTATATTTTTATATTGTGGTTCGTTTGCCCTCTAGTTCAGCCACACAACTTTACAGCCTTCTGATGCACTGAAACATAAATGTAAAAACAATATAAAAAAAACACGAAAGTGGGCAGTTTTTTTGTTTTTTTTTTGGCATTTTATGTATTGATTTTAAACAATATGGGAGAAGGGGGCAGAAATCCTTTTTCCAACATCTTCCAAATGCTTCAGACACTCCTGTGCTAGGGTCAAATTTGCCTGCAGATATTTTTATGGACTTGAATTTGTTTCATTTATAACATTCAGTTTATATTCATGGCTGTTGTAATCACATTTGTTTGTTTCTTTTGTGAAGTTGCAGCATTGCATGCAGACTTTAAATGTGCGATGTGCGAGTGTTGCATCCATAGTCAGTTTTAGGGGTGGATCGGATGGTAGTTTCTACCAATTGATCCACCCCCAAATGGCAATGGCAGATGGCACTCTCTTCCTTAACCATAGTGTACAGCTAGCAATAGCTGTTGGCAGAGCAGTGTACATCTATCCGCTAACGTTCCTGCTGAACTTGGGGAGGACAAACAAGATCCCGATAGCCTTTCAGCACGTGCTCTTCTTTTCAGGTGAGGCTATTATTAAGAATGTTTTCTGTGTTTTGTTTATTCACTTCAACACACTGCTGGTGAACAGAAACCAGGGCCAGTTGTTCAACTCATGCAGCTAGGGCTGAAAATGTACATGATGATGAATAGTAGAAATACCAGTGCATATGTACACAATACGGAGAAGATGGCTGTCATTCTAACAAACATTTATTATACACTTGTCTGACATCTCTACCTGCACATCCTTGGAGCACGATGCAAGTATTCTTTCCTGCACTTGTATTTTCTGGGATTCCTCGTATCGGCCACGTCGACGTCTAAAGTTTGATACAAAACATTTTTTTTTTCACTACTTTCTAATCAAAGACAAGTTTGTTTTAAACGTTTGACTTCAATTATGTTGCCTCGGAGGAGTTGGTATGATATATTTATTGTCAAAGCAGACCTTTATGCGCACATCTTTAACGTTACTTAATTTCACGAATCTCCAGTTGGCAGATTCAAATCCCAACTGAAATGCCTGCTATTTGACAGAACTAAGATTTTGGTTACACATTGAAGGATTCACAGCTGATGTAAATTAATTTAAGTCCTCTGCTGGAGTGTGCCATCTGCCCAGGGAATCAAACCTGTCATTACTCTAGTTTGGTTCAGATTAGGGTTCAGTAGCTCTGCGTTTTGTTCCGATTCGGTTCTGGTTCTGCGATGAATTCAAAATAATGGTTTGGTTACCGTTTTCACGAAGTGCGAACCGGTTCAAACCTGTAAAAAGAGAAGTCTACAGCTCCAAGTCATTAAAGGGAAGCTGAAGAGGTTCCTGAAGTATTTTCTGCTCGTGAATCTTAATATTACGTTAGTTTTCTCCGAAGATGTAACTAAACTCGAGAAAACACGGAAAGCCTCCGACCAGTCGTTACGTCGCACCCAGATCTTTTGGCCGCCAAGCGCGTGTTGCTCGTGTCGGCAGCGCATGTAATTGCAAGCTTTCTAGGTATATTCACCCGCACTGACATGCACCAGGCGTGACGTCTTTTTCTGACAATTTTGAAAATAGCAAGGGTGCATGAGCATAGCTTTGGTAGGTGCTGAAGATGCACGAGAGCGGATGTTTCGAAAACGCCTACTATGAAGTCGCGCTCCGGGAAGGAGACGTAGTGGTACTTTGAAAACTATTTTCTGCTGCCTCCGTGTACCAAATTGAAAAAAATAATCTTGATATCCATGGTCCTGGAGGCCAAATGAAGATGATTCAAGGGTTTTTCCTAAAATTCAAAACCGTTTCAGTTTTCCTTTAGGAATTGTTTAACACAGCACAAGAGAACGGCTAAAAAAATATATGCTTAATTTCATTTTGTGATCTTAACTTTATTGAAAACTTTGTTCTACACAAATTAAGTGGTCATAAGACACTGAGAAACAGTACCAAAGTGCAGTACTCACGTGTGAAGTTAATCAGTCGGCACGCACAGAGACACAGTAATGGTGGCACATACCATACTCGCAAACTACCACCCCACAAGCCTAAATGCCTTGCTTGAACGACTTAATTAAAGGGGAGAAAGGCAGTGAAAGGTAATCTAAAAAATATTAAAGTTAAAAAAAAAAATGTTTGGTCAGCATTTAGGGTTTTGGGCTGCTCTGGACGATTGGCGTCCCAGCGACCAGTATTACGTTGAACCTTTTTCCAATGAACAGGTAACCACCACAGGGTATTTTGGTTCCGTTTTTGGTTTAATATTAAATGCATGTTTTCGGTTATGGTTTCGTTCCAGTTCAGTCAAAAATAACTGCCTTGCTCCGGTTTTCGGTTTGGGTTTGGTTCGACACCCTGCATCCACCCTTTGTTGGATGGGCCCGCAGGTCCCCGACACTTACTCGCTCTTGGTTCGTTGCCTTGTACATAACCTTGCTTTTGTGTTGCAGGCCTACGCGGTGCCATGGCCTTTGCTCTGGCAATCCGAAACACTCTTTCGGAGCAGAGGCACCTTATTCTCACGGCCACGTCCCTCATCGCCATTGTGACGGTGATCGTGTGTGGTGGCTGCACCACGCAGCTCCTGGCATGGCTGAGCATTCCGTGAGTCCCCAAGACGTCCCAGTTTTGTGGGGTCGCTCATCAAATCTTTGGTGCTGAGATTAAGTTTTGTTTTGGGTAACTAACTTGTAAGAGAAGTGACCATATAACTTCATCCATGAGAGAAGCTCTATACAGGAGAAAATAGCTTCCCGTATGAAGACTCTAGGATTGCCACAATAAAAATTCCACATTGTCCACGTCTCTGGACAACTTCAGCCTCTTCTGTTTGCACTTTCAGATTTTTGCCCACACTTTGGTTTTTCTTTTTTCTTACCTTGCACTTTCTAACATGCATGAGGAGTCTTTGGAAGTCCCATCATTGCCTCATGCCAAATTGGTCCCCACAAGTATCTTTTATTACTTATATCTACCGAAAAACTGAGGTCTTGATAGTGTGGTATGTTAAAGGGGCACTGACACCCCAAAGGTCGTATTTTCTTTTATTGTCTAAAACGATGCAAGTTGTAGTCGTAGACACACAAAAATAAACGCATCGCGAAAAAAACTTTCCCTGCTCACCTCCTTGCTTCTTTTGATTGGCGACGTCAAAAATCGTGAAGTTTAGAAGCTTTGTACATGACATTTCTATAACATTTAATAGCGGCAATCGTAAAACATGTTTTTTAACGCAATTGCGAACGCACTACGGCCCCTCTTTTTGAAATTCCAAAAATCAAAGTCCGGTGTGATGTCTCTTCCTGGATTTGTTTCCTCCCTCGGAAATGTTGGCGGCACTCGAGCAAAGGATGATCGACGAGTCGAGGAAAAAAATGGTTTTGTCCCGCGCCGGCACCCTTCTATCCCGCCTCCTCACCTCCTCCCTGCTCCAGGTCGCGGTGGCAACGGCGCTTTGCTTCGTAGCGTGGAGCGGAGGTCTGAAAGAAAGTCGACTCTCAGGAGACCGAAAAATTTTACTCACTGCACCGGCACGGATTGCGCGGGAACTTCAAATTTGGCATTTGGCAATTGTTTTTTTAGTTCACAAATACTGAATTCCCAAGTTTTGAATTTTGAGGGTAATGTCCCGGCATCGTTTTCAGTCGTTACGGGTAATAAAAAAAAATATAATTTTGATGTGTCAATGCCCCTTTAAAGTTTTTAGACATCAATCTTAAAATTGGAGTCAAGACATCAGTGTGAAATTGGAAAGTCTAGGCATCAATCTGAAACTGCAGAAAAGTCTAAACATTGAAACATTTTTAAACATTTCTTTATTTCCATCAACGATGGAGGAAAACCAAAGGAAGAAAGCTGCTATTTGCAGCTTGACCGGTCAATTTTGAGTCGATTTTGAGGTTCTTTTAAGAGAGTGTTACCAATTTTCTTTTGCAGTTAATGTTTATTTAACTCATTAAATTGTGTCATCAGTAGCATGTAGCTTGTGGAGGTTTGATTAGGAAGCTAAGTTTCTGTAAAGCGGACACCAAGGTCACTTTAAAAGTTTGTTCTGCCATGTCTTAGTCTTTTCTTGCGCTGTTTATGTTCCAGAGTGGGGATTGAAGAGGAACACGAGATGCTTCAATTCACAGGAGTGCGGCCTGTGAGTAGAGCCTTGCTATATTTCAACATGGCAGCCCCTTTTGTCGTGATCAGTGTTCATCTTGCATTTTGCTCCACCCACATTGTGCTTTCCTGGACTTACCTAGGTAGCACTGCAGTCACTGAAGCTAATGGGAACAGCAAGGATATACAGCAAGCAAGTGTTCCAAGATGTCTTAGGTGCATCGTAGTGCAAGGAGGGGCTCTCCTATCAAGTGGCAATGCAGAGTGTGCAGGGAATGCATAGTGACAGGGCAGCCAAATTTGCACCTTCACTGGTTGAGGTCGGGGGGAAAGAGAAGCATGTGGATACTTATAGTGGGTAAACAAACGCACGAGGTGCGGAAGGTGCAAACAATCTTGCACGCCATATGACAAACTTGCATGCTGTATAGCAAGAAAAGAACTTGTTGAATAACTGCTGCGGCATATTTTGACAACTGGCTACAAATGTATGATTGGTGTGAGCAGGTTTAGACTGCAAATTACCATATGTTCCGGTGTATGAGGGTAGATGGAAAAGTTTCTGGCATCGCTATTAAAAAAAACCTAAAAAGAAAAGAAAAAAAATTTTTAAATTGTCTGATTGGGACATGCGTGTCACAAAATTAATTTTTCTTGAAAAGAAAATTTTTTTTAGTGCAATATTGATGGCACGAGATGCGATTTAGTTGGCAGTAACCTCCTTTCCTCTAGTTTTCTCTAGGCATTTCGGGCACGTGGAGGATAGGGGAAGCGGCTTTGCCTTCATGACCAAGATGGTCATTCTGGAATGACCAGTAACGTTATGGACTTTGCGCACAGAATTTTTAAAAAATCTCTCGCCGTCAATATTGCTTTAAAACATTTTTTTTGCGTAAAATTTATTTTTTGACACACGTGTCCCAACCAGACTGTTAAAAAAAAACATTTTATTTTCAGAGGCCTTTTCTGGGGTTGATTTTCTTTTTTCTTTTTTTTACAGCTGAGTTGTTAAGGGCTAATTTCCCAGCTTGGTGTCCGGTACCAAACAAATGTTGACACAAAACTCTAGACAGCTACCGCCATCTATGAGCGAGGGCGGCAACCATACAACCAGTCTGGTTGCCGCCGCTGCTCATAGATGGCGGCAACCTTTCCAGCTATCGTAAAAGAATGGATAGTTGTGCGAGTCGGTGGGAATTTATCGTAGGAAACAGCGCGCAAAACAGACAAGGACGAAGAAGGGAGACATGGGACAAGCGTACAGCTTCGCTAGTCTTCCTCCTTCACCAGAGGGGAAAGGTTGAAAGTTTTTTTTTAATATGTTCATGTTCTTGTGTTGACCTGCAGGCATGGTTATTCCTCAGCTGTGTATCGGTCCTCCATATACAGGAATCGAGCCACACCTTATTGCTGTAGCAAAACTGACCCCTACGACACTATTGACACAAATTTTAGGTTGCTGGGTACGCACATCTGTTTTTTGGGGCTCATTCTATAGTGTCCTCAATCTTTGAACCTGGTTGTATGTAGTCACCGACCAGGTGAAGGAACGTTCACACACTCGTATTTGCTTACGACCGAGTTCTTGCGATCTCTTGCGACGAGAGAACACACTGCCCTGTGGCGCCGTCTATGAGGTGGCCCCTGAACTCCATTTCACGGTGTGAAGGTTTCGCATTATTTGCGAGATCAAATGTATGTGCCGCCTAAGAGAGGTGGTTGTTTACAACATTGTCATGGAAATGCCGAGTCATTCTAATCGTGTTAATGACTATAGTGTGACACTATGATCTTGCGGTATAGATTTAGCAAGCACCCTTTCTTTCCAGTTTCCTTTGTGCTTTGCTGTTGGCACTTTATATACTTTTTCTGCCATGGAATCTCTTGTTCTCTTGCACCTTGCAGGGTTATGCTGCAACCCAAAATGGGGTGGTAAGGCCTTTGCGTGTTTGCATCGCACACTCTGTAGGCCCTGCTTGCTGGGTGGTTCACGCCAGGCGCGTAGCCAGGATTTTGTTTCGGGGGGGGTGGCCCACCCATGACAAAGTGCTGTATGAGGGGGAGGGGGGAGAGGAGGACCCATGCAAAATGGAAGATTTCGGGGGGGCCCGGGCCCCATGGGCCTCCCCCCTGGCTACGTGCCTGGTTCACGCGCTGTGCTGACACGCTTGGAAGTGGGACTGCACCATTTTGGCACTACTTTGACAGACTTAAACCTGTGATTTTCATACGCGTCTTGCTTCAGCACAATCTGGGAAATTTGGAAACGGGGGTGGAAGGTAGGGAAGGCCAGCAAGATTTCTTGTACAGATGTTGGTACAGGAAAGAAATACCTTGTTTTCTGTTGTAAGACCATTACTACGGGGCTGGTATCTACATGGCCTGCAGAAGGAAATGCCAATTTAGTAAACACGTCATCTGTAGTGCACAGCACATGTTGTTTTAACGTGACATTAGCATTTTTTTCTTACTTTATTCCTACATGTATATATGTGTCGAACACAGTTTTAGTGACGTAGTTGCTGCAGCACATATACACTCTGCATCTTTGATTGCAGTATTTCATTCATGCAAGTGGAAAAGCCAGTGATTGCATGTTTATGCTGTGTTGTGCTCCGTTTGTAATGTCTGGTACAATGCTTTTCTACTTCTAAATCTTGTATTTGTGTTAATGACATTACAGTTCATATCAGTTAATTAGGTATGAAGTGATTGGTATCTCGTTTATGTGTGTCACGAAATGTGGAAAGCTAACTCTGGAACACTCTTGTTGTATGGTTTTGTGGAGGATTTTGGTTGAATACTATACAGGGTGTTTCGTAGAACGCAGGCCAAATTGTTCCTGCGAAAAATATGCATTGCACAGAAAAAATTTCAATGTGCTATTTATCTCTGCTCAAGGACCCGTTTCAAAAAATTTATAATGTTCGGTATAATGAGTTTGTTTGTTACTTCCAAGTAATTACCTTTTGAATTACTGAAGTTGAATGTACGGTCTCAATAAGAAACTTTCTGTGCATCATTGATAACCACCAATCCCTCTCTGTTTAGAAAGCTTTAGAGTATGTACATCATTTTACGGTGTTTTAAAAATGAAAAAAAAAAAAACACTGAATATATACGTGTTTTTAGGTTTCGGTTCCTTGTTAGAGCACATCTTTGCACCAGCGGTTGCTCCCCCTGTTGTCAAAGCACGGAGCTTCCGCCTCCGGTGATGCGATTGCTGTACCGCTTGCTCCAAACTGCACATAAGGGCTTACCGTGCTACATTAGGGAGTTTTCGTAGATCTTTTCCATTATCCCGCAACGTTCTTTGCAACCCGCTATGAGATCTGGGACTCTGAAGGCAAGGCTAGCGTAGATTATGCGCAGTAGTAGCATCTTCATTCCAGAGAGTGTATTGGAGGTGGGAAAACGATCTACAAAATCTTCCTATTTAGCCCAAATGTGAGGAATTTGTGCCAACATTGCACCAAAACTTGATTTTACTTTATTAATACTGAAAATATTGCTCATACCCAGCTGCACATCCACATCATTATGGTAGGCCTGTGCGAGTTTTCAGAACCTTCGAATATAGCTGCAAATAACGTACAATCCTATCTTCTGATCGCTCCTTCAGTGTCAAACACTGGCAGTACTCGGAATTTTCGCATTATCTTTAATGTTCGTAGTTTGCTCTGTTGGATAAGTTAGCTTTATTGAATGCCCTTCTCACCACACACGGGTGTACTACAGTAAGGCGACAACCGCGATGTAAGCATCGTTGTTTTGCTTATTTGCTTTGCTGCAGCGCATGCGAGGGCTGAAGGGAAAGCACTCCCCCAGAGTGGGACGTTAGACGCACGAGTGTAGGGCATATTGAAAAAATAAATACAAAGGAACTCGTGAGTCTTCATGTAAAGCTCTTAGTTGCAGTAAAAATGTTTGAATAAAAATTTAGCAAGAATACTGGCAAGAAAAATTACATTAACTGCTTTGTAGGTTTATTTTTATTTCAACTCTCGTTTAGTTGTCACTTTTATGTAGGTTTCATCTGTTCGAGGTACAGTCAATAGAATAAATTGAAACTAAATTAGGTGAAACAGTGTAATCAAGCTCGGGAATAACCTTAACGACTTTAGCTGGACTGTTCTATGAAATACTCATCATTCACATGCCAGTCTTTATCATGAAGTTCTATATACCTAGTGTCATTGATGTTCATATCAATGACAAGTATGTCTTTTTTTTAATCTGTCTAAAGATTTTCATTTTTGTTATAACCTTTAGAACTTGAACCAAGCATCACTTTGAATGTTCAAGATTATTCCAACATTCTTTTAGTGGAATATACTATTTGGTTTACATTTTATTGCTTGCCTAAAATGACCATTCACAGCAGTCTATTCAGTCATTCATTTATCAACATCATGTTACCATGACTAGTGCTTCTATATGCATCTAAAGAGCTAGCTCAGAGTTTGAGGGAATCAAGCCTGTTGTTGCACCGAAATGTAAGGGCAAAGTAGGCATGTTTTCTAGTTGGATAGGCCCAACACACAAATCTCCTCATATAATATGCTCAGTGGTACGAATAAAAATGAAGTGTGTGCTTCTGCTCCCAAAGTTCCTTATGTTGCTCCAGAATTAAATTTTGGCTGCTCCAAAAGGTGCTCCAAAATTACTGGGGCCAATCGCATCACTGCGCCTCACATGCCTCGTAGGGGGGAAGGAAGTGCAATGCTTGGCGGCAAGATTGCCGCAATTGCAAGGTTAAGCTTCGATTCTTGGGTTCACCTCCGTTATGCGAAGATTTGGTAGCAGTGCATGTTAGTTGCACGCCTTGGCAACGGGAGGGCAAGACTGTTGGCGCAAGGACACACTTCGATTAAAAACCAAAACCTAGAAAGGCATCCGAATTGAGTTTGTTTTACAAATGTCGCACAATGCTGTATGCACCTTATAGCTGTCCTAAAATGAGTTGCTTTGGTGGTTTTTGATGGTGCCAAAGAAGTTTCTAATCAAAGTCATACCTTTAAAGTTGCGAAATAAAAATTTAGTCACTTGGAAGCAGTTAGTAATCTAAATATACAGAATGTTATTCATTTTCCCAAATCGGCCTTTGGGCAGAGACCAATACGACATTAACCTTTTTTCTGTGCAATGCATACTTTTTGCATGAACGATTTGGACCGCATTTTGATAAACACCCCACATCATAACATCTCATTTTGTTGGATTGTCATTTTTTTTATTTCTTTAGGCTGGATTAGTTATTTTTGTTAAAGTTACTTGTTCTGCAGTGACAACACACTATGGTTGGCACTATGAATTGGCAAAAGACACTAATTGGTACACATCTCATGACATGTAATTGGCTAGCATTGTCTGCTTATTTGCCACTTAACTTAGTTAACTCAATTGCAGTTTAGAATGCTCAAGTAACTGGGGTATTATAACAAGCCATTAGCAAGTTCTGAAGCTACCAAAGATTTTTGTTTGTTTTAAAAATAATGGTGCACATCTTTTTTTTTTTTATGTAATCTCTTATATCAAAGAAATCTGAATCTTTTATAAGCCTTTTCCTGTTTACTCTTATTGCAGGCCCAACAGGTGCAAACGCCACCAGAGTTAAGAAGCCCTCCACCGCAGCCCGAGAGCAAGACGCCGTACGAAAAGGCTTGGCTCGTACGCAAGTGGTACAACTTTGACGTCAAGTATCCTTTTTTCATGTTACTGTTCAAACCTAGGTTTCCCGGTTGAACTACATGAGATTTTAAACCTAGCTCGTTATGTCTGACAATGTGAGGTCAGCTGATTGCGTTTTGTATATTTGAAGTTGGTATAGTAGCAAACTATCAAGAGCTACAGTCGAACCTCGATATAACAAACTTCAATGTAACGAAATCCTCGATTTAACGAAGTATTTTATTTTTCATAATTTCTTGCCCATAGACCCCATGTATTTTTAGTCTCTATATAACGAAGTCTATTTTGCTGCTATTTCAATTTAACGAAGCGCCATTGCCATAGAAGGCAATAAATAAATAAACTCTAAAAAACAACTTCGCAAAAAAAATTGTGGTTAAAAAAAAAAAAATTATGCGCAAACGCGAGCGCTTTGATAGGTTACTTCACGGGGACAGGCCTTCCAACGTTGTTAGGCTGCCCGAGGATGCGGCGCCGGTAGCGCCGGCGAGGCGTGCGGCAAAGCGGATTCCGCGGGGCTGGCCAGAAAATGCCGAGCAAAAAGTTTGCACGGCATAACAGCATCACCACTGACATTCACTGATCATCATAGTCCACTGTACCGCGGGTAGCGCGGGAGCCAACTTCAGCGGGGGAGCGACGTGATGGCGCGAACGCACGGGCAGTGCCATCTAGGGGAAGACCGAGAAGACCGATTATCGTCTTGCGACCGTGATGTAAAGCAAAGGCGCAAGCACACTGTGGGCGCAAGTAAACAGTGCGGGCAAGAGTGCTGTGTAGGTTGGAAACATTGGCACCGCCTAAACTAAACAGCTTTATTTTTCAACCGGGCGGTTCACTCACGTGCTTGCGGGCATAAGGAAACGTAAAGTTCTTTCTTTGGATGAGAAAGCAAACGTTTTGGACGCCATCCTGAAGAAACTGCTGAGATCACGAGCACTCGGGAAGTGCTCGACGCAATGGACGTACTGAGGAGGTACAGAGCCGTAAATGTAGATATACGGCTCTGAGGAGGTACTGTACACGGCGTCGCATGGGCAGCAAGATGCCGTGCAAGCGCCCTGGGCGCTCGAACGCCGTATGACGCCGCTGCTACTGTCGGACAAGGCGCAAGCAAAGCTCGCGGACTACTTTGCCCCTAAATAAATGTCATTTTCGGTGAGTTTTCATACCCGTAAAATGTTTCGAAATTTTTTTTTTTCGCATGCTAAAGCCAAATTTTGATTTAGCGAAATTTCAATGTAACGAAGTAAATTGCGAATTTTACTGACTTCGTTACATCGAGGTTTAACTGTATTTGTTATTTATTAAAATTAGATATGATGCACTTTGTTTGGTATTTCAGCAGGATGATGTAGAGTTCCACCATTTCCTTCAAAGTAGATATCAGTAGAGCACAGGCATGTCATAAATACACAGCTTGAATGTTTTTATACTGTGCCCAGCAGGGCTCGTAGGAAGTTCAAAGTTCTATCAATATGTGGAACGTCATTTGTACGTTCTCGGTTTATTTTTTTGCGACTGTTAAATTCAAGTAGCTGTCAAAACTACTTGCATAAGTGCGTGCGAATGAGGCAAGACCAAGTTACAGGTTCTCATAGCAGTCTGGAGCTGCAGCACTGCAGACGCTGCATTAGCCTTCACAGTGTAGCACAAAATGCTCAACGCCGAGCACAGTTGAGTCCGTTTATAACGATCTCCGTCGGATGCAATAACTGGTTTGTGTCATAGCAGGTACAGTGTAGACCGCATATAACGTATGTTGCGGGAGTCGCGAAAATCCGCACTATAAGCGGTACCGCGTTATAACCAAAACATCAATTTTTCAGGCCAAAATACATGCCATGAGACAACTTACCTTTGTAAAACTATTTTATGTTAGATGAAAAATAAAGCTTAGTTTGAGGAGTCTTTATTTCACCAGACTAGTACACTTCTCTTTCAAGTTTGCTCACATTTTGAAAGAAATGAGCGACTTTTGCCTGGCTCAGCCTTTCAACGGCGTCGCGGGTTGCGGACGGACGTTGCGAGCGTTCAGGATTGCTAACCCTAATCACTTTTCTCTGGTGATGAAAGCGCGTGAAAATTCGCATCCCTTATACGGTACGCGCCAGTGATATCTTCAACTTGAGCACACGCATGAAATGCTCTAAATTAGAAATCCGGGCGATGTTCGAAAACACAAATGCTTAGAAGGCACCACTGTAGTCGAAGTAAAGAAACACGACGACACGGGCGTTTCTGCTGTCTTGAGAGTGCCGCCACGACATCGCCGCACGAGTAGGTGGATCTTCCCTTCTAGTACGTGCTGGGTTATCATAGTGATTCACAACGAAAATTCAGTCTAGGATAGCGCTTTTACGCGGAACGATGAGCTTCCACCCTGCTGTCTACGTCGACAATCTCCAACGACGCCATGTTTGCGGATAGAAGAGCCGGCCCGCGACCGGCATGCAACGTGCGCGAAAACTTCTCGACCTGCGATTGGTCTGTCGTTGCGGTTGTTTCCAACCATAGAGATCATTTTCCAACGCAGCGGAGGTATGGTTAGCAGGGACGCACGCACATGAACGACACGTGCGTGCGTCCCTCCATCGCTATGGCAACTGAAGCCTCTCTTCGCTTCTCCCCGCTTCTTCGAGCAACCTCCTTGCCCCGCGAGTGCTGCTTGCAGCTCGTGCAGTTATCTAGTGTCGCAGAGGAAAGCGTGCTCGCTCCGCCGGTCAATCGGCGAGCTGTTCCAGAAACCGCACTATAACCGGTATTTCCCTTCGCGCGCTTGCATTTTAAGCGGTATGTAATTACATGGAGTTCTATAGGAGGCGAACCGGTGGTTTAAAAAAGCCGCGTTATACCCGGTCCTGCACTATAAGCGGTTACGTTGTAAGTGGTCTATACTGTAGTTTGTTCAACCAAAACTTACATAGAGTGAATTTCAAAAACAGGACTTCGAAACGCACAGTGTTAACGCCAATTGTACAACAGACACTACTTGTTACACGACCTTTGGTGTCCTGAAAAGAAGTCTACAATCTGGAAAAACTAGATGTAATGTTGTCGGCGGGCTTATGGATAGGACGATAGGCAACTTTTATGCAACAGTTAATTGCGCAAGAACGTCCTCCGACTTGGAGCACCTGAACTTGTGCGGGGAGGTGAAGATCATTCATCCTTTTGCTGCTTAGGAAACGGTGAAATGCACACCGGTCTGGAACGAGCCTGAAACATTTGGATATGCCTATGCTCTTCCGTCCGAGCTTAGAGTTGTATCACACTAAAAAGACATAATTTTGCTTTCAAGATGTGGAAGAAAACCGTTAGACCAGGCACAAATGCATCGTGCCTAGTACGGGCAGGAGCGCAAAACAAAAAAGAAGCGGTGCTTACAGAAATGCAGCAAGCTGAGATTACCGGTTGAATAACAACACACAGCGCACGCTGCATGTGTTTTAGCTTTCGGCACACCAGCATAAGCAATGGACTTGTGGACTTTCAAAGTCCACATCACACCTAATGCGGCTGTGCAGCTACCGAATACCGCACTCCACTTTTCAGCAAAAAATGAAGATCAGTGCTGCCACCACTTGGGAAGTAGACAGGTCTGTTCTCCTTAGCTTGTCTCCGATAATAGGAGAGAGCGCAAGGTCGCAAGGTTCCACTTGATGGCAGAGCCGTATATTGACAGAGTTTGGCCAATAGGTGGAGTAAAGGCCGCCGCCAGCGCTAAATATTCCTCCCGCAGTTAGAGCGTAAACTAAATATGCGACAATGCGTCGACCAATCAGCAAATTGCGACGTCACAATATTAGAAACATTTAAGGTGTGAAATAGAAGCATTCAATATCGCAACAGCACGATGACGACGACGTTGAGAGGATGCCACACCGGGCATTGGCGGTGCCTCAATCTAAGCCCTGGGCCTCGGTACCTCGGAGGCGGCAGCTTTCTGCTTTGACCGGGCTACTACCCCCTTGTAGCTTTATGCTTCGACCCCAGTGAGCGACATCACCATTATGCTCCTGGGGCTCCTTCGTGCAACCGTGCACCGATTGAACGGCAGGCTGCAGATCCCCTTGGCCCACTGCTGATCCGCCTCAAGGAAATGTGGACATCTTCAAACTAGACTGACATTTTCCGCAATAGCAACAATTTATCTCGTCATCATCTTGCATGTGCATACTCATTGCATTATCATGGTCATTAGATGCAGCACTGTGGGCCTCCATGGTACGGGCTGTTGCCTTTCCGCGGTGCCGCGGCTCTTTAGAGCCGAATAAAGACATTACATTACATTAGCAATGGTCGCAACTACGAGTCTGCTCTGGTTTGGAACGCGCATTCATTTATTCGACCGTTGGCTTGATGAAAACCTCACACGCGCCAAGTTTTCAGTCACCAAAGTTACACCTTTTTACTCTAGGGGCTCTAAAACGGCTTAAATTAGTTGAGTCGCATTTTTAAAGCTCACGACCACCGCTAGGGGCTGTTTCACGGCCTGTGGTTGGCCACGAGATGCTCACCTTTTTAAACAATAGAATGGCCAAATTCTCCCAATAAATGGCTCTGTTTAATGCCCCATCAAGCAGAGCAGAGAGCATCAAGCAGAGGCAAAATAATTTATTGAGTTGCGGGGTCTGCATGGCCACAAAAGGTGCCGAGGCGGGTTTTAGAAACATTTCCATTCTTTTATGATAAAAAAAAAAAAATTCTGATATGCTCAGTTCAACGGTGAAAAGAAGTCTGATGTCGCTGTGGCAACATCCACGCAACGAATTATGCTAAGCTTGTCCCAAAAACAGTAGACTACCACTGCTTGGTCGCCATTTCTTATGAGCACGCCAAAAAGGGGGCATGGGGGCACATGATGTTCAAACAAAAAAAATTAAGCTGCCAGCAAAGTGTGCATGGAAACGGGTGCTTGTCGACTAATCTACTAAGCATGAAGATGGATTGCAAGGAGAAAAACAAGTGCAGCTTTTACAAGCTTGGTCTCGCAGGTTTGCAATGTTGAACCTTGCCGTGCAGTTTGCTTGGTGCTTCAGGAAGTGGGTGGGGATGATTTTAGGTAGTGCAATGTTTAAGAAAGGGGAACAGGATGCTGGGAAATCCCCACCCTCCCAAACATGCATCACGAGTTCTTCCTTTCAGCTTATCTCTCTTATCTCCTCTTCTGTTCCTTTGGCTAAATAGCGGCTGCCGGTTTGGGAGTTTTAGGGGCGAAGCTCCTTAGGGTCTATCCTTGTCCGTCCGGCGTCCGTGCTCACATCGATCTTGCTGGTGCTCGTGCTCGTGAGCTCACATGCTTACGTACTCATGTAGGGTAAAAAAAATTGATGAAAAGAAAAAAAGAAAAAATGTTTGCCCAGTCGACAGGATTTGAACATGTGCGGGGAGACCCCAATGGATCTCTAGTCCCATCGCCTTAACCACTCGGCCACGACTGCAGGACGAGTAGGGGGCTCTGAGATGTGGTAGTAACTCAAGAGCTGGGGATGTCATGGATGAAACGTTGCATGTAGCCGCTCAATGTCTATACAGGAGAGGGCGCTGCGGTCAAATGCATATATAATCACGTTAAACTTGGCATGCATTGGCTCAACGTTTATAGACGAGAGGGCGCTGCGGTCAAATGCTCAAATGCGTATATAACCACGTTCCATACCACACATTCTCTTTCTGACATGGATGAAAACGAACGAAAGGCTCGGCATGCTGCGGCTCCGCATGCTGCGGCTCAGCGTCTACGCAGACAAGCACCACCAGAGCTTCGCCCCAATCAACATCATTCACCACGTGGAGATGCGGTCAATTTCCTTTCCTTCGAACATTTTTTTTAGTAGACATACTGGGGGACGGGCATTCGCGCATTTTTTTAAGGCTGCTCACGGTCACAAAGTTCGATACAGCCATTTAACTATTCGTTATAAAAGTGTTTAAAAAATTTGGGCTTTCTATATAGACAATAATTCGGTATACGTATTGGAGTTAGTTATATACAGACTCAAACTGTATAGCTTAAGCATGTTTGTTTGTTTTTTGTTTTTGTGATGTCCAGTTGTGCTTTCTATGCCTTGGCAGTTTTCCAGTGGCCAGCTGTTTGTGGCATTGTTTCTTACAAATAGGTGATGCAGCACGCAATAAACAAAGACAGATAGGCAGTAGACGGGGTGAGCACAAGAATAATACACAGCCTGAACATGGCCATGCAGTGCCCAGCAGGGCACATAGAAAGCTTGGAGTTTTATTGATACGTGGAACCCCATTGGTACGTTCTTGGTCATCTCTGTCCTCATTCATTGCGGGCTGTAGCACCAATTTGTAAGATTGAACCGACTGGCCTGCATCGCCACTTTGAAGCTTGTTCCATTTGCGTGGTGCTATAGTACTTCCCCCCAAAGGTGCCTCTCTTTCTCCTGTTCGCGAGAGGAGGGGCGGCGTATGTTGTTATCCCCCCTTGACGGCCCGCCAGATTCATGAAGCCCCTGCTGACGCACAGCCGCCCCACGCTGCTCGACACGCTCCCCAAGTGCTGCCTCCCCGTGGCCCACGTGCTCACCTCGACGGAGCAGCTGATGCAGGTGAGCAGGCGAGCCTGGCTGCCCGTTGCTCTGGGGCCCTTTGAGCTGCGTGCCCTGCGTGAGAGCTGCATGCACTTTCTGGCAGATGAACCAGGCAGCAACTGGTGACTTTGAGGGTTTCAAACTCCCACTGCCAACTAGTGGAGAAAGCGAAGCCGCCGCCACTGCTGTATTGGGATCGGATTGGCTCCGGGCAGCCGGCTTTGGCTCTGGTTCTGGCTTTGGCCCTGGCTTTGACTCTCGCGGTGCGCAAAGGGTGTGACTGTCCGACCAGCAGCGTGACTTTGCGCATGTCCTTGCTTGCACGCCGCCTTCTTTCCTTCTGTGTTCAGCCCCTTGTGCTCCCTGTGTGCAATCGTTTGTGCTGATTGTCCCAACTGTTCTTGTGCCTCTTGTCCTTTTTTTTTTCTTTTGCTTGGTATCGTTTTTTGGCTTGATAAAATGCCAATTGCCTGCTTGCCTACTGCTTTTTTTCTCAATCTCATATTTTATTCTTTGGTGCGTCGTGCGTACTGTGATGCTTGGTACTTTTTTTTGTATTCCTGGCTGTTTCTTTTTGCCTTGCATTCCAGCATGTTTGTGTGCGCAGCGTCCGACCATTAGGTGCATAGGATTTATGGGGCCAGCTCTTATTTTCGTGTCCGTGCCTGGAGTGTAGCCTTGGCGGCGATGCAGCGCCAATGGCATCGTGGTGTTCACGACTTGTGCTGGAAAGGCTCAGAGTCCTTGGAGAGGAAACCTTTGGGTCATAGTTTTTATGCGACACTGTGATGTCATTTGACACGTTGACGTCACTTGTCACTGCGACATCATTTCACATTGACATCGCGTGACGACGTCACGAGACACGATGACAGCAGGTGAAGCCGTGATGCTGCATTGTGACATCATGTCACGTGACACTGATGCCATGGTGTCGTGTGACATGACTTCATGCTTTTGTGATGGTCACTTGACCTTGACATCACAGAGGACCTATAAATGCTCTGCTTTTAGAGCACCTTTGGAATACACCGAGACGAGCAGTTATTTCTGTCTGTTTGTGTGTTTCTGAATGTCCGTACGTTTGTTTTGTCCTGTTCACTTACTTCCAAGGTGGCTGTAATGTTGCCAGCTTACGAAAATAGATTAGTGGGAAACAGAGGCGCCAATCTGCTCTTTTATATAATACTCTGCTTTACTCTTGAGCTTTTGTCTGAACTGCTTTTTATCCTGGCAAAATGGTGTTTGTGCCAGCACAGGGTCTTTGAAAGTGGCTCGGGGCTTTGTGTTCGTAAAACTCTAGCCATAGCCACAGATTCATGCTTATTCTTAAAATGAGGCAGGTAAATAGAATTGAAGACTGGAGCACATATCAGTTGAGCAAGTTTATTAGAGGCTCCAACAAAATGTTTTCAATAAAACAGTAAAATGCTAAAGCCTATGCATCAGCATACAGGCTGCATTCTTACATTTTATGTGTAATGTTCCATTTAATTCATTTTATTTCAATCACCCCAAGACATCCGAGCGTCCATAGCATTACATATGCACGAGAGCACAATATCGCATCTTCTAGATGAAACACAGTTATCAAAGGTTGGTAAAATGAATCTCCCAGGAGTCTTCAAGGAAATTCCTAGGAGTCTTAGAATAGCAGCTAACATTCTCCAAAAAGAATTCTGTCTTCTTCGGCACACATATTTTTTAGGGTTTTGTCATCATTCTGACAGGACACCAGCATGCAGTGTGGAGGCTGCATCCCCAACTTGTTTGGTAAAGCTTTTTTAGAAAGGCAAAGAAAAGTAGGCTGCAGATCTTATTTGGTTGTTCCAATTCCTTTCTTTACAGCTAATTCATTATCTCACCCGAAGTACTTTCCATTGCCATTTTCTGCTTTGCTGGGATGACTTTGGATTTCGCAATACGTTAGGTGACCAGCCCACTTGCTAGTTAAAGAAACCAACCTGTTCATATTATGGGACTTAGTCGCTTTTGCTTGTCACACAAAGTCCACAAAGCGTAGCAAGCTCATTCTTTTTTTTTTTGGGCATTGTCTAACATCAAAAGATCTCATTCAGAACCCTCGCAGCAAACCCTGATCAAGCACTTTGGCACAATCAAGCACACTATACCATAACGAAGCTTGCACTGTATGCTCGATTGGCTACAGTCTCAAACCCCACCCTTTCTTGTTCCAATTTCAGTGGCCGTTTCGCAGACACTCTTCCACAAATTGCAATTTTATGACCCATGCCAAAGCTCCACAGTGCATCTGTTGGCGCCTTATAGCCTTCATCGCTGATGCACCAAAAAGCCCCAGATTCATTAATTAATTCGTATCTGTCGCACTGGTCAAACTGACACTCCGCTGTGGCCATGGATTGAACCTTACGCTAGCTGAATCTCACTGCAGCAATTTTGCTTTCGCTTCGCTTTTCTCAATTTCGATGCTGTGTGGTCCGCGCCCGCCTCACGCCGGCCTTTCTCGCGTCGCATTTGAGTGCTCGCTTCCGAGAGTAATTGGGAGCTGCCCTCCCACCCCTCCCCCCCCTTGTCCACCCCCTCGCTGCCCCCTTCAGGAGGACGCTCGGCCAAGGGACGATGACTCAGACACTGACCTGTGCCTCGATGAGAGCGACTTTCACTTGCCCGAGCGGAACAGCGCCTCCATTCGGGGATCCCTGTCCAGGGTAAACCCCGCTCTTGCTCCCCAGGTGTTTGTCATTGAGAAACCCTCGCAGCGGTCCCCGCTCCCCGGGGGAGACCAGAACGGGACCCCGCTGACCCTCCCCTTCTCATCGTCGTCCTCTCCCTTTGGGGACCTGTGACCACCGCTGGTCTGTGCCACATCTTCTGGACCTAGAAGCCGTCACCCTATCAGTAAAAGAAACCCGAGCTCTAAAATGAGAGATGGGCGGCATTCACAAACGCGCCATATCTGTTCAAGCGGTTCGTCTTGCCTTTGGCCCATCTTCTTTAGACTAGGGTTTCGTGTTTTCGGGCTTTCATTTTTTTGTCCCGTAGATTTGGGTTTTTTAGGTGTCTGTGTTCGTTTGCTTGCGTTCAGGGAGCAATGTCTGCATTTAGTGGGGCTCGTGTTAAAGGGATACTACAACGAAATTGCAACGCTTATTTCTTGGTTTGTTCATGTTCAAGGGAGGAGTACCGCTTCAGACACACCAGTCTGTTGTTAAAAAAGAACACGAAAAGGAATTATAAAGCAAATGAAACAATTGGCAAAGAGCACCTGGTGGATGTCGCTAACGTCTCGTTTGTAATGCCCTTCTAGGAACCTTGACAGGTAGTGACAATGCCTGTTTCACCTCCGGCCACCACGAGAGGAGGGGAAGAAGGAACTCCCCTCTTACCAGGACACTCTTATTGTGTGTCCCAGACGTTGCTATTGTTTCTCAACAAGGTTATAGAAGATTAACCCGTCGCTCAAAATTCTTACAAAAGCAGTTTTGGGGTTAGTTGTGGGTGGCCCGATCACTGGCATGCTTCGGCTGCTTAGGTGGCTGAAACAGCTAGGACATCCTCTCAACGTCAGCCTCGCGGCAGCTTTGCTCGTCCCGAGATAATCTATGTCACGATTGCGGCGGATGTCACATGCTCTCCGCTGGCTGCTCTCCGAGCGCTCGCCAGATTGGGCCATTTTTTAACGAAAAATACAGCCATCCAGGCTCGAAATACAAAACGTGTGATTGTAATTCGCATCGTATTCAGTCTATTTCTGAACACGATGGGTATATTTCAAATTTTGTTGGAGTATCCCTTTAAAGAGAATGGGACACTTCTGCAGGATTCCTCCACTTTCGGAAGCATGCACGTGATGCAAATGCTTGGAAAAAGGTCACTGTACCAATAAGAGAAGAAAACAAGATTGCAGCTCCTAAAGAAAAAAGCAGCCTCGCAGAAATTTCAGTGCGGGCTGTGTTTTGAGTCAATGCAAAAAAAAGCTGTAGACAAAGATTTCTTTCTGTGAAGCTGGATTTTGCTTGTTCAAGGACAGTTTTCCTTTGGCGTTTTTCAGTTTTCACCAGATCTTTAATCCGACTCAGGGATGACTTTTCCAAGTTTATACGCATCTACCGAAAACACGATTCCTTTATATTGGGTAGTTTTAGGACCCTAGCTAATTTAGCTAAGTGAGAGCTCCGGCGATATCACTTTGCATTTTGCTGTGGCTGACATTACTGGCTAGTATTCCCAAAGATGCACTTCACTGCTGACAAGACGGCAGCTTAGCTGCTGCATACCCTGAACACTGAAGTCCGGTCCAGAAGATTGTGACCAGTGCCTGTGAACTGTGATTCTGTTTTTTTTTTGTTTTGTGTGTGTGTTTTTTTTACTTGTTCAAAGTGTTCCTTGGACTGTGCCGCACAAATGTCTGTGCGTTTGTCCACTGTCTTTTTGAGTTGTCTGTGTCGCACAAAACTCGGGGCTTCCCCATGTCTGGTCTCGGCACTTCCGTCGTGCGTTTTCTCGATTGAGACCGGTGACCGTTGTGTCCTTTCTGTGGTGAAATCTTGGCAGCATGTCGATCTGTAGATATCGGCACCTGCTGCATTGTGGTTGAAGGAGGCGGGTCTTAGAGCGGAGGAGTTGCCGAGAACAAACGTCGTTGTGATTGACAGGGTTTGTAGTAAAGTCCTATTTTTCTTTACTGAGCCAGCAGCCCTGTGTGTTTGTTATTTGGCTCTAACATCATGTAGCTTGAGCACCTCGGGCAAAAACTTGAAGCAGACAAAGCAAAAGTTTGAGAGAACTTGTTTGACTCGACTGGGAATGGATGTATTTTTCTCAGCATCTCGAGTGTGCAGATAATGTAATGGTTTTCTCGACATCTGACCCATACCTGCCAACGTTGTTTGGCAGGCTCTAATTTTATTGAAAAAGAATAGGGACATTCATTCTGCACTTTGTGCTCCCACGGTGCCTTTGGTGCATGTGCACTCATACAGCACAAACACTCTCCAAAGCTGTATGCCCCTGTGGCTTTTGCAATGTTGCATGAAGGCATTGGCACCAGGTGTCAAGATGGCAGCTGTCGTCAGCACCATGTGAACCAAACCAGTAGCTGGGTGAATAATTATCAGTGTCCACGATCAAGCAACAGTATGTGTAACGTTCAGTGTCGGAAAATGGAAATCAAAGCTTTGCAAACTCAACATATTTTTATAAAATAACTGGAATATTCAGTAAAGCAATCGTTGCATGTTTTACAAGGCAGCCTACTGAACCGACAGCTTGCTGAAAACATTTCGAGGCAGCATTGTATTTTTTCTACGAAATTTATTTCCTATTCTGTGTTGGTTCGGGCTTTATCTCATCCTTTCGTGAAAGGCATGCAAAACTTTCCGCATAGTTTTTGAGTGAGCGTCTGTGCTAAATGGGATGGCGCCTATGCACTGTGGAATCGTCGGGACATTTGGAGGGGTGCTTGAAATGAACAGATGCTGGCATCTGGCTTTGTCATATTTTGGATCATCTGTAAACATTCGCTTCTTGACCTTGGAGATGCCTAGTTTTAAAGACGTCACCTATTTATTGCAACGGCATGTGAACGGGCGGGAGGTTCTTTGCTTACGCTCTATGTCATCTTCACCGTGCATGTATTAGGTGGCAGCTTTTGGCTCTGCTTCAAGTTCTTAAATGAAGAGTGCTTGCTGGCTTGTGATTAGGGTGTTGCAGAGATAGTTCACATATTTAATTTCAAGAGGCATTTCAAGAAACTCTCGTCTGAATGGCGCTCGCACACATTCTTGGTGACACCAATAGGTTTTTTCTATTTCCATTGTAGAACACATTTCTGTATGTGTCTTTATTGCCTTTGTTTTCTGTAGGTTGTTTCACACTATTTTTGTATTTATTTTTTGTGTCCACTTCCACAGTCGTTTGGTTTTAAGCCTCCAAATTGGTGGGGCTGCACTCACTAGATAATGCCAAACTAATTCATTGAGAACTGGTTATATATTTACATCTAAGTGTTGCAGCACAGCTAGATTTCATATCAATCTTGGAAATCCCTACAGTTGGGGCATGGGGTGTTTTAACATTAATTTATTATAGCATTTCAAGATTAACAGAAGGGACCATGAAATATTGCAAACTTTGTTTAACTGTAGCGAAAATAAGACTTGCTATGCCACACAAGACAGAACAGGCATCACTCATGTTTCGTGTTTGTTTTTCTTGCTTCATACTTGTCAATGAATGTTACGAGTAGCTTTGGCAAATTTCCCTTTTAAAACCAATTGAGTTTGGTTACTTTGTGCGTAATTTCAGCATTCTAATAGAAGCTGGTAAAGCATTATTTGCACAGAATTTTCTGTGTGCATTTTTGCTTGTGCACTTAGGTGACTGCATAACCTGCAATGTTGCGCTGGTTTTCGTCCCATTCAAATATGGCCATCGGATGTCTCTAGTGTGGTATCCATGCAACTCATCCTTTTAGCAAATAATACCAAACCTTGCTCTCATCTCTGGGAATAAACTTAAAAAAAGTAGTGGAACTGTTGCTTGGTTTCTTTCTTGTATGAGTAGCTGGAGATAATTGTCGAAGGAAATCTCTATCTCAGACTAACTCAAGAACAGACATACTCGCTAGTCCTTCCTAAGGTATTAGAGGCTCTCCATGAGATACCCTCACTCACGGGTAACAACATACCCATAAACACCCTATTGTTTACTGCTTTTAAGAACATGCTAACATATATTGTTATGTGACTGCAAGGCTTGTAATATGTACATATACTTCTTTTCTGTTTCATCTTTTAGGGTGACAAACAAGATTGCCTAGTTCCTTTAGAGAAATAGTGAAGTGCATCTAACAGACTAGCAGCTGGTGTGTGCAACCCTTAAAAACTGTCCAATAAATTTCATCTGAGCTAAAAGACCATCCTGTGTGGCTGTTATTTATTAAGCACCTACGAAGTAACATTCTGCGCAGTGGTGCTGAAACAACATTGAACCGAGCACATGACGAAATGTTTGTGGTCGCTGTGAAGGTTTTTTGGAGCTAAAGGGACCACGTAACAAGTTTGGATGGCAAGTTTATAAAACACTGAAGCGGCTGTAGTAATGATTGGCTTGTGAAGATTTGGTTTGGTTTCCTGCATATTATTGGAGATTGAAAGGATGAGTTTTGAAGGGATGAAATTTGTCACGACGAGCGTGACCCAGGAAAGTTGCACTTGTATTGTCGTTCTGTTTGCAAATCGTAATTGCTCAAATTTTGTTTTTTATGTTTTTATGTCAAGTACTTGAAAACGGAAATTGTTGCCTGTTCTGTGTTGTGGGAGTGTCAAAAGGTGCTTGGCGTTGTCCGTTTAATGTCTGAAAATTGTTTCATGGTCCTTTTGGCTTCATTACACTGGTTAATGGCATTTGATGAGTGGCTGCAAGCAGCCTTTTCCTCCAGTGTATTTTTATCTGTAGATAACAGTGGCCTTAGTTTTGTGCTTAACCTTGATGGTGTCACTCTTGGAGAGAACTCCTTTTGTGATCATGAAGTAATTTATCTGGCTAAAGGAAACATATAATATTTGCTTTCTATATATCCTTTTTTTTGTTTGACCGTAGGAAAAGCGTTGTACTGCTGCAAAATGTGCATTTTATTTGTTTTTGTAGGGCGCACGTTCAGTGGTAAAGAAAGCGCCCCTCATGCTTGGTTATTTGTTTCTCTGCAACATACTCATTTATCTAGCCTAGCTACCAACTCTACGCTCGGTGTGAACTCGCGGTGTCGTCAAGAATAGCAGCCTAGTGTCCGCGTCGTTCTGACTCTGTCAAAGTTGCTCACACGAACTCGTAGCTTTGTTTGGTGTTTTCACCCGAAAGCGTGTGACTGCAAAGTGTATGTGCGCAGCAGTGCAGGGGTTGCTGCACTGCGCAAAACCAAGCTAGCCTCGACAACGTCGTGCAGGAACGTTGACACAGAGTGTAACTAGGGCATGGATTGTGTATGTATGTCTCGTGTTTCCTGTGCTTATAACCCCATCACCAGTTTAAAACGTGGGAGGCTCCTGTGCACCTAAAAAGGACATTTTACATGTCTGCGTTTGAGTGTGACCCTGTGTGTTGTGCCCGCTTGTAACCAATTAGCGTATGACTAGACAGATTGTTTTGTGGTATTTGCGAGGTCAGATCTATTCATTTGTCTATGAGAAATGATGGGGTCGGTTACGACATTGTCAGAATCATTTCAAGCCCACGGGGAAAGAATGATGCGAAAAATTGGGGTATGTACATGCGGATCGTAAGTACTCCAGGGAAACCCAGTAGGTGGCGCCAGTGTCTCCTCTCGTCGTAAGTGGTCATAAGCGGGCACGACCCACTGGACCGCACTCAAATATAAATATCTGGACCAGCCTTAACAGGCACTATATGGAAATGGGTTGAGAGAGTCTCTGCAGAGGTGTGGGGAAAAAATGAAAGGGTTGCCTGCATCGACAAATTGTTTCTCTTGTCCGCGTGGATTGACGCATCTTTCACGCGTCTTTTGCAGTCAGTGTCGTGTCGTGTCCCCTCCTAGTCTTGCGTATTTGTTCTGCATGATTTCATGTTTTCTTTCTTTCTCGAAGGGGAGTACGAATATGAATGTTTTTGGAGATGCCGAGCAGCCGCAGACTAATTTCATGTGATGAAGCAAATTCAAAAGTGCCGAGGATTTGAGAGCATGGTTTGTGTACCCTTTTGTTTCTCCTCCGATATTTTGCGGTGCATGCTTAGCGAGGACTGTTTCCTTGCCAGCTTTGTTGTGGCAACTTGTCGTTTTTATCCTGTTATCTAAACTTGGTCGCCAGTCTTCTTTTTTTATATTTAATTTTAGTATATTTTTGTTAATGTCTCTAATCTTGTAAAGGGTTTGCATGCCTCTGATTTCACATGTATTTAACGAGCATGTTTAATTGGTTTTTAGACTGTTTTACTGTAGCTTTTAATATATACTGGCTCCAATTGAGAAGATGAGACCTGGCGTTCTGGTCCGCATAAATAGACTATTAGTCACGGTAAGCCGAAACTTCGTGAGAATGCAATACAAGGGTGGTGATAGAATGCAAAAGTTTTGAGAGCATGACACTACCTGGATCAAAAGATATAAGAGAAAAACAGGATTTTTCTGTGAACCGACATCCTCTTAAGACTAATATTCCTCGAACCAAAAGATCGCATTTTGTACACCTTGTGAGCAAGAAAGGCACCCACAACCTCATTTTTTTGGTTTGATTTATTTTAGGCTTAGGCTTCATTTAGAAATAACAAAGTATCCTATTAGGCATGTGGTTAGTTTTAAGCCTGACAACTTGAAGGAGGAAGTGTGGAATTCATCATAAAGCATCATGCTTTAATGGCACCCAAGACATTAGGAAATGCAAGACTTGGATACAAATCGAGTAAAGACTCTATGGAGCTGTGTGAGACCTTTCTAGATATCTAGGTATATGACAGGTGAATCTGCTTGCATATAAATAGATAGCTGAGCTGGCAAGTTTCACTTGTGGACTACCTTATATTGGAGTTCACAATACATAATGTGCGCTCTCTGTTTCGTGCTGTGTTCCTGATTGTTACACTTAAGCATTTAACTCCATTGCTCAAGGTGGGAAGAGATTAGGCACTGTGGTAACATGCAAGTGCCCGAAGCAAAGGCTGTTCAACTTTAATGCAGTGGAAGGTTGTCGATTCTTCCCATTATTTTGTCTAATGCTTTCCTAAACCATTGTGCAATGCATTTGTGTCTGTTGGCTTTTTAAAAGTCTCACATTCATATTTATTGTTACGCTTTCTGGCATTCACAACTGCAAGCAGGACACCACACACTACATGGTTGCCCCTTTTTCCAGGTTGTACCTTTGGGTGAATAGGTTTATACTCTAGGGAGCCTCTCCAACCAAAATTGCCATTTTTCATTCTTTTTACGATGTGTTTTAGACCACACAATATGGTCATTCGCGAAGTTCAGCTTCAATATCTTGCAAATTGAACACACATTTGCTTCATTTACTGGCACTTTAGAGCCTTTACGTGTACTTTTTATAGACTGAGAAACCTGCTCTGCTTCCTGTAGCAGTTGAAGGGAACATGCGCAATAAGCGCAACATGACTGAATCGCCGGTGTCGCAGCATCTGGTTTGAGACTCAACAGCGGAACTCTAAAAAAAAAAAGCCGTTAAATATTGAAGTATGAATAAAGCCCCACTTCGAGCAATGCTGAACACTGGCACAACTTAGCGAAATTAGTAATAAAATATTGTCCAAATTAACATGCACAGAGACAGATGTGATTGTGAAGCATTTTGAATTTAATCAATTTTAGTGTTTCCCTTAATGCGATGGTCAAGTATAACAATGCTTTATATATATATATATATATGAGGAGATATCGATTCGGTGAGGAGGAAGCAGAGAACCTTACCATTCAAATTTATCAAAATTATACTTTTTTTTTGTGACTCATTGATTTAAACGATGCTATGCACCACTAGTAATTCACAAATGGCAAGTTGCACATGCCGTGCCGTGTACTAGCCACTGACAGACGGAAAGCGGCAGGATGCTAATTCAAATCGTTCCACCTCTGTGCCCTCGGTGATAATATAGCTGCATCGGAACTCTAATTGTAAAGCCAGACCTCGCACGTAGCTCATTACTGTCGATTCTTTTTGCCAGTGGTGTTAAGGCACCGCATGATATCACGCCCTTCAATGAATTTAGCCGACATAGGTACTGACAGCTCGGCAACAACGAGGTGATTTTCTCGATCGCCACTCCCCCAGCGCGAGTGCACCGGATAAAACGGTGCTTTGGCGACAAGTCCGACAAACCTGCCGAGTCAAAGCACCATCAAAGCCGACGAGTGTGCACTGGATACAAGAAAACTAAAGGACACTCGCTTTCATTCTGTACCTGCTGTGGTTGCCGACAAGACGAGAATGGCACGTCTCTTTCGGATGCCCGACTTCTGCATGCACTCGTTGCTTTCCTCTGTGCTTTGGCTGAGCATGCACACCCAAATACTGTGAGGTGCCAAAGCGTTTCTGAAGAAGGGGAAGCTCGCCCTAGAGGCGAGGCAACTGAAAGACCTCCCGGCCGTTCTCGTCCTTTCGGCGGTTCTAGTGACTCTAGCGGGACTTCTTTCAAGCCCGCCCCCTAACGACGTGGCGTGTCTCTTTCACAGAGTGGCTCCATGGATGAAGGGGACCTAGGTCTCGGGGGTAGCCTCGCAGCTCTGACGGGGACGCGAGTGCGTCTCATAGGCATGCAGGGGGACCCCGTCTAAAACCAATGACGCTCACCCATTCCCTGCCGCTCCGAGCAAGCTTTTGCCGCTTAGGTGGGTGGCCAACGTGCGCTTGCCGACCTTCTGACTACCGAAATACACCGGTTGTTTGTTGCCAGCACCATGTGCGCCCCCGAGTGTTCTGCTTTTCGTGGATGGAAGGTCGGCTCCTCGGTGCATTTCTCTCTGCCACGAAAGGCTGCTTCGGCAAACTGTGGCCTAGTCGTTTTTTCGAGTTTTGTACCTGACGCTGCAGCAGCCATCGCGCTCGACGTGTCATGCGGGTGTGGTCGTTGCCTACGTATTGGTAACAGGTGGCATGACGGGGTTAAGTGTGCTACGATATTCGGACCTATTAGGCACAGGGAGCGTTGTAAGCACTGCTGGATATCTCTAAATAAGAGGCTACCCAAGTACCGGAAATTCTCTCACGTTTGCGTAGTTGGAGGTTCATCACTTGTGTAACCAACCGTCCCATGGGCATGCATAATGTTTGGTCAGGGCAATCGACGGTGCCACCTGGCTGTGCCGCACGTAGATGGAAAAGCTTCAGGCTCGTCTGCCATTGTACATATGT